ATAAATGTGCTCCTTGTCTTTGGGTGGGGCTCCCTCTTCGCTTCCCAGCTCCTTTAACCCTCTGAGGAGATCCTGCACGGAAGCACATCCTGAATGGATGTCTTGCTTTCCCTGAAGCCATGCTTAAGGCTTCTGAGATACAGAGCAGGTGGCCTTTTATTGTCTGTGAAAGGCCAGAAGCCGGCCAGTCGCTGCCTGTCTTCTGGGTCAGCTTTGCACCTGATAGGAGCTTTAGTTGTATACTTTAACTGAGCTAGCTACTGGTGTGTCCCCAGCTCAGCGGGAGGGGAGTGGTAAATCTGATTGCTTCAGCAGCTTGTTCAAATAAACAGGGATAACGTTGGTCCTCCCGACTAATCAGAACACAAAAGGAAACATCTGCTTGTCTTAATTGCTATTTTATTGGTTAGACTTTCCCTCCTTTTCCCCTCCCTTCCTCTTCCCACTCCTGGACTCCTACTAGTTTAAGTCACAGCGAAGCTACATAGCATAGGGCCAGGTCTTATCTCTTTTAACCTTTGCCACTTGAACATAAGGATGGGGTGAGAAGGGCTGGAAGGCTGGCAGGGGGAGCTGCTGGATCTGGGGCAGACACTTGACAGTGGTGCTCAGGTCTCCTCTGATCTTGACTCTGAGGCAGATTGTAAGTCATTTTCTCCTCTTTTGCTTCTGTGGAGCTCAGCCTTCCCCAGCATGGGCGGGGCTGCAGGAAGAAGTTGTAGATGAGAGGCATATTCTTCCTCTCTTGTGGCTTTTCCGAGCAGTTGAAAACTGCTCTTTCCCAGGTTATTGAATGAAAGGTACTAGGAATGGGAAATCTAAACCAGGCAAGATGCCCCTGAAGCTGTCATTTTTGCTAGCATCTGGGTGGGTCCTTGGAGAGAACTTGTGCATTGCCTTTTACTCTGCTCTGAAGTCAGCCTGTTTAGCTCTAATATGGATATACGGTTAGAAATAAGTTTGAGCCAGCAAGGAAGAGACCACCATTCCAATGGAAGTGTCCCTAAAAGGCTGAGCTTTCGTGTTGGTCAAGTGTAAACAAGAGATGTTTTATCCCCGATCAAGCACACACGGCCAGGAAATGTTCTTGGTTTTTATTCTAAAGCAGGTGGTGACTGTCTTCCATTGGATAGAGTCCCACCTCTGTCTTTCACAATTGGCTAGCTTTGTAAGAATCAGCACAAAGGCGCCAGACTCATAAGTTCCAAGAATGCATTGGAGCCTTGAATGAGAAAGGGGGGGGGGGTTGAAAGCATTTACATATGGATGGGTTTTACAAGGTGGAGGAGATAAAAAAAAGATTTGGATTCTTTGTTGTAAACAAATTTTTTGTGTTTGACAGAAAAGACTATTTAATGTTTCTTGCAATAAGGAGACAGGTAAAACATCATATAGAACGATTGAATGGTAGAGATTGGTGTCACAGTAAGCTTCAGCTGTCCACCTGACACAATCCTAGGGTCGCCTGGGAAGAGGGACCCTCAGCTGAGGAATCGCCCCTGTGAGATGTTTTTAAATTGCCAGTTGGTGTAGGAGGGCTTAGCCCACTGTGGGCGGCAGCGTGCTAGGCAGGTGAACCTGAGCTGTCTAAGACGTAGCTGAATGTGAGCCTGGAGACTAACCAGTAAGCCGCATTTCTCCATGGTCCCTCTTCAGCTCCTGCCTTGAGCTCCTGCCCTGGCTTCCCTCAATGATAACACTGGGCTATATGAGCAAGTCAATGCTTTCTTCCCCCTTAGTTGATTTTGATCAGTGTTTTATCATAGCGTCAGAGAAACCAAACTAGGACACTTGGTAAAGGTCTTGATTTTTTTTTTAATTACTATTTTAGATTAGCATATAAAGTAATGTGTTCCATCCTGGCTCCCCCCCACCCCCTTGAGACAGGGTCTCTCTGTGTAGCCCTGGCTGTCCTGGAACTCTCTGTAGACCAGACTGGCCTCAAATTCATAGAGATCCACCTGCCTCTGCCTTCCCAGTGCTGGGACCAAAGGTGTGCGCCCCACCACCCTGGGCCATCCGGGCATCTTACACATGCATGTTATTATATCTCATTCTCACTTTTTCCTACCTCCTTCAGAGTGTTTCCCTTTCTTCCCCCAGTTAGCACCAACGTCTGCTTTATTACTTGGATCCCATTACTCTCTAAAGTCATGACTCCACTTTTCCTTATGACTACATAAAAGTTTGTTGCTCTGTTCGTTTGTTGATGAACTTCTAGCATAATAATTCCATTTCCAGTCTGTAGGGGTATTCCCAAGATTGGCAAAGCTGGGTCATACAGCTCTGTTTGAGTTTTTGAGAATCCAGCATTTGTTGTTATTGCTTTTTAGAACACCATTCTGATATGAAATATAAAAGCAATTTAATTTGCATTGCTTTAATGGCTAAGGATCTTGAACATTTTTCAGATATTTACTGGCCACTTGTATTTATTCCTTTAGGAACTACCTGTTCAGTCCATTTATTGATTCGATGGACTTTGAGCTTTGGGGTATGCTAAATAGGCACCCGAGGAGTTTGTCCCAGCTTTGAAACTTAACATCACTTATCTGGTATATAATGTTTTAAGGTATTTGTTAATTATAGATAATCAGATGCGTACTTGGACAAGTCTTTTATCCCATTCTATAGGCTCTCTTCACTATGGTAGTATATCCTTTGCTACACAAAATGCTTTTTTAATTTGATGTAATCCATTTTCTCAGTTTTTAAGATTATTTCCTTGCCACTGGAGTCCTTTTCAGAAAGTCCTTGCAAATGCAGACATCTTAAAATATCTTCCCCGTGTTTGTTAGTAAGAGGGAAAGACTTTCATTTTACAGAAGAGAAATTAAGCCCAGAGAAATAGCAAATGCTGTGGTTTGGATATGAAATGTCCTTCGTAGGCTCATGTGTTAGAAACTTGGTCCCCAGATGATGGCGCTATTTGGGAGGTTGTGGAACCTTTAGGAGTTGGAAACTTCCTGGAAGAAGAGGGTCACGGGTGGCAGAGCTTGAGTTTTATAGCCCATCTTCACAGCCTGTTCGTTCTCTGCGTCCTGACTTCTTTCTGGCGTGACTCGGACAGGAGAGGATCGGGTTGAATTTCCTGGTGTTCATCTGTCTAGGTTGTAAGTTATTTCTCCCTGAATAAACATCTATTCGGCCTATTTGTTTATCCTGATCCTTATTTACCGCAATACTTCCCCATTCCTGCCACCAAACCTTCCTCACCGACATGGAATGTACCCTCTTGAACTGTAAGCCACAATAAACCACGCCTTCCTTAAATTGCTTCTTGAAAGGTATTTTGTCAAAGCAACAATGTAACAAATACTCAGCAGGTGGTAGGAAAGCTGAGACTAGCAGCAACTTTGTAAGTGCTTACTTTGGGGTCCTTCCACCCGCTTCTAAAATTGTCATAGCTATTCATGAAAGAAGTCACACCTGTGTTAATCTCCAACGGGGTGGGGGAGCAAAGAACTCCTTAACAGTAAAGTGGCAAACCAGTTTTTAAAATGTCCAGGCTTGTGCCGGGTGGTGGTGGCACACGCCTTCAGCCCCCCGCACTCGGGAGGCAGAGGCAGGTGGATCTCTGTGAGTTCGAGGCCAGCCTGGTCTACAGAGCTAGTTCCAGGACAGGCTCCAAAGCAATACAGAGAAACCGTGTCTCGAAAACCAGAACAAAAACAAGCAAGCAAACAAACAAAATGCTCAGGCTGGAGCTGGCAAGATGACTCAGTGGGTAAAGGCACTTGCTAACAACTCTGACAATGCGAGCTTGATGCCCAGAAACTATGTGTTGAAGAAAGCCAACTCGAGCTTTCTCCGTGCCCAGGGTGCCCTATCGGGCCCTGTGTGCATGCACAACACACATATCTTAAGAGAAGCAGTACAAATGAAAGCACTCATCATCCCTTGCCCTGGAAATGGCCTTTGATGAGTATCATTTAGGGGCTGGAGATGCAGCCAGTGGTGGAGTGCTTGCCTGCCACCCACGAGACCCCATGTTCAAGTCTCAGTGTGGAAAAGCAAAACCTTAGAAGTGTACTTGAGTGTTGTAGTTATCTGAAGGACAATTCCTTGATGATCCCAATCGTTTTTATTCTCTGCCTTCTTGGTCTTGGCTTCTAACATTTCTTTCCTGCTTCCTCGTCCTTTTGTTCCTACTATTCTGTGTGGTTAGATGCCAACCTAGGGTGGGCAGCAACAGAGGATCAGAGAGCTCCTGCTGCTCAGAATTAGCCTCAACACATATTCTAGGGTCAGGTAGTATTAACTAAAGGTTGCAAGAAGTCATTATTGAAGAACTACTGCCTTGGGAGCTTGGGAATGAGAATTGGGGGACCCTTAGCATATTCCCCCCCCCAAAAAAAAAATGCACTCAATTTTAGGTGGGTTTTTCTTCTATGGAAAAGGAACGTGCAGGCCAATCCTGCAGGTCCTAGTGCTGTAGTTTGTGTGCTGTCAGGGTAGCAGTACAGTCCATTCCTGCTTAGAGTTTAAGGTCTTTGAATTTAGGCTCTTTGGAGTCCATGGATACATGGATGGATGGATGGATGGATGGATGGATGGATGGATGGATGGATGGATGGATGGATGGACACATACATACATACACACCCATATATATATTGTCTCATCCTATGGTACATCTTGCTTTCCTTAGTCACCCAGTGGCGCGTGTGCCTGAAAATATCTAAGAAAGCATGGTCTACCTAACCACAGTAGCTAGATAGGTTGTGGCTCTCAGGGCTGCTTTTGAGACCAATTGAAAATTCAGAGGCTATAACCCATTTCCCCCCTACACGATTGCCTCTACTGGGCTATAGAAAGGGCTCGTTTGATTCCATTAAAACTCTTTGAGTAATCTGACCATAATTGGTTATCTGATTTGCTAGGTTCAATAATGGTCTGTAATTGAGTCTGCGTCATTTGTAGAGCGGGTGCTGCTCTTTGCTTCCACCTCCCATCTCCTTCTGTTTTTCAATTAACCTTCCTCCTTCTTTTCTTTACAGAGTAAAGAAGTTGGCCAGCAGCTCCAAGATGATTTGATGAAGGTCCTGAACGAGCTTTATTCGGTAAATCAGATAGGCCGCCTGGCTCTTTGATCCTAGAGAGAAGCATCATTTGGAAGTTTGCAGCCATAACCACGTCGGCAACAACCCTCAGCTGAGGCTGAGGACACCGTATATCCCCAGTGGGAGTGACCCCACCCATGTGTTTTTCCACATTCAAGTTTTTCTAAAGCAGATGAGCCAAAAGCTAATTTTTCCAGTTGTGCAATCTTACTATGGGCACATCTGGGTCACTGAAAGAGAGCAGCCAAGGTCTAGTTTACCAGCATAGCTTCCACCATTGCCGACAAGCCAGGAGCCCCAAACGTCATGGCAAAGAACACAGCTACGTTGCCCTGCTGCTTGTTGGAAAGCACGTGTAGTCAGTCGTTAGCTATGCGTCAGACCTTAGATTACTTGTGGTTGAGTTAGAGCAGATGCTGGAAAGTCCACAGTGTGATGTACCACTTCAGGCAAAGAGAATGTTACAAAGACACAGCAGAGAGGTACGCCATGGGCTTGGAGAAAGGAACGCAGTCTGCTTCGAACTCTCTTGGATTGCCAGCTTGTGGACTGTTACGTGCTGTGTCCCAGCAGTGCTGGTGGTTAATTCCTCCCGGCCATGTTTTGTTAATTATATTGGGAACATGCACCCAGCAGGGAAGTTCTTGTTGCCATAGGAATGCTTCCGTTGTAGAGCTTGTAGCGTTTATAGACCCATCCGGAAGTTTGGTTGTATCGGCACTGTGTGTCGTTTCCCAGGATGGCCCTAGTCTATTTGAAGGTGGAAGTGATTTTCTGTGTGTACTTGTCCCTCTTCCCACTGCCTTGCCTCTTCACCCCCTTCCTTCACAGGATGGGCGGCGATATGCGTCACAAGCGTTTGGGATCAGAGAATTCCGCATTCTTGGTCCAGAAGCCTAGGTGTGGCCATTATGTCATGGCAACTGTTGGTAAATAGAGTAGAGCGGTCATCTAGTCTGTCTCCAATGATGCTCCAATTGTTTTGAATTTCTATTCTACTCTGTGACTCTTACATTCTGAAGCCAAATGATAGGCAGTACCCTTTGTACCCCAAGTTTTCATTTCTCTCAAATGAAGCTAAGACTTTTTACAAATAGAATCATGGCATTGTGAGCCTTTTTTTTTTTTTTTTTTTTTTTTTTTTTTCAGACTGGATGAGTTTCCTGAACCTCGTCTTTCCGTTGCTTTTGCTTCTCTTTACTTTTAGAGCATCTTGTAGATACCAAGAAGAACTGAGACTTGCCTAGAGAATTCCATGGGATAACAAATGGCACGCTGTTGTAGGACTCCTTTTACTTTCCCAGTAAAAAGCATCTTGGGCCTTTGCTATTTGCTGCTCTTACTCAGGTCAAGCAGCAAAACCTCACACCAACTCAGATCCAACATAGTCCATTTGCAGTGAGGCAGCAGACAAAGCTGTGTCTCAAGAACTGTTAGCATTTACCCAGAGTTGCAGGTCACTTCATAAGCTTTGGCTTAAAAAGCAAATGGTAGTGTGTGGACTGCTCTGGGATGAAAAACAAAAACAAAAACAAAAAAAAAAACAAAAAAAAAAAAAAAAACAAAACATGGAACTTGCTGTTCTGTCTGATGAAGGCCAAGCTGGGAGACCCAACCCTTACCCCCTATTTATTTATTTTTTTTAAATAATTGTTTTGTGGGTGCATAAGGGACCATTCTGGGAAGTTGGTTCTCTTCTGCCACCTTGTGGGATCTGGGCATCTAACTCGGGTCATTAGGTCTCCACCTACTGAGAGCCATCTCCCAGCCAAGACTTCTGTGGTTAATCTTGAGATCAATATTGACCAATTGCTTCCGTGGACACCATGTGCCTTCGGTTACTGCAGAACATAAACCCTTCTCACTAGCCTTCACATGCAGAATTAGTGAGTGAGCTACCCCTCTGCTTAGAGGTGAATTGGAAAGAGAAAAATGGGACACCAAGAAGTTCCAGAAAGGGCAGAACTTCGGTACAGTGAGTCTTTAACAAGGTGATCTCCTCTCCCCCACCCCGCTAACCCCACAAAATGGAATGTGTGACAATCTCTGCTGATGTTTTTCAGTTATACAACTGGAGCAGTAGCCCAGGGGCATCTGAAAAGTAGGGTTCAAATATGCTGCTAACATCCTACAAATGGACAGGACAGTTTATCACAATAATTCTCCAGCTCCAAATGTCAGTAGGACCGAGACTGAGGAACCTAGGCCACTGAACTAGACACCCGAGGTTCTATCCTGGCCTGACTATTAGCTGCATGCAGTTGGAGGGATAACTCCCACTGTAAAAGGTCAGCTTGATGGTGAGAGTTGACATCAGTCAAGTTTGTTAGTTTTCCATCCTACGCTTCCCCAGAAGCAGCAGCAGATACTATGCATGCCCTGATGACCTGCATGTCGTGTGGCTGTCAGTGATCAAGGAATTTGTATTCCCAAAATATCAGACTAGCGTTAAGAAATAAATGAGTCTGTAGGTCATTAGAAAAGTTGTAGAATGCAGTTAAGAGTTATTGCTTGTGTAGGGTAAGGTTAGTTTAGGACTGGTCTGAAATAAGATAGGGTGATCCATCGCTTTTTGCTGGTTAGCCGGGTGCTCATGAAGAGAGACCATCTGTGGCCAGGCACCTTTCATTCAGCGCTCGAGAAGGGGGGAGGGCAGGAGAATCTGTTGAGTTCAAGGCCAGCCAGGGCTACACTGTTTCCAGGGGCATGTTTTCAGTGCTGAACTGGTAGTCTTAAGGAAGGCAGGATGTTGGCCACCCTGCCTGAGTCAGTGGTTTCCTCAAGTAGGAAGCTGATAGTACTGCATGCTGGCTTTGGAAAGCTGTTTGCCCTACATAAACTCTTTGGCTGTTAGGAAGAGAACAGGAAGAGTTTCTTCTAAGCATTTCCCTTATTTGCTTTATTTAAAAAACAGGAAAGAGCCTCTGCTTTCACTGTTCCTATCAGCAATAGGAATTATTAGTGATTCCTGTGGCACTGGAAAAAAGATCAGGGTGTTAAGAAACCCTCTATATTTCTCAGTGCTATTCTTGCAACTTCCCCTAATGCCCTTGAATACTTCTTTTGAGGGGACTCAAGGGTTGATAATCTAAGTACTTTTAAACCTTGACGATGCAAGGGGCAGAGCCCAGGTAGTTCTAAATAAAGATGCCTTTGAACAAGAGATCCAGAGCCCCGCCATAAGTAGCCAGCTGCTCCTCTGCACCTTCCTCTGCTGCTCGAAGGGGCTTTGATTTCCCTGACTTAGCATTTTGTGCCAGGGGGAGTTTCCCACAGCTGTTGTTCCGGAGAGCAGTTCCGGTGATCCGTGCACATATGTATGCCGGTCCATTATCCCCCTGTCCATCACCATGGGCTGGCTAGCTTGTAAGCCATGGCAAAGTGGTTTTCATTTTCTTTCTGATGGTGTAGGAATGCCTTTGAAGTCAGAGCGCATTGCTTCCCAAAGAACTCTGGGGCCGTCTGCCTCAACTGTACAGAGAGGCTGTGTCTGGAAAATCCCAGGAAGCCCCCACAGGAAGAGCATGTATGGAGGCAGGGAAGCCACGTGGATTGGCTATGGAGAGCCAAGGAAGCTCTAACTTGAGAGAGAGAGAGAGAGAGAGAGAGAGAGAGAGAGAGAGAGAGAGAGAGAGAGAGAGAGAGACGAGGTAGTGGGACACTTTGGGACTGTCTTTACCCCAGAGCCCAGAGGTCTTATGCTTTGGTTACTATCCCTGAATCCCTCACTGTGTCTCCTTGACTTGGTGCAGCAGCTGGTTGCAGAGCGGCTTTAAATTGAAATCCGGCACCTGTTGCCTTGAAACACCATCGGGTAGTAGTCCCCCGACGCCGTTTGTCTGTTTGACCCTATCGTTAGGCACTAGGGATACAAAGACAAATAAAAGATCGTGCTAAATCCAAGGCATTTCATTTGACGGTTGGGGGAGGGATGAAGCAGCTAGTAAAAGTGAGGTGAGACTCTCTTACATATCTGGAGGGGAGGGAATGGGTCACGTTCCCTTGGAAAGGTGCAAGAAGTCAGTCTTAATTGCCAGTTGCCAAGAACCCTTAGGGTCTTCACCCTGTATCTCCCTAACTCCCTTCACTGAGGTATTGTTTCATGGTGCTGTGTCCTTTCCATTCTCGCCCTCTCTTTGGGGCTCTTACTGATAAACGTTTCAGCCCTTCTCTCTATGGTGTGTTTCTTGAAAGTCACCTGTTTTGGTTTTGCTTAAGCTAGAAAACATTAGGAACGTCTGTATGTATGTATGTATGCATGCATGCATGCATGCATGCATATACTTTAGAGACGGTTTCTCTGTGTAGCCCTCACTGTCCTGGAATTGTCTCCGAACCATCTCCCCAGCCCCACTAACATGCTGCAGAGTTACTGTGAGGATTAAGTTAAGTGGCACACGTAAACCCTGGCACACGTACTGTGTACTGAACACTAGAGGTTATTACTAATACCGGCTAGTGCTTTTCTGTTATCAGCCACACAAAAGCACGCTCCACTCCTAGATTTTCTATTTCTCCACTTCAAAAAAACCTCATGGCATCAAAGTTTCAGTACTCATGAATTTCTAATTGCTTGATTCATTATTGTACCTTAATTTGGAAGCTGCCTGTGTGGAAACAGAAATTAACTGCAGAATAGGGTCAGCCCCTGTGTGGCCAGAAGTAATATATTTGGGAGGACTAAAAATGAGCTGAGATTCTCTCTTCTGGCCTGCTTGCTTAGAAATAGTATTCAATTCCTGGACAATAGCTCTTTCTGGAAAATTTGAAAATTACATCCCCCTCCCCCAGCTCCCCGTCAGTCTTTTTAAGGCAAGGTCTCTGTGTAGTCTTGGCTGTCCTGGAGCTTGCTATGTGGACCAGGCTGGCCTTGAACTCACTGGCATCTTCCTGCACTACTTCTAGAGTGCAGAAATTAAAGGCATGTGCCACCACACCCAACCCTATGTCCCCCTTTATGTTACTTTCTGCTTGTGGCCAATCCCAGATAGACTTGCTATGTAATTTCTTCTTTCCCAGCCTCTTGCCTGAGTTATGCAGGTCTACAGCCTTCACAGGACATTGTCTGTAGAATTAAGTGAATGGAACTAACAGTGGGGGGGGGGGCTTGGCACAAAGCCAAAAATATGTTACATGCGCAGTAAATGGTAACTGCTACTGATGTGTTTTCTATGAGAGCAGGTGTCTAATGGAGATAAAGCAGACCATAATTTTCGGAGCCTTTTCTTCTTCCTTGCTTTCTATTTGAAAGTTCTTATTTCTTGTTTTACTTAGTATCATGAGGTAACTAAGCAATAAAATTACTGAGCCAAGGTGAAGGTCATGCTTACAGATAATGATGAGTAAAAGTTAAAAAAAAAAAAAGATGAAATTGTTATGGAGTCATTGCAGTAACCATCCTATACTTAACGTGTGGGCCTCAATATATATGTGTTGAACCAGACGTTCCCTGGAAGAATGTGAATACTGCTTCATGTAGGAGAGGTCCGGCTGAGTCTGTCGTCTGTGAAGTAGAGTTGGTGCCGTTTCTTGACCTCTGCATGGGACATGTCTTGCAGGTCATGAAGACATATCACATGTACAATGCGGACAGTATCAGCGCTCAGAGCAAACTGAAAGAAGCAGAGAAGCAAGAAGAGAAACAAATTGGAAAATCAGTAAAGCAAGAGGACCGACAGACGCCCCGCTCCCCGGATTCCTCTGCCAGCGTCCGCATCGAGGAGAAGCATGTCCGGAGGAGCTCAGTGAAGAAGATTGAGAAGATGAAGGAGAAGGTACGCAAGCTCTGGCAACTCTGGAGGCAGGGAGGGATGCTCAGAAGGCAAGGTTGAGTAATTTCCCGGCAGGAGTCATGAGGAGCTAAACAAAGCAGCTCTGGGTTCCTTTAGTGCCTACTGGCCAAAGAGTTCTTTGTCTCACTCACCACGAATCGTAGCCATTGGGAAGACCTAAGCATAGGAAGTCTCAGACTTCAAGTGTATTGACAGGAATTGGTAGTCGCCTTTCCCCGTTCATTTTTCCAAATCAAGTGAAACGTCCGATTGCTTGGAGAAATAGGGGAGCCTGTGGCCTTAGATACCAGTGTGTCACTGGGAAGGGTGGAAGTACCTTCTCCAGGGTGACAGCATGTGACGATAGAAGCACGTTCATGTCATTAATCAGAATTAGAATTCAGCTTAAAAGCAGATGTACACAGGGAGTTAACAGCAAAATGGAGGCTCCTCGTGTGCTGTCCTTCATCTCTCACAGAGCAGTTTTAAAAAAGTAATAGCGATGGGTCAGCAAAATGGCTCATCAGGTGAGTGCACTTGCCGCTAATCCTGACAGCCCGAGTTCAATCCCGGGAACCCCCATGATAGGAGAGAAATGACTTTGACAAGTCGCCCTCCAATCTCCATACAAACACGAAGGCATGTGTGGATGCAAGCGCGCGCACACACACACACACACACACACACACACACACACACACACACCACATGAAATAAGTAAACATTTTTCATTAAAAAGAAGACTAAAAGTGAACTTGTGTTTTCTTTTTAGCGACAAGCCAAGTACACAGAGAATAAGCTGAAGGCCATTAAAGCCCGAAATGAGTACTTACTGGCTTTGGAGGCAACCAATGCATCGGTCTTCAAGTACTACATCCACGACCTGTCTGATATAATTGATGTAAGTACTTAAAGCTGGGGTGGGAGACTGTGGGCATCTCTCGCCTCATTTCAGAAGCGTAGTCACATGTCCCCCATTTCTGTGTTCAGGCGTCTTGGCCATTTTGAGACCCAACTTGAAGGTAGCAGCCATAGTCCACTGTGCAAAGGTGATGCACTTTACATATGGTATCATTCATCCCTCACAGCATCTATGAGAGAAAAGCAATACCATCCATAACTCTTGATTGACATTCACAGAGTTTAGTGATTTACCCAGAGCTAGTAAAAGTCTGAGAATTCGTATCAAATTCTGATTCCTAAACCCATGTGCTCCTGATTGTCAAGAAATAGTCTCTTACATCAGAAGCTTGTAGAAAGAAGAGTTAAAATGCCATGCGTTATATTTATGTAACAGTTCGCGTTTCTTGTTGATTTCTCATTTTATTGTCATGTCACTCTTGTAGATGCACAACGCTGTCTTAATTTGTGATCCAGTTAAGAGATGTTCTTGCCACAGGTTATTCGCATTGTGCTGCAGGCTAGGGTCCTGTCTAGGCGGCATCCAGATGCTACTGATCTCTGCCCTGTTCTCTTTTGAGATACGGCACAAAAAATGGAAAAAGGAAGGGAGGGGGTTAGTATGCACGTATATCTTGCAGGCAGTAGGTACAGCCAATCGTCTTTGACCTCATGGGCTACGCTCTGCTTTGATTTCTTACCGCTTCTCCTCAATCTCTGTGTCCTAAAATGTCTCTCACATTCAGAGTGCAGTCCAGCCCAATTCCTGGGCCAGCTTTCTGTGAAGCTATATAAGCATACCCTTTCTCGTGTCTTCCTGGAGTCACCAAAGTGCATCTGGAGCCAGCTGATCGAGCACCAGCAGCCCAGTCTCTAAGACATCAGCAGTACTCTTTCTGAGACCTGGTATTTGCCTTGGGTTCTTGGCATTAACAGCTAAGCCTGCAGACTCTGGCCAGACAACCCATGGTTTTCTACCTTGGTTTCTTCACAGGACACCCGCTGTGTGGTGAATCTGAGCTCAGACTCACCATTATATAACTAGTTAGCACACTTAGGCTTGCTGCTGAGCTAATCTGGAATCCTGCTTCATTACTACCCTTCTACCCCCTAGTACAATACAGGCCTGGCCTGTTTAAATCTGGCCTACATCAGGGTTGCTGGGGGAACTTTTCTAAAATACAGACTGTTTTTTCTTTGAGCCGGGGAGTTTCGATCAGTAGGTTTTGGCCTCCCAAGGCCTTAGATGTCATCGTCTCAGCTGGTAAGTGGAGCCATGGTCTGCGTTCAGGCTCCTCTTTGTTCTCTCTGCTTGTCGATGCCAATCGGAACACTGTCCTTCAGTGGAGGTCAAACCCTACACCAGGCCCTTTATTCTTCTCTCTCACTGTTGGTAGAGGCCCGTTCTCAGCGTGAGGACGACGGCTGGTCACTTGAGGAAGACGGCTGGTCACTTTTTATGCCCACGCTCTGCTATCTGTCTCACATTTGGTAAAATAAATTAAGAAGTTAGACCAGACAGGGTATTACACCCTCTTTACTGGGTTGTCCTCTTTCTTTTTCCTCTAGAGGGCATGTGTACCGGTTTCAATAAATTGCTTACTTCAGGAGAAAAGAGGCTTTTGCTCTATGAGTTACAACCTTTGTAATGCATGGGCAGGTATAAGAAGCAAGCTGTTTTGTGTGATTTTTTTTTTTCCCCATCCAAATAAATAAATGGCCTATTAAGAGCCCAACTGATAGGGTGTGATTTGAAGAGCCACTGGGAAAGATGACAACCTTTGTAGTGCTTACTTGACAAGGCATAGGTTTAGGGGTGAACAAGTCCAGGGTGGCAGCATTCCAGGCCATGAGTAAGTCTGTTCTTGTTTGGGTTGGATTTTTTACTGTATTGTATTTTGTTTGTTGTTTGTTTTTTGTTGTTGTTGTTAGGATGAAAGTTACTTTGTTTTATTTTGTGTTTTGTTTTTTTTTTTTTTTTTTTTTTTTTTTTTTTTCCGAGGCAGTGTTTCTCCGTGTAGCCCTGGCTGTCCTGGAATTCAGTCTGTAGACCAGGCTGGCCTTGAACTTACAGAGATCCACCTGACTCTGCCACCTGAGTGCTGGGATTAAAGGTGTGCACCACCACACGCTGATATGATACTACTACTATTCTTCATAACCACTTAGTACATTTATGGGGCAAAGTGTGTGTTCAGCATCAGTGTTACAAATAGAATATAACTGATTTTACCTAAGACATATTCATGTGCTCTAGTTTTCTCAAACCATGAACCGTGATCCATTAAGGGAGCAATAAAATCATTGTTATACATTTAGCTTATTTTAAATGATTAGACTAGGATAGGGGAGAAAATATTAGATCGCATCATAATATTATATGGCTGAGATATTTTCTGTAATTTTTACGTTAGGGGTGTGTGGGTGTGTGGTATATTTCTTGCTGTGAGCTGAGGGTTAAAATGGAGGTCACTGTATGTCTCTTTTAAGATCCAAGAAGGCAGGAACCAAGGCTTACTTTACCGTAAGTAGTACTATGTAGCCGAGCACACAGTTAAAGAGGGAAGAGAGATCTGCTAAGCCAAGATTTGCTCTTTAACTTTGTCCTTTTCATGAGTCATTTACATTTAATGATTAATTAAGTTGGTTGATTGGTTTGTTACAGATTGAAGAGTTTTTGACAAATGTGCTTATTCTTGTAACCTGTATTTTTATTGAGATAGAGAGTAAGTACCATTCTCAGCAAACACCTGGAATCTCAGCATAGGCGGTGAACGCAGGGAAGGCGTTAAGGGCAGGCTAGGCTCTGAGACCGACAACAAGGAGACACAAGATATGGACGACACACTCTCATGACTTCCAAAGTTCTTACTTCTGAACTTGAAGGCAATCATTGTTCCAACTCTTTCGCCCTTAAGTTAACATCGCCTGTTGGAGAGTTTCACAAAGCTGGGGTTCTACAGAATACAATTTGTTTTGTTTATTTATTACTTGAGTGCATGTGGACATGTGCATACTACAGTGTGTGCGTGGAGGCCAGGAGACACTTTGTGGACTCGTTTCTCTCTCTCCACTTCTACTTTTATGTGGTGTTTCTCATTTCTTTTGCTGTGATTAAAACCTTTACAAAAAGCAACTTCTGAAAGAAAGCATTTATTTAGTTGCAATCCCAAGATATAGTCCGTTATTTTGGGGAAGTCAAGGCAGGAACTCAAATAGCTAGTCCTATTACCTCTTTAGTCAAGTTAATATGCCTGCCTGCCTGCCTGCCTGCCTGTTTGCTTTCTGCTAGCTTTCTTCTCTCATTAATAGTTTAGGACTCTCTATAGAGGAAATGGCGCTGCCCGCAATGGGCTGGGTCTTTTTACTCAATTAACACTCAAAACGTTCCTCCCAGGCATTTCCACAGACCAACTTGATGTAGATAATTTCTTGTTGAGACTCTTACCAGATGAGTAGGTTTCATGAAGCCAACAGTTAAAACGAAAGACCCGTGAGTTCTAGGGACTGGTTTCAAGTCAGCAGGCTGGCACAGCAAGTGTTTTTACCCACCGAGCCATCTTTCTGTCTCCAGAATGTAGTTTTTGTATTTTTTTAACCCAGGATTTCTTTTTAGCGTCATCCACATTGTCTGTCTATCAATAGTTTCTTTTCTTTTCTTTTCTTTTTCATGCTGTCCTATGCAGTTAAAAGTTTGCCCAAACTGTTCTGTAGCAAAGAAGCGAAGAGTTGAGTGGGGAGCCTGGATATGTTGGCTTCATGGTCTCAACAGGGTCCAGAAGTTGCGTTAAGACACGGGGTTAGTGCCTTCCAGTCACTGTTGGATGTGTCATATGCCACTGTTCTACCGGGTTTGAGGCACTGAGCATAAATAAAAAGTTATTTTTAATGGGTCTCATTACACTGACATAAGGACTAGCCTCCAATTTCTTTGTATAGTATAATAAAATATTTAATGTAAACTCAGACTATAAGAATCCACATGAGACATCATACACATACTGGGGAAAACTTGACTCTAGGCAGAGAAGACATTTTAATCTCACTTGGTGGTTTCTAAGAACTGGAGTTCTTACAATTTCCTCTCCTGTATCCCTGTCTCTTAGCCTCTGAACAGATGGATAAATGAAGTACACGGCATTGTCATCGTGGGTAGCTGAGCATTGTGAGGGCCAGGTACCTGGATGGAAAGTCTGTATGCCGTATATACCCAAATTCAACATGAAAGAACTTGGCTTTCCCGCTATGATGGTTTCACTGAAGGCAGTTGTTTTTCTCTTCTGTATGAATTTGAAGGGTGATATGAAACACTCATTTGTCTTTTCTAGGTCTTCTCTAGATATCTTAAGGGAGAATAGCAGCTGGGAAAGGGATAATGAACTGTGGACTAAAGTTCACACATTGGGATGGTCTGTTACTCAATTTTATATAAAAATTATATTTTTCCTGCGAGTTTTTATTGCTTTTATGTAACACAGAAATGGCTAAGGAGACCTAACATGGCCATGAAACTCATCAAAATCAAAATGGAAAGCATACTTTATTTCCAGTATAAACAAAATTGTCTGTTCCCTCTCTACTCATTGGGCTTCTCCTGGGAAATACTCAAATCTCATTTACTTAACCTTGCCGGATACTGCTTCTTTGCTGAAGGCCAGGTTTTACCCCTTACATATGTAGATAGCCAGGGCTCTGTCCACATCTCCTGGGTTAACTGAAGCTTGGCAGAACCAGAGAGCACATTCTGAGTCTGGCCTTAACTCACTGGTCCTGAGAAGCTACAGATGGTCATCCAGAGGCATTGCTCCAGCTAAGGAAAACTCCCTGCAGTTCTCAGGTTACAGATGTGGCATCCATCAGTCAACCGTATCGAATGTCTTCTGTGAATAGGACCTCATAAGAACAGTTGTAAACAAGAATAAGATACCAGAAAACCCTAAGACACCTACATTCTGGTTGGGGTAATACGAAATGGCCGGCCTCAGAATGACTGTGTGTATTAGGGCCATGTGAGGATGAATGAAGTTGGGTCCAAGTGAACCAGGAATGCAGGGTTGACTGGCTTCCCAGGGGCTGAGAACTGAATTTGGATCTTAAAGACTGAGTCCATTTCCAGCAGGTGAGAGTGAATGTCTCAGGAAAAGAGCTGCTAGGATATGAAGGGTAGAGGGCCGCAGATTGGGAGATGCTGAGTCCATACAGCGCCAGATGTGTGTGGAGTGTATTGTCATTCGCTGCACAGCCGTCTACAATGCTGTTGTTTCCCCCACTTCTGGCCCAGAGGGATAAACTGGCTTTCTAAAGGCCGAAGGCCTATACTTGCTCAACGCTGTCCTATGCAGGGAGTATGTCACCGGAGTTGACAGAAGAGGCTAAAGGTGAGGGCATATTGAGAGGTGATGTTGAGGACATAGACTACATACACACAAATTGCAGTTTTGATTTTTGTTTTGTTTTGGTATTTTGTTTTCTCCCACTTAACGTCGGTCAAGTTAGGTTTCTTCACTAAGTTTTCATCTTCCCTTGTGTGGAAAACTACGGTAACATAGACTTCAGGGGAAGTCGTTGTGAAGATTAGGATGAAGAATGTGCATAACACTGTCTGACATGGGAACGCTTTAGTGGACAGAACCACTCTTTACATGTACAAACTGAAGGTGAATTTTACCTTAGGCAGGAAGACGTATGTCAGGTTCTTCAACGGCGGCCATTAAATCACATTTTATGACAGTGAGCAAACAACATTGTCGTGAAATAAGGTCTGGGTTAGGATAGAGATAGTGGGAATGGAGAAGAAAGTTAGGCTTGTACAAATACGTGAAGATTTCTGCAGGGTACCCTGCCTCCCCCTCGCTGTCCCTCGGTCCCCCGCCGCAGTTGGCGGTGTTATTTTTGGTCACTACACCACTAACCATGGAGAGCTAGGCAAGAGGATTTGCAGGTCCAGCGGCATCCTAGAGGAGGAAGGGTCCCTCCCTGCACGTGCAATTTCCCAATCAGCCGCCTTTGTCTAGATTGCGCTTGCTCTTCCTCCAACTGAATCCAATGTCTACCCATCCTCTGGCTACCCTGCGGAAGCCAAGCACCTGCCAGCCTCTGTTGGCATTGCGCCAGGGCTCAGCTCGATGTGTGCCCCGTTGCTGGGCTTCTTGTCAGATGCCTGGAAGGAGGCGGCCTGTCACATGTGTTTTCTTCCCCAATAGTGGCTGTTTCTGAAGTGATCGTGATGAGGAGGAAATGCTAGGGAAATTAATTTGGTACTTATTGATGCATTGAAATTACAATCAGGCAGATGGCCTTACTCTATCCAGAGATTTTTCTCTGACATTTCCTCTCAGGCTCTGGACATCAAAGCTGTGTAAATAATAGAGGCCATAATTGATGGTCAAGGAGTTTGGATTCTGGGTCTTTATTGGAGGGGTAGGGAATATTGTCACAGTGTTACCGAAGGCCACTGCTGAAAAGAGCTTTGGGGATTACATTTAAGCCAAGGATTTTTCAGGCTTTTTCTTAAGAATCTGTTCTTCAGCCCAGACCACACATAGAATCCCAGTTTACTAAATAAGAAAGTGAGCAGGGCTGTCTTGGTTGATGTAAAGATAAAATGGCCCCCAGGCCTGCTAAGTAGCCCTCTAATCCCCTTCCCAAGGGTTAGCCTCGGTGCTGACACTGAACTTCAGAAATGTGATCTCCAGCTTGAAAACCACTGGACTGTCAAGGAAACAGGTCTAGGGATGGGAGGAGCTTTTCCAAGATTGTTTGATTCTACCTTTACTGCTTTGTGTTTTTGCTGTGCGTGTGTGTGTGTGTGTGTGTGTGTGTGTGTGTGTGTGTGTGTGTGTGTAATGAATATGTGCACATTAGTGCAGGTGCCTATGTGAGTCCAGAAGAGAGTGTTAGATCTCCTGGACCTGGAGTTACAAGCAGTTATGAGCTTCTAATGTGAGCGCTAGGAGCCAAATTCAGGTCCTTTAAAAGACAAGTAAGCACTCTTAACTACATAACCGCCTCTCAAGCCCTGACCTTATTTCTTTGAGGCAGGATTCTTGAAGGTTCATCTTAGCCAGCTGACCATCAAGCCCCTTTCTCCACCTCTTCAGTGCTAGGATTACAGACCCCTCACCCAGATCTTTTACATAGGATTGTGATCAAACGTTAAGTCTTCGAAGGGCGTTTGTTGGTGGCGCACGCCTTTAGTCCCAGGAGGCAGAGGCAGGCGGATCTCTGTGAGTTGGAGGCAGCCTGGTCAACGGAGCTAATTCCAGACAGGCTCCAAAGCTATAGAGAAAAACTGTCTTGAAAAACCAAAAAAACAAAACAAAAAACAAAAGTAAGCCCTCTTATTTGCACCTGAGGACTTTACTAATTGAGTTGTTCCTGTAGCCCTGGTTTTGTTGTTTGTTTAAAGACAGGGACTGGCTTTGAATTGACTATGTAGCTGAGGATTGAGGATGACCTTGAACTTCTGATCCTCCTCTGCTGGCTTCCACTCTTGATGTTACTGGCCTGTACCACCACACTCGGTTTATGCATTGCTGGGGATCAAACCTAAGTCTTCATGCATGCTAAATAGACCCTCTTCCAGTTGACCTCCATACCCCAACCCCTACAATTGCCACTTTCATAGCCTTTTCATTCTTGTTGTTGAAAATCAGGGATGCTAAGGATTTCCCCAGTAACACTTAACTTTAGAACTTTTTAGTTTAGCTTTCTTCAGCTCAAGGTTCCTGTCTCAGAACACTGGAAGTGGACGTCATAACTCGCATCGGCCTTCTATTCCCTCCTTCCCCACCTACCTAGAGTTGAGTGTATGTGAATTTGCTGCTAAGGCAGCACCCCAGATTTTGGGGCCCTGAATACTGCATTGGCCTGGCAAGCTTGCTGTGTAGTGAATTCTAACTATAGCGGCCCTCAAGGAGCAATGGCAACCTGCATTATTATTGTTGAATTTTGTTGTCATGATATCCCCAGGCAAACCAGAAAATAAAACAGGGTTCTTTAACTCTTGGCCATTCTCATTTTTGTGTCATTGGGTTCTTAGAGATTGTCTTCTGTCTAGCCAACTCTGTGCCCTACATACATGGTATGTGTAACCACTGACCAGGAGGCAAGAACTAAGCAATCTTACCCAGGTCTTGGGAATCATAATGTCAGCTTCCTTCCTATTGCAGTCACCTTGCTATGGTCAAATCTGTCCCAGAGACCGCTTCCCTTTCTGTCGGGCCCTGGGATATCTGTGGTATGCTTATGTGCCTTCTCCTTCCCACAGCAGTGCTGTGACCTAGGCTACCATGCTAGCCTGAACCGGGCCCTGCGTACTTTCTTGTCCGCTGAATTAAATCTGGAACAGTCAAAACACGAAGGCTTGGATGCTATTGAAAATGCAGTAGAAAACCTAGATGCCACCAGTGACAAGCAGCGACTCATGGAGATGTACAACAATGTTTTCTGCCCCCCTATGAAATTTGAATTCCAGCCTCACATGGGAGATATGGTAAGGCCCTTCCCTATCCTGCGCCTTTTTTCTAACTGACTGGAGTGTACCAGATGTATGTATAGTTTTATCACATGTAGGCCGCATCCAAAGGAGAGTGGCTTCCTGTCAGGTAAGTTTCGCTCTGTTCTTTCAGACCCTACAGTATCTCTTTGATTTTGACTAATGTGCTTATCCCTGGGCATAGGCTCATGTTCCATCTGACTCTGCTGGCCTAAACTGTAGAGTGGATGGTCTCCCAGAGGGTAATCTACCCTGCCCCAGAAACCTGACTGGGGTGACCAGGGCAGGAAGAAAAGCACAGATACACGAACAGAAGAGCAGGGTCATATAGGTTGTGTTAGCTCTGATGGAGGATGCCAGCTACGAAATAAATCAGGGCCTCAGCCTGTTTACATGTAGGGCAGCACAAGGAGAGGCGTTAGCGGATATTGGTAGGAGGTAGCTATAGGACAGCAGTCCTGTAGACACGCTGGATATGGAAGCTTCGGTTGTGCACACTCTTAACATGCACATCCAGACCAGAGGAAGGTTCTGCCTTCCCAGTCTGACCCACATGGGGAAGGCTTTGGCATTCCCACAGGTCTGAGGCATTGGTCCTTGACATGGCCATGCCCATGTCAACAATACACATTCTCTTAGGACTTCATCTACTCTTTACACATTCACTCAAAGCTTCCTCCGCCCCCCACAGTGTGAGACCAAAAGCACTAGGTGAGGAAAAAAGGAAAAAAAACCACAAATCAGCAGTGTGCTCCTGCCAGGAACAGCTTCCCTTGGGGTTAGCAGCTAGACTCTAGAAAAGCTGCAGCCTGACAGAGGTGGTGTTCTAATCAACAATGAGCTGTCATAGGCAGGCCAGGGTGAACTGGTACGTCTCTGTCATACGTCCAAAATGGGAGGTGCTTTCCCTCCTTCCTGGGCAAAACCAAGCCCCTTGCAATTTGTTTGCATTGCTGTGGCTGAGATGTCAGCAGCTAAACAGGCGAGAACTAAAACGGCAGCACGTTAGTTAAAGTTCAGGGAAGGTGCATTCCCAGACTCCAGGAAGCCCCCTCCTTCACCTGCCAAGACTTCTAAATCCCTTCTCCAGCTGCCATTGAGATTCCTTCCCTTAGACTAACCAAATGGACTGGTGTGTTTTCTGTCCACTGAGTTCTCTTCTGGGCTAAACGGCTTGTCTCCATAAAGGGGAATCCAGATGATGGGTACACAGGCCCTGTCAGAACCGCATTTCCATACTCTAAAGCACAGCTGGAATGCATTACCTTGCACCCTGGCTGAAGATCAACTGGCAAAGCATGCTTCAGCAACTCTGCTGCTCATTAAAGAAGCAGGCTTGGAGGTGGTTTTTCCTCTAATGCTCCCTGCTAGGCTTGGGTGATGTTAAAAACTGTTAATTCATTCTTTTGCCCTATATATGACACAGCTGATCAGTGGCCAGAAAAGGGGCCAGAGCCTCCCATGATTTCACATTCTGGCTTAGGGGTAGCAAGTCATCCTTGGTCCCGTTGCCAGTCTTTCTCCATTATTGTGGGTTGTATGAGGTAGAAGGCAGGCGCTGCCTGGAAGTCCTGGAAATAGGGCCAAGGTTCAGGTGGCGTTTTAACTGGTAGCTCTGAAATTGGCCACACTAGTGGCCACAGCACATGAGCTGATGTCAGCTGCTCTCAAATGCACTAGGAGTTGGTGCCTGTTTCTACTACTGGGGCACCCAGAGGTTCGAGGGGCATTGGATGCCTGACTGGTGACATCAGTCAGCCAGAGACAGAAATTTTCATTCTTGGCACCAACCCCTCTGGCCACCAAGCTTTCTCCATCCATGTCTCCTTATCTAAAAACCATGGTGAAATCAGCTCTGAATCTTGGGCCAGCCTCTCAGCTGAAGGAGAGGTCAGATCAGTTGGAATCCTAAATTCCCTAAATGCCAGTGGAGGAAAAGGTCAATTTCCAGTCCCCTCCATTTGAAGAGACGTCGTATTTTCTGAGTGAGAGAATGTATACAAGTGTATGAATATACACTCTTTGCTGAGGTTCTGAGCCCGGTTCTCTTCAGATGTTTCTCCTCAGATGAGAACTAAAACACACTTGGTAATAAAGTGATAGGCACTGCCTCCTCATGGCATCCTAGCCTCCATCTCCCAGCCCTCTGCCTCCCATCAGTCATCCAGGAGATTAGATTACACATGCCTTTCCTTTATCAAGACACTCCAGGTCAGCTTCTCCTTCACAGAGGATAGAGTTGGTAGTTCACTGGGGATAAGGATCCCATACCTAGTAGGATACTGATAGCTATTTAGAGGATATCAAAGTTCCATCCGATCTTATGCCCTCTGGGGCTCTCTCACGTAGCCCATGAACTTGTTCCTGTATTCACATGAACTCTTTCCCATTGAGACAAAGCTCTCATACACAGCTGGCCCAGATTTATAAACATGCCGGCTGCCAACGGCTGGCCCACTTCTCTCCTGCTTTTTAAAGCTAGTGTGTGAAGTAGGGAGGAAAGCACCAGAGAGGTGACCACTTGGACCTTTGGCAGGAACTCTTCACTGTGCCCAAGCACTGGGTTTCTGGACCAGGGGTTGCCTGGGGCACTCTTTTCTAGCCTCCTGGGAATTCCGCAGAGCTGCAGACCCTGCTAGACCTACCCCTGCCTGTCCATTCCAAACACACCTCCCTCCCTATTCCTTTCATGTGCTGTCTGGTCTGGAAGTTCACACACATTGTCTTTGGATTTTGTTTGCATGTAGAAACCGCAAGCCTTACAGTAGTTGGGATACAATACAGTGTTAATTGTTTCATGAGCAGTGGTGAGAACTGGAACCCTCCAAAGACCTGCGTCCAATTCCTGACCTGCGTTGCCTTTTCTGACAGGCCTCTCAGCTCTGTGCCCAGCAGCCTGTCCAGAGTGAGCTGGTACAGAGATGCCAGCAGCTGCAATCCCGCTTGTCCACTTTGAAGATCGAAAACGAAGAGGTGTGTTTCCTTCCCAGCGGCCCAGAGCCACTGTTTGCTTGTTGAACTACTTGTGGCTGTCCATCAGGGGTGGGTGGGGGCAGCAGGCAGAGAATGCCCGGGCTATTGCAAAGATTTCCTGGCCAGATGGAGGCCTGAGCGTTCCCTGCTGCTGCACCCTGCCCTGGAAATCCAGGAAGTTGTTCATACGTTGCCAAAGGTTGCACTCTATTTTGAGCTTTTACAAAATGCCCCTCCCCTTTACACATTTAATCAAAGCAGCACAAAGACCCACTTGTGACTGGCTTTTCCCAGCGTTTCAAAAAGAAACTGTTGACTTTGACACTTCAAATATATCTATCATCTTATAAGAGAGTGACTTTTCTTTTTCTAAACGCAGCATATTTTCCTTTAATAACCAGTTTAAAAGGACAATTTGACCAGTAATCTAGCTTTCTGTTGAGCTCAGATGGCTTCTTACCTAGTAAGTCTTAATTTTATTAGGAAGGCTAGGTTTGGGCTACTTAATTTGCAAATAGGGAAACAGATTCATTGATTGGTTGAAGGTCATGACTTATCACATATTTTAGCTAGCTCTGCTGTGATGGCAATCCTGACTTTCACTTCTATTATAATAAAGAAATGGGAGATTAAATCTTAAAAGTAAACATTGGGGTTGGAGAGATGGTTAAGTGGTTAAAAGCACTGTTCGTTCTTGCAGGGGACCCAGGGCTGGCTTCTAGCACCTGCCTAGTGGCTCATAACCATCCATAACATCAGTTCCCTGAGCTCCAACAACACCCTCTTCTGGCTGCCACAGGCACCAGGCACCATGACGTACACATATGCAAGCAAAACATGCTTACACGTACAATAAGTCTTTTTGAGAAAAGTCAACATTGCATAAAAGCTGAGTTAGGTGATTAGCAGAAAGAAGTCGTGGTGTTTAGATGTTCGCTGGAGAGGGCAGCTGGCTGAAGCAGGGTCCCCTGTGGTGCTCATCATTCACTTAGCCCTGTCGTCTCTGCTGTCACCCTCCTCCCTTCCCTTCCTGTTTCTTGAGAGGCACACTTCCTCTCCATCTTCTCGTCGCCCCTCACGATTGTTTTGGCCATGTGGTTCTAGGTGAAAAAGACCATGGAGGCTACCCTGCAGACCATCCAAGACATCGTGACTGTGGAGGATTTTGATGTGTCTGATTGCTTCCAGTACAGCAACTCTATGGAGTCTGTGAAGTCAACGGTCTCAGAAACGTTCATGAGCAAGCCTAGCATTGCTAAGAGGAGAGCTAACCAGCAAGAGACAGAGCAGTTTTATTTCACGGTAAGGGCACTCGCTGGCCTTAAAGGAGCATGAGCAGACACACTTAACTCAAGAGTTTCGTCAACTGTCTGAAAGGCAAGCTTTGAATACACTAGATCTGAATCTGGGATAACTTGCACACATCTCTACACTTAAAGCAACGCATCTACAAGCTGTTCATATCTGCCAGGGACCTCAAGGAAAGGGATGCTCCTAAATTAACTATTAAGAAAAAAGAAATTAGAGAAAACTTCAGCCAGATGGTAGGCTTTCATTTGAAAGTAACCCTCTCAGCCTCAGAAGATCATGCCAAGGGACTAAGTTTCTTGGTTTTTGAGAACTACATTCAAATATCCTTGCCAATGTGTATCTTGGTTTAAAAAGGTCTGAAGTCTCTCCTGGGTGATCTGAATGCATTATCATATAACTTTCATTATTAGGAAGTTATTTTTTGTAATATTGGTAATTATCAAGAATTCTGAAGGAGTATGTTTTACTCATTGTTCTCAGGTCTTTTAGATTGTGTGTGAGAGTGTGTGTTAATAGTTCTTTGAAAGGTTGCTAACGGGTCTTTTATGCTGCTTTCTAATAATTATCTTGAACTTGCCAAGTAGGGCCTATTGCTTGCACTAAAATTTATTTCCTTATCTTTTGATGTCCAAGAAAGGAAAACTGACTTTGCACTCGTGAGATGAAACACGGCCATTGAAAATGCACCCTGACCAAATGAAAGGCCTTCACTGGTCTCCACTCATGAAGCACACTCTGCATGGAGCAAATTAGATTTTTCTTCCAGCTGGGACACTTGCTTTAATTTTTCTTTGAACATTGTCCTTTTTTTCTTTAAGAGCATTAATATGATTGATTGGTGTCTTTGTAAATCTGTTTCAGTTAGTTAAGCTCCAAGTCTTTGGTGGTTTGTTGTTTTAAATCCCAAAGGAAACTTTTGAAAGGGTATGATTTAAGAGTATTGTTCTAAAACAGATGAACTGAACATTTTTTTGTTATATAAAGGAAAACTTAAGTGATTTTATTTTTAAAAGTATAACACATTTCACTATAGAAAAACATTTTAAAACATGGTCATTATAGCTTAAACGATCAAAAAGAAGAAAATGCATATGAGCGTATATTTAAAGTTATTAGAGACACCTTTGTATATGTTGTGTTATAAATTTAAGTCATCCAGTTGTATATGTTCTAGCTGTTTTGGGGGTTTTGTTTGTTTCTTGGTGGAACTTTCATATGTGCTAGGCAAGAGCTTCAATTCTGAGTCTGTGTCCAGCCCATATTACATTTTCTAAGCATATGCAAATCTAAACAAAGAAATGAAACACACATTGCCTAGTTCATGATGCTCAGCAACTGCCATTCATTTTACCATCATTATTATTAATCCATGAATACTGTGAAGTTATTCACTGATCATCTGCCTTGTATTTACCATATGCCAGATTCTATCATGGAATAATAAGGATCAGAAAAAACAGGTAGGCTGAATAGATGTTTATTCAGGGAGAAATAACTTACAACAGAGACAGATGAACGCCAGCAGGTTCCCATCCCAGGGATGCCTCCAGATGCTCTCTGTCTCCATCCAGCCAAGAGAGAGCACTCCGGGGTCCCCTACCTCAGAACTAGTTCCCCCATGGCTCGTCTGCACCTGTCCCAACCCCCAATGGGCGTGGTCAGTGCAACAGGTGCCGGCAGAGTAAATATCTTGCTACAAGATTCTATGCTACAAGTTGGAATGCTTAGAGTACAACAGAAAGAAGAAAAAGAGGGGTTAGGCATATGCAGAGAGGACTTCGGTTTTGGCTTCATCTATTTCTAAACAATTTTTTGGATGCACAAGTGTGTACGAGCAGCAACAGGATGAATGGTGTTCGGGCAAACATCACACACACTGACTTTTGTGCTTGCTTTTAGGCATGAGTAGGTCAAAGAGGGTTGGGAAGGAGACTAAAGTTCTTCAAGGAGATCAGACAAGTGAAAAGTGTAAAGGCCTACAGAAATCTAAATTAATAGAACTTCTTGACGCTGATGGGGGCTATGTCACTGTCTCAGGTCTCATAATCTCTTAACAATAGGATTTGTTGGCAACTCTTTCCGAGCCAATTAGGTATCGAGGAGCCAACCTTAGTATATTTCAAAAGGTTCCATCGTAAAAATTATTATTAATTCATTTTTATTAATTAGTTGAGAATTCCACACATGCATGCAATGTATTTGACCATTTCACCCCCTCACCTCTTAACTGGAGGCAGTTAAGAAATTTGGGGGAATGCCAGGTGGTGATGGTGCACACCTTCAGTCCCAGTTCTCGGGAGGCAGAGACTGACAGATCTCTGTGAGTTTGAAGCCAGCCTGGTCTACAGCGAGTTCCAGGACAGCCAGGGCAACACAGAGAAACCTTGTCTTGAAAAACTAAAACAGGAAGAAAAAAAAGAAGAAATTTGGCAGCTTAGGCGCTGGGGAGATAGCTTAGTCAGTAAAGCGCATGCTACACAAGCATGAAGACCTTAGTTTGAACCCTAGTAGGCCATGTAAAAGAAGCCAGGGCAACTGGTAAGTCCATAGCTGGGGAGCAGAAACCGGAGGGTACAGCCCTGGGTCTTACAACCAGGCCAGACTAGTGAATTGGTTATCTCCAGGTTCAGTGTGACTCCTTGCTCAAAAACTAAGGTACAGAGCAAATGAGGAAGGCACTGTGACTAACACTAACTCTGGCGCGCACACACACACACACACACACACACACACACACACACACACACTCCCAACAAAAAATAAGAAAAGGAATTTGCACACAGTACTTGTCTGAATTACCTTTTGAATTAAATGTATAACATATATATTCAGAAACTGATGTTTGCTCCCAAACCAGAAGGCTGATGGGATGCCTCAGCACTTTAAGAGCTCATTCTGAGGATGACACCCAGGGGCTCACAACTGCCTATAGCTCTAAATCCACCCTAGTCTCTGTGGGCACCAGCACTCACATGTACATGCCCACACAGCGACACATAATTAAAAATGAACCTTATTTTAAAGAAATAACTTTATTCAAACCGATGGCCCCTAAAATCATGCCTGCCTGTTCCCCTCAATACAGTGGGGTCCTGCAACCCATTTCCTGACTCCTTATCAAATTATTGTGCGCATTGCTTTAACTATCAGAAACTAGTTTTGGTTTATCTAGTAACTATCAGATTCGCATGAATTCATTACTTTTGTGACTGGATCTGAAATGTGTTAGGTAATCGTCTTCTGATAGCAGCATTTTTGGTGGTGGTTGTGAAATGGACAATCAGATCCCCAAATTAAAACTGAGGGGCTACCTGCCTGCATTTGCTAGACCATGCAAAAGTGGTAAAGCGATCCCTCATTACAGCTTGACTCCTATGTAGTGTGTCTAGTGACCATGTGGGCTTTGGGGATAGTTTTCTGACTGCTTGTGACTGTCATCAGATGAATTTACTCATGTGACATCAGTTGAAAATTTGAAATATGTCTTACAAAGGTCACTTGCTTTCAAAGGCTGTTGAAAATTGTAAAATTTTAAACTTGAAGCAGTTTTAAAATATCATCTAACCAACCTTCTCACTTGAAAGCTTTGGGGGGAAAATGGAAAAAGAAATTCAGTGGTATGGATAGCTTGAACAAGGCCGTCATCAACAGCTGAACCTAGAACTCAGGTCAGCTGCTGGTCACACATGTTTGCTCCGTGCCCTGCTGATCAGCTAAAGGGAAAGGCTCAGCAATCTCCTTGTTGTAAGAAGGGAAGTGTATCTGACCTCCTTGTCTGTATCACTCGTCTTCTGTAGCACACCATCCCTCAGCATCTTCTTCTTTTCTTGTTGCATTGTAAAAAAAGACGCACATATTTCAAAAGCAAACTAAGGAGAAAGTAGAGCCTTACCTCACCCCATGCATACTTTTCTTCCCTTCTGCCATTGAGTGAAACTAGGTTTTTTTTTTTTTTTTTTTTTTTAGTCCTTTCAGAGATTCTCTATGCATAGGCAGCCGATGAGGTATCAGTAAGTGGCCCTTAATACAATAAATGACACTGGAAATTGTAATGAGTGGGGGCTGTATGTAGCGCGGTAGCTAAGGGTGCCTGCCTGGCACAGGTGACACCGTGGGTCCCATCTTCAGCCCTGCAAGAGAGACGTTATGAAGGCAAACAGAAGTGGACACTTTCACTGCCCACTCTACTTGTATCACAGTTGGAACAGAACTCGCGTTAGTCTGAAAGCATTTGTCCCACATCTCACACAAATCCCTTCCCAATGGCCAGACACAGTTCCGCTGGATCGTTACATCATTATTTAACCAGTTCTCTGCGATGAGCGAGAATCCTCTCTGGTTGGGCCAAGAATCATCAGAGCCTTAAAAAGCTGGAGTTTCACCTAAATATTTCTTTTTGTGGAAAACTGAAGCGAGGGATTATTTTTTTAATAATATTTTTTCCCAGATTTATTTTTGTTTTATGTGTATGATTTTTGTCTGCATGAAGTGCCCTCAAAGGCGAGAGGGCATTGCAACCCTAGAACTGTACATAGACAGTTGTGAGCCACCGTGTAGGTGTTAGAAACCGAACCCAGGTCGTCTATAAGTACAGTAAGTGCTCTTAACTACTGAGCCATCTCTCCAGCCCCAAGTATGGTGTTTTCAAATGGGAGAAGAAGGGATTGAAAAATGTGGCTGATAAAATAACAAAGCCTGAACTCTTAGGGGTAGATTTGGGTAAGACCATAGGAGAGAAGGCAGCCTTGTGTCCATTAGGCAGTCCACTAGGCTTAGAGCTATGATTTGGCATAGTATAGAGTGGGGGAGAGTCTGGTTATTACAATCTTGATAGTCCTCTTAGTTCCCAAAATGCCACTTAGTCCTCCCTTGGCTTCAGCTGTCTCAGAGTTATGCCTGTTCAGCAACAACTGAATCCTTGTGCCTCGAGTCAGCTAGTAAAGGCGGGGTTGTCTGTCCCCAGCATGTCTGTCCTGGTTTCTAGGTGGAGTGATGGATAGCGTGTCTGCAGGCTCTGAGGTTCCTTTCCTTTCCCACCTAGATGCAATACATCATTGTTCTTCCCACCCTTGTTTTAGGGATGCAGAGCGTATCTCGGTACAGTTTGATCCTTTCGTATTTAGTGGAACCTGGGAAGGTTACATCATACCTCTTTATCAGGTTGTTGTTTGTGTTAACGCTTCACCAAGTGACAGCTGAAGTCACCTCATGAGCTGTAAGCATTGGGGTTGGGGGAGGGTTTGGGAATTGAGAATAGAAATATGAGTGAGAGGAAGTTTTATTCATCCCCTTTCAGATGCTGTATTGTGAGCATCCTGGTTACAACTTTCTCCATCAGGAAACCCTGAGACTCCTAGGATTACTTTCCAAAGACAGGCCTTTTCGGGGAAGGGGAATGTACTATTAGCAATGGACTCCCCTGGAGGCTTTTGCCCTCTGGGTCCTAAATAGGATTCCAAGCCCACAGTTAGGCATTGGATGGAGATTAGGATATCATCCAGGGAACACTGACAGCAAGTGAGCTGACAGCTGGAACAGATGGAGAGAGGAAGGTGACAAGAGAGACTATTTTCATGCAGATGTTTTCATGCAAAGGCATAAAGGAGCAGACAACAGGCTTTAAATAAGACAGCAGAAATGATTTAGCATAGGGTTTGTCTCTGGCCCGTCTCATTTAGAGTAGGAATACCATTAGGGACTGGTTTTGTAATTGCAAGGAGCAGTTTATACAGAGGGGAATGAGGATGCTCACTCATTTGTTCATTCTTCATATTAAGTTCCTACTATTTTATAGGAGTGACATTAAGAATCGTGGCTAGTTGGGATAGTCGGTGGCGTGGTCTCTAGATAGAAAGACACAGGGTAAACCTTCTGTGATAGGGTGTGTGAGAATGGTACCATGGGGATTTACAAGTTACCATGGGGCCATGTGGGTGAGCACAAGGGGCCCAGGGGCCACCTCCCAGAAAAGCAGGTTTTCCCTCATTTAAATGGGAACGAGAGGGCAAGCTCTTAGTTAAAGCTTCATACTGTAAAGCAAATATAGAGTAAGAGTAACTCAGACCTTTTTATTATTTATCATTAATGAAGTAGTGATAGTCATAAAAGTCCAAGACTTGAAATTATTTTCTTAGTTAGTGAACAGTAAAAGATGGAACTATTACTATTATTAAGATGTTTATTTCTTGGAGCAAACCCAAGTCTTTCTAGTGACTTGTGGATCATACTCTGGGAGACCCATTTGCTTCTAAGTTAAATCATATGAACCAGTGCAGCAGAAATAGCCAAGTCAGACTGAACCTTCGAGAATGGCTGTAGAGGAGTGTGTAGTAAGAGTCCTCACCTAGCTTTAGCACTCATTAGCTTGCAGCCACACCCTCCCTCTCCTAGAATCGTCTTCTCATCTCTAATAAGGGACCCTGATATCTTCCTCATACATGTATAGGGCTATTGTAAAGGACAGACCATCTATGTGCTAACGTCGTCTAAAGTCTCCTGGGCTGCTACTAATGGTGTCTACTATGAAATTTTGTTCTGCTTCTCTTTGGCTGTATAATGTAGTAGGTGGAACAGTTTATTTTAATACTTGAGAGCACAGGCCATTCTGTCTTCGTGGAAAGATGCATCTACTTAAGCCAGATAGAGAGCCCATGACAGAACAAAGTCCAGATAGCATCAGAGTCCAACTTGGTGGACCACTGAGTTTTATTGGGGTTACCTGGTGGCGCATGGGTGAGGTATTATTTACAAGAGCAGAAATGATGAAAAGACATCTCCATCACGAAAAGTCTCTAAAGCCGGGCCCCTGGGCATACCGCATAGCCCTTATGCAGCTTGGCAGGTTGAAGGATGTCCTTTCTGATGGCTCAGTTAGTCTGAGCCTCCTGCAGGCAGATTGACTGGTCTCTGCTTCTTTTCAGGCTTCCTGTCTGAGAGTCACTTAGTGGTCTATATTGTGTATCCTTGAGGGGGGGGGGTATCACGAATCTGCTCAGATTCCGGAGCTTCTGGACTATTTTGAGTTGTTTCCTTCCTCTCTTAAGGAGCTTCCCTGGGAAGTGGAATGTTTCCACGGGGATGAAGGGGGCCCTGCTACACAACATTAATCGCCATTAATCTCTTCAAACCCACTACTTTGTCCCCATTCCTCGGGTGAAGTGGGAATGGTGACTATAGTAGTTTATACAGTTGTTTGAAGGAGTTTGTGAGTTTACCAGTCAAGCAAGAGTTGATGAGCTGTCAAGACTGTGTTTCGCCCCCTGGTGCAGGTGTGGTGGCACTGCTCATCTTGCCCTTGGAATTTGCATAACATATAGTAGGTGGCAGCCACTCCAGCTGAGCACTCAGAAAACCTAACTTTCGGTATTAGAATAGACATGAGACTTGGCAGGGTCTGCCTTATGAGAGGGTGCTCTGTGGGTGAGGTTTACCATTGACACTGCCCTAGGGTGTGGTGCATCTTGGGAGGAGCAGGCTGTGAGCCTAAGGGGCACATAGCAAGTGCATGTCTTCAGACCAGTGTGGCTGGGCCTCGCGGAGGTTGTCCACTGTCCCTGCCAGACTCATTCTTTACTGGGACTGAAGGACACAGGTGAAGGGCTTTACTTCCAAAACAGTTTCTTAGGAAAATACTGTGTAGATACACACCCACCATGAAAATTGCCAGAGAGGGATATTTTTTTTTTTTTTAAAGAATTTAAATGGACTTGCTAGAACTTGAGTCAGAGAGTCAGAAACCAACTGGTAATTACCCAGTTGAACCTTTGTGCCTTGTGTTTCTTCAGGACTCTTAAGTTCTCTTATTTCTCCTCTTCCCCTACAGAAAATGAAGGAGTACTTGGAGGGTAGGAACCTAATCACCAAGCTGCAAGCCAAGCATGACCTCCTGCAGAAAACCCTGGGAGAAAGTGAGTGTGAGCATACTCTGCTGAAGCTTGGTAGAGCAGAGGCCAACAGCACTGTGATCCTGAGCGCTTGCCTCCAGGCCTCAGCCAGCTAGACCCCACTGGTTGTATGAATGAGTTTCTTTGCCTAGCCTATTCCCTGGGAAAGTACTCCCCTAAATGGCTGCTTGCGGAATGGGAAGACGGCAGTGTGTAGTGGAATGCTAACACTCATCGGCAGTTTCTTTAGATGGAGCGTGCCTGCTTTCCACCCAAACCCAGTCCTTTACCTTCCTGCCACGCCAATGGTAAAGGGGCTTCAGGGTTACCTTCTCTCTAGACCCTTGTTAGAACTCCAGTCCTGGGGAGAGAAGGTCTTCAGATGGAGGATGGGTGGGCACACTTGCTGCTTGTTCAGCTTCCAGGGTGGACATTCATTTCCTTTCACTTAAGTGGCAGCCATCTCTCTAGTGTGGCTGCACTAAGGGTAAAGTGCTGAATGGACTGTATTCTCTGGCAGTAACCTTAGCCAGACACTGGAAAGTATTGAGGCAGAGAACTGGACAGAGGCTCTGGACTTTCTCCCCAGTCAGCTGTCAAACAGAAGGTGGAGGTTGAAGAAGCTTTCCCTGGGGTTGTTTGGCAACCTGCCCAGGTCTCCTGCCTAGCTTTCAGCATCCTACGATTAATGGGATTCCCAGGTTGGGGATGCCCTGGATGTTCTGCCTTCCTCCCTTTTCTTAAAGACCAGACCACAGGGAGTATGTGGTCTCATTGGTGACAGATGTGCCTGCACTCAGACACAAATCTAACATTTTAAAATAAATTCTTGAGCACTCATCAGACAAACTGTGAAGTACATTAAATGTCACAAGACTGATTGGCTTTTTGGCTGAGAAATCGGAGTCCCACTTTTCAGACCAGACTCACCTACCCACACTTCTCGCCTTATCCTTGTCCTACCCTGATCGATTCCCCCCCCCCAATTTTTTTCTCTAGTATCTTTGATTTTGCGTTTGTTTTTTTTTTTTTTAAGAATTTTGCTTTAATATGAAAAGAATCGTTTAGTACCTTCTGCTCTTTTCCACCCAGACAGTTCAAGTCTAGGCATGAGAGCCAAGCTTGCTTATGGGAAGTCTTTACTCTTGAGTTACCAGGTTGCTGTGTGGTGAGTTAAAGGAAAGACAGCTTGTAGAACTATTTGAAGAAACTTCTAGCTATGATTTCTTTTCTCGAGACAGCCTCAGCATAGGCTGGAAGACAGGGGAAAAGGCTTTAGAGCCACACATGTATGCATGCTTATACACATGTGTACACCAAATAATGCGACTCTAGAGGGATGGAGGTTGACCAGTGGAGCTGCAAATTGCCATAATTTAAAGATGACAAGTTCCAGAGATAGAGAAAAATAATAGCTATAAATCATCCTATGTACAAATTACCATGTCCCTGCCTTCTGCATTTGTTACCATAATTTAAGAGCCTCTAGTTCTTACCATAGAGGGATAACTGATGTGTATGAATGGAAATTGGACAGATGTTGAAAATAATGGCGCAGAATAATATTTTCACAGATGAAAGCTGAGCTTTTGGTAAGAGGGCGATCAACGATTGGTATTGCTAAAGATGAGCTGGACTGTCTTAACAACTCACAACACTTGAAATGCAAGAAAATACCCTGCCTTCTCCACCCCTCAGAGCTGCCTTTCCTGTAGCTTGAATAAGGAGTGTGGGACTTGATTCCTTTCTGGCTCACTGCCTGCCAGGGTTTGCCATTGACTTATGTAAGACAGATCAAGTTTCATTAACTGTTGACCCAGAGAAGGCAACATATTACATCATGGTTTATGCATGCATATATGCAAATTTTAATTAAGAATACTTTTTACCATCTTTAAGATTTTCCATTTTATTTTTCAAAGCTAACTATGGTCCGTGAAAGTCTTAACCACCTATCATTAGATTGAAAGCCTTCATTTGCTAGCCTCATGGGTACTGAATCTTATCTCTGCCTTACTATGCCAGTGCAAGTTAACAGAATTTAGTATGATTCTAAAACTAGAACCTACATATCTTCTCCCTCCTCTCTCTATATTCCCTTCTCTTCCCAACCTCAACTGTATGTGTGTGTGTGTTTGTTCATATACTGAAAAGTTTGTTCCATGCCCTAACCCTGACCCTAAACCTACCTCTCATCACCGCTACACACATGTATAAGAAGCTGGATTTCATGTATGAAGAAGGCTGACAATAATTTTGTTTTCTCTAAAATATGATTGCTGTGTTCTTCCCATACATCCACGCCTGTTTTTCTCGCTGGGGAAGCAGAGCTGACAAGGTCCAAAGATACTGATGGCTTTGGCATGGGAACCTGAGAGCAAAGTTCCTGCGCAAAATGAAGTTAGGGCAATCCTTTTCTGCTACTGGCTCCCTAGGAAGATGTAAAGGGCGTGGCAGTTCCTAGGGTGTACAGCCCTCCGCCCTTCTGCTCCAACAAATACATTTTCCCCTTCTCTTTCCACAGGTCAGAGGACAGACTGTAGCCTTGCCAGGTAAGTAACCCTGGAAAGGGATAAAGACCCATGGGCAGTAGCAAGCTGGGAAAGAGCCATAAAGTTGTATTGTAAAAGACATTGGATGACTTTGCAAAGGAGTTGCCTGAGGCGAGGGTTGCTTCCTTCTCTTTGCCTTACTCACTCTATTTCCTCCCAAATGGCTGTGGAGTTGCTGCCGTTTAGGGAAGTCTACGCAGAATAATGTCATGGGAGTTATCACCTGATAAAAATCTTCCCAGAAACTCCCCAAAGCCACTATATTGCAAGAAAATAAACACTGGACTCTGTTGCATCTTGGTAACCTCTTAGCTAGACTTCAACTTGGCCTTGGGGAAGTCTCCAACACACAAAGATTTAGTGATAGCATTTGAGTTTTTGTTTTGTTTTTTGTTTTTGCTTTTTTTTTTTTTTTTTTTGTAATATATGGAAAAGATGATAGGCCCTAATTAGTGACTGTTGGTGGATAGTGAAATATTACATTGCATTGGCTTGCTGAAGAGCACGGGGATAAATCTTTGCCGATGTACAAGTATGCAACCTTCCCAATCTTTCCCCACCTTCCCTCCCTCCCCAGCTCAGCCAAATAGTTTCCCTCCCAGTCACTGATGCTGCTATGGGCTGGCAGAGAACCGGACATTCATTCAGCCAGCACCCTCAGATGCCTGAAACTGTGCTCATATGAAAGGCGGACACGCCTTAATGAACCAGATTGCATTGTGTCAACCCGGCAACTGGTAGAGTCATGAGGCCATTTACAGTTATAGACTCATTATCTAGTGATAACTCAATTTGATTTTCACCATTTTTTCATAGTGGATTACAGTACAGGTCCCGTTAATATGAAATTTGTGAGGACTGGAGGGAACTAAGATGAAATTCTGTAGACTCTGTCTCCTAGTGGTATAGTCGTAACTTCATCAGAAATACCACATCTCTAGAAAGCCCGAGTAGAATAGACCTGAACTGATTTCCCTCGCTGAGTTCTTTCCCCACGTGTAACCTTGGACAGTTTATCTCCTCCCTCGGAATGTCAGTCTCCTCTTGTTGAGGACAAGAGTGTTGTGTCAGTTCAGAGAAGCACTAGGATTTCAGAAATGTGCCTAAAGGGCAGGCTGGCCGCAGAGTCGGAGCGAGGCCCAGCATCCCTGCCTGGCCTCTACCTTCATCAAGCAGGCAGTGCTTTTGATTTGAGTAGGATGCTTCTTCTGTATCTGATGCTCTTTGAGGAAAAGGCTTCTACAGCTAAACACAGCTGGAAAAGCACTGACAAAGGGTCCCTGGGCTTCCCTTCAGTCTGAGTGTCCTCCCATACAAATAAAAATAAAATAAGCAGTCCTTTTCCCCAAGAGTCTCAAGAGAAAATATACACCCGTTGGTGTTTATTGTTGTCTCCTTTTAAACAGAACGATCTTAAAATTGTCTAACGTGAATCTGTTTTGCTACGGATTAAATCCTTTGCCTCCTATTTAAGTTTTAAACAGTGGTGAGCATTAAAGTCGGGGACCTCTGTGCTTTTATGAAGGAATAAAGTTTATTAGGCTTTGGTTGGGAAATAGCTTGCCAGGTCTCTTAGCTGTTTCTGGGACTGAGATCAATAACGTGACATGTTTCATTACCTGCTGTATAGTTGTTTTACATGATTTAAAGCTTTAGTCCCAGGCTTACGAATGGTTGTCTCATTCTGTCCCCATTTTCTTTTTCCTTCCTGTTGCTGGACTGGTCCTTTCTGATTCGGTGGGTCAACCACAGGCGTAGCTCAACCGTGAGGAAACAGGTAAAGAACCCAGCAGAGCCAGACTGTTCAGTCTGCCTCATGCAAACCGAATACGTCCCAGCCATCGCTGAATCCATGGCATGCCTCCTCTGACGTCATGCTCATGTTTGGTTGTATCTCTAGTTACAATATGGTTAAGTCTCTAGCAAACACTGATTTAACTTGCCTGCAATTATCATAGGCTCTGTGATTTGTTCTTCTTGTTACTTATTTAAGTCTCTTGCATGTTAGGTTTGGTTTACATGTGAACAAGTTGTTTTGTAACAGCCCATGGTGCCCTTCTCTAGGAGACCATAAAGAGGCCTCACAGTTCCTCACAGACACACTGTTGAACCAGCATTGAGGTGGCCATCCTCAATCTAAAAGTGTTGCCTACGCTTGTAAGTCTTAATTATTTCTGGTAACATTGTAATCTTAGACAGATTCCTGATTTACCCTAACAAAGTACATATGAAACTGTTAGCGAATGAATGTTAAGTACTCGACAGGGTTGCACTTGACATTCACCTTTGTATTAAAATCCGCAACCGAGCAGCCAGTTCTCACCCATGTCAAGAGGACTCTTAGCCATGGCCAGAGTAATCCACATCAGGAGAAATCTCAACTCAGCAGCTACTTACTTTAAAGGAAAAAAAAAATTAACCGAAGCATATTTTTGCAGTAGCAATATTCCATTCACTAGTTATGGCCTGTGGTGAGTACAGAAGTGACTTCATGTTCCCTGAGCATCCCACACCAGCTTTGCAGGAGGGACAGTTAGCAAGAGCAGGCGTGGGAGGCATCACACTGTCTACCCAGGAAAAAGCTGACCAGGCCTGTAAGAAGGCATTTGCAGGGCTGGAGAGTCAGCTCAGCAGTTAAGAGCACTTGCTGCCCTTCTAGAGGACGTAAGCGTAACTTAAGTCACCTGTCTCAGGCCACTTACAGCTGCCTGTGACTCTAGCTCCAGAGGATCCAATACCCTCTTCTGGCCTCTTAGGGTATGTGCACATGTGACAAAAACACATAAATATAAATAATAAATGTTTTGATCTTTTCTATTTAATTTAGAAACAGTTTTATTTCACATATCAATCTGACCCCTTCATTCCTCCCCCCATCCGCTCCCCAGGGTGGGTGAGGCCTTCCATGGGGGATCATCAGTGTCTGTCATATCATTTGTGGGAGGGCCTAGGCCTTTCCCTGTGTATCTAGGCTGAGAGAGTGTCCCTCCATAGGGAATGGGCTCCCAAAGTCCATTTATACACCAGGGATAAATACTGGTTCCACTGCCAGAGGCCCCATAGACTGCTCAGGCCTCCTAACTGACACCCACGTTCAGAAGGCCTGGTCAATAAAACTTTTTAATGTCAGTCGTAGTCCTGCAAAGAAGCCTAGACACATGGCAGTCATCAGATGCAGAGGGCACTGGGTTCCCCTACTGTTTTCCAGTCCCACGCTCTGTTCATGGACCCCACTACTCGGGCTTGGTGGCAGTCCAGATATAGAATTCACTTGACACAGGCTCCCTTGTCTCCCCAATACTTCGAAGATTTATTTATTGTATTTCGTGTGCATACGTGTTTTGCCTACATGTATGTATATGTATCATGGCAGTCAAAGGAGGGTGTCAGGTCGCCTGGAACTGGAGTTACAGATAGTTAAGGACCACTATTGTGGGTGCCAAAACCAAATCTGGGTCTTCTGCTAGAGAGGCAAACACTCTTGACTACTCAGCCTTATCTCTAGCCTTCCTCTTGACTATAGGTATCATTTTAACGAGAAAAATCATCTTTGTTTTTTTGTTTTGGTTTGGTTTGTTCTTTAATTACAGCTTCTTACTTACTATACAGCCTAATCCGGCCTGGCTATACCTTCTTAAATCACAAAAATGTCACTATAACTTTCTACCATCTTATTCCTATAATTCTTTCTTCTCCTTTCTCCCCAGATTTCTGTTAAAGCTTGAGAGAAATGGACTGCCTCTCAGAGAGGATCTGTTGCATTGAAAATTAATAGACATGTATTTTACAGACTAAGCAACCACTTTTCCTGTATTACCAAGAATAGGCCTGCACTTGAAGTTTATTTCTTTCCACTTCTGACCTAACTCTAGGCCTGTTGCACAGACGTAGAGCATGCATGTGGGAGCTTTGCAGCTCGTGCTGTAGCTGCAAGGGTGCTAGGCTTTGGCACGGAGTGTCTGCCCCTGGTTGGGGTCACCATCAGCAGGTTTGCATTGCATACTGCCGCACTAGAGCAGTTGAAGGCAGGGTGTGTTCTCCTGGTACCGGGTTTGCATTAGGGTCCAGGTTTACTGCATGCCCCAGTCCAATAAGGTCGTTGTATTGATTGTTCTTCCCGTTTCTCTTCAGCAAGAATTTTTTCTTAGGCGGTCAGAGCAGTAATTCGTAATTTAAAAGATCCTATGTACATAACCAGAAAATCCACCTTTTACTTCTTGTAAATCAGCCAAATAAGAGAATCTGGAAACGTGTTTTCCTGAGAGGCTATGTTCAAAGCAGCCCAGACATTTCCTAAAAAGGAGTAACACCGCATCACCTGTTACCTACGGACATCCTTGTTCCACTCAGCCCTTCCATTTTCTCTCTACTGCTCATCTCTCTCACCTCGTTCCTGACCGTATGTCTTGCGTCTTCCCCAGGTGTGGCCCACTCTGTGCTAGTCTCTTTCTTAAAAGATGTATTTATTTCATGTATGTGGATGCTTGGCCCATGTGTATGTCTGTGCACCTCGTATGTACAGTGCCAGTGACTGCCAGAAGAGGGCACCAGATCCTCTGGAACTGGAGTCTCCAGTGGTTGTTAGTTGCCATGTGCGTGCTGAAAACTGAACCTGGGCCCTCACAAGAGCAACGGGTGCTCTTAAGTGCTGAGCCCTCTCTCCAGCCCCAGAATGCTAACCTCCCACCAAAAATAAGTGATAGATGTTGAGAGACAGATATGTTTAACCTGCCTCAAACACAAAGTAGTATCTATATGTATCAAAATGCCACATAGTAACCCATTAATACATGCAGATTTTATACACCAGTTAAAAAATAAGTTTTAATACAAAATAAATTAAATTAACACTAAAAGAAAGAAACCTCACCAAACTATGGACATTATGTAAACGTCATCCTGCTAGTTTTCTCCTGTACATTACTGCCTGCTACTCTACTATCTTTTCCAAATTGTGCCAACTGTCTGTTCCCTCCTGCTTTCTTAATCTGATTGGATGGAAATTTGCCCTGATTGTCCTTAAAAGCCCCTTCCAACCTAAGGTTATATGGGAAAAAACCAACCAAGCAAACAAAAAACCATTGAGAGCAAAACAATGAGATGAACACTGATTCATTCTAACATTGAGAAAAGAAGGGAAAGAGAGAAAAATGAATTTAAAAAAACATAGGAAGTGCTGAGTGCTGGGGAAATTGTATGCAGTTAGTGGTGACATCTAGGTTTCGGGAACACAGAAGCACATCTGGCAGAACGAATTCACTGTGGCTTAGAGATATCACAGGTAGCAATGGGGACATCCGAAACCTCGGTGCTGTTGTTCCTTATTAGGCTCTGCCTTGGACTCCATTTTAGCCTCCTGTAGTAGGATAGAGCCTCTGGCCTCCCTTGTCTGCCTCAGATTATTCCTCTGGGTTACTTCTTCTGGTGGGCTATTGGTGGCCGTAGACATGCATCTTTGGCGCCTTGTTTCCTGAGAACTCTACGTATGTCACCCTGCTGTCGGTAGAACATTTCCTGCACATCCAGACAAACCTTCATGTTCACATAGTTTATTAATGCCTGGAAGTTTCCCAGTGTCCTCCTCCTTGAACTTTAGATAAATCTGGGACCAGGAAACTCTGCAAATCCCTTTCTGCCACCTTCGTTGTCTCTCCGGCTACATGATTTCGTATGAATGGAGCTTTTCCCCTTGTAGTAGTCGAGCCTAGTTTTCATTAGAGTAAGGAAGAAAGGATCAGATTCTTCCTCTAAGCTTACTTGCACTGACTGGCAGAAGTCAGTGATCTAACAGAATGTCAGACCCTGGCTGCTGTACCTCAACAGCTAGAGGAAGCAGTCGGGTTGGAGGGTGGGTCACAAAGATGAACGTTTGGAGCTAGGAGTGGTATCACATGCCATTAATCCCAGAGAGGCAGAGGCAGGCGGATTTCTGTGTGAGTTTGAGGCTACGCAGGCATACATAGTGAGTTCCAGGCCAACCAGTGCTACTTAGTAAGACCCTGTTTCAAATCAAGAAACAATAATCATAATAGAACAAGCTTTTGTGACACTGAGACCTTTCTGGCCCCAGCTCCTTTGGCGGCACCCTGATCACAGGCAAGCTTGGAACCTACACAGGCCAGGCCGTCTCTTTCAGCCTAATTCCTTCATGAGACCCAGCTGCTTCCCTTATAGTAGCCAAACCCCTTGGCTACAGTTGAAACTCCAAAGCCAGATGGGTGCAATCCAGTCTGTGAAATGGGCAGAAGATACAAGGGTCCACCCCACTGTAGAACTCAGTCTTTCCTGGCCATATGAAATGAGGTTTTAGAGCTGTCCATGATGTTTTTCATGTAGCTCATTAGTATAAAAACCCTTCCTGGTTTTTAGTAATAATTGGTAGGCAGTGTTGGCTGCCCTCACAGAATTCAGTATAAGTGACAGCAAAGTGTTGAGTAACAGGGAATTAGGTCCTGACTTTTCTGCTTATTAGTTATATGATACAAGCAACAGTAACCTCACCAAGCCTCATTTCCACACTACCAAGTGAGAATAATCAATAACGGTAGTATACACCATAGAGGCAAACTATCTAGAGACTTTGTATGTGGAGCAACACCTCTGTAAATGTAGGCATTAATATTCATGTACCTGGGGCTGGAGAGATGGTCCAGTGGTTATGAGCACTGGCTGCTCTTGCAGAGGACCTGAATTTGTTTCCCAGCACCCACATAGTGACTCACAACCACCTGTACCTCCAATCCCAGGACATCCAATGAATTCTGGCCTCCTTGGGCATCAGACACACAAGTGGCACACAGACATGCATGCAGGCAAATATTCATAGTATATGAATATTATATATAGTAACCCGTATAATTTAAATGGAATAATCAGGATTATGTAACAAAAAGACAAAACAAAAAGGACATCTGGGAAGCCTACCTTACATATTCCCATGTTATTCTCACTATTTCCAAGAATGCTTTTGCTTTTCTTTATCATTGGGAGAACCAAGCCATCCTTCTTTCTTTTAGGTTTTTAAGCTTTTTTTTTTTTTTTTTTTTTTTTTATGTGCTTGGGTGTTTTGCCTGTTACTGTCTATCCCTCTGTCTCCTGTCTCTGTCTCCGCCTCTGCCTCTCATGCTAAAATCTGTAGCCCTTTTCTGCCATTTTAAAAAACCATCGGCCACCATTTCCATCACCATATCCATAGCTACCCCCGTAGCATCAATGCAGTCCGGCTGAGGACGACCAGCTAGCAGTTTCATCTCTGTGTTGAGACTAGACTCCCTTCTCCTATCCTTGGCTCTAATGTCTGCAATTCTTTTCTGTGTTTCAGGATTCCAGCCAGGCAATTCCTCTGGTGGTAGAAAGCTGCATCCGGTTTATTAGCAGACACGGTAAGCAGGGATTCAGCTCTGCTCATATTTTGAAAAGTTGGAACAAGAATAGAGGTAGTTGGAGCTGGAGAGATGGTTCAGCGGTTGAGAGCCCTTTCTGCACAATCATGAGGACCTCAGTTTAGAGTCTAGAACGTACAAACCAAGGAGAGCAGAATCATATGCCTTCTGTAACTCCAGCGCTGTGGAGGGGAAGGTGGGAAGATCTCTGGGGCTTGCTGGCTGCCGCCCCAACCTAAAAAATACCCTGTAAGGTCCAGGTTCAGCGGAGAGACACTGCCTCAAAGGAGTAAGGTAGGGAGTATTAGAATAGAGACCAATCAACACTGTCCCCTGGCCTCCATAGCTACACAGCACATGCGTACACATATGTGCATATACCCCGGAGAGAGCAACAGAGATTGCCTTCCCATCCTCACTCATGTTCTTAGAAAAGGAATAAAATCTTAACCATTCACGTAATGTCTACTCCTTTAGGAAGGCCACACCTACGTGCTGAAAACAGGCATGTTTTGACCTAGCCGCCTACCCTGCTCTTTTCTAGCCTCCAGAGTTTTAAAAGCCAGCTGCTTTGTGAACAAGTACAGCTAGGTCATGTGTCAGTGGTAGTGAAAGCAGTGGTTACAGCCTTAGTGTGTTTGGGAATCTCCTATGGCATAGCCTACCCATTTCGTCCCATTGGCGGTACCAGAATGGCTCGAAACAGTTCCGTCTGTAACGTTGCACTGACTGTGTATTTAATGTTTGGATTTTGTCTTAATTTGGCCTCATTGGACATATTGTCCCCACGATCTCAGTCAATAACTGTCCTAAAGTTATCCCCACCTTTCGAGTGTCTTCAGGGACTGGCTCTTCTCAGCATCAGTCAGATTATACTTGCATTCTGCTGGGGCAAAGCTAAGAGATTTAGCTCCGTTCTTTACCAGCTAACAGCAGTTTAGGGTTGGAGATGATTGCCATCAAGTTTATTTTCCAAAAGCTGAGAGTATTTACAAAATACAGATAGCTATATTGGCCTTAGACATGTCTAGAAATTAGCATCAGAAATTGTTTTTAAATACTTAAAAAGGTTATAAGATGGCCATCCTAGAACTAAAGAAACCAAGTATTGGTAATCTAAACCTCAAGGCAGCCACTTTTTGCCTGTCTCCCTTCCTATAAACTGGGATATTTCTTAGATTCATTATTGAAACAGTAATTATCTTAGCATCCTTATAGCTTATCCTACTTTCCATCAACTATAAATTTTTAATGCTATCTCATTTCACTTGAAGTAAGAGCGCTGTTCATCACTATTGAACAGTCAACAAATATTTTATAAGCCCCTGACCAATGCTTAGAACCATGTATTACCAAGAGAGAAAACACAAAGAGAAGTAATACACTATTCTTGTCTCTAGTTTTATGATGCATTTGAAAGAAAATAAGCAGATAGTAAGTTAATGAAAAGAAATAAAGTAGTAGTAATTGATAGTAACAGGGTAAGAAATTTACAAGACAGCAGTAATTAATACCAAGGAGTTGGCAAAGATGAATCCTGGCTGAATTCAGTAGAATAATAATTATTGGTTCCTGAAGAACAATGGGAAGAAGTTGTAGATTCATTCATCCACTTGTTTGTTCAATACAAGGTTTGTATTGATTGCTCATTATAGGCCAGTAAAAAGGTTCTCTTGAAGAACAGATGATCGGCCAGTACACAAATTGGCTTACAGCATTTCCAGTGCTGGTGTATGTCATGAATAAAGCAAAACAAGATGGAGAATGGAGAGAGGCATTTGTGCAGGGGGTCATGGAAAGGTTCTTCTCACACTTGAGTGGAGTTGTGAAGAAGAGGGGAGGTGATGTGTTCATCTGGGGAAGAGTGTTTTGTGGAGAGAGAACCAAAGACCAGAAACGGTTGACGTAATTAAGGGAAAGTACTCATGCCGAAAGGGAGGAGTGAAGGGAGACGGAGAAGAGATGAAGACACAGGCCGGTGTTCGTGCGGTGTTGTTGGCTACAGTAGGTGATTTGGGCCTTACGCTGAGTGCGATGGGAGCTGTGGGAGAGCACGAATTGAATATTTAAAGTGTCTCCCGATGCTGCCTAGAGTTTAAAACCAGAAGAAGGAAATAGGGAGCTCCAGTAGTAAGCCACGGATGTCATAGTCAAGGTGTGTCCCAAACAGTATTTTAAAAAAATAAAAGCAAAACCTGTGCATAAGACTATTTGCTATAGCATTATTCGTAATTGCAAATATTAGAAGCATCCTGAGGGCCCATATGTAGAAAAGTGATGGAAAAACTTTTGGTATGTCCATACAGTGGAGTAGAATATCACTGTGAAGATGGTAAGAGTTCTATAGGCTGATAAGAGAGAGTTCTAGGATATATTGTTAAGTCAAAAAGCAAAATACAAAACAGTGTGTACTCTGCTTTCACGTAAGAATGAAGATTTATAAATATATTGACTATATATGAATCTTCTCATTTCTAGAGAAAAATACAGGAACAATAAGTCTAGAGGCTAGTATTTTACTGGTTGGTCATTACAAGTAAACAGTGGATGCAAACAATGGAGGCATGGAAAATAAAATAATGAATATATTCTCTTGTATGGTTTTAATTTTAGATGATGTTAGTGTTTTCCATATACAAAAGATAAATAAATAAATAAGAACTAATATGTGAATAAAAGCCTAAGTAGAATGTGAACAGTAACAAGTAAGCCTAGCTACATTACAGATGAGGAGAATGGATTGTTAATAAATAACTTTAGAAAACAGTATTTTGATTCTAAGACTTCAGACTTACAGTTTAGTTGGTGGAGTTCCTACTGTGCATGGCAGCACATGCCTGTAACCCCACAGCTAGCTATATGTGGCCAGCAGAGACAGGCAAATCACTGAGCCCCATTGCCTGGCCGGCCCAACGAAAGCAAAGAGCCTGAAGTCCAGCAAGGGATCTTATTCCTAAAGTAGCAAAGTTAGAGAACAAGAACATCAGGAAGAAAGCTGATATTGACCTCTGACACACACACACACTCACACACACAGTCACACTCACACACACTCACACACAATCTTGCATACTCATACAATAATAACTGGTCCTACTAGTAAGTGATCCTAATGTAGGGCATCCATTCTCTAGGAGAACTGAAAACCAGACTGACGTAGAACTCAGTACTTAGGCCAGTTGTCTGATTTCCAACAAGCTCATCTCCCATTTGTTCTTCCCTGGTCCCACAGGCCAAAGCTACATTTCCTTAGCCATCAAAAGTGCCCAGAAGCACTGAGGTAACCCTCCCAAGAAGTTATGTAGCACTTCCCCAGCTAAAACACACCACGTAGCCTGGTTTAAGATGACATTTCCTCATACCCCGTGTTTCTGATAAGTCCTTGGGTGTGTTTCTGTTTCTGTCAGAGCCTTGCTATTTATGATACATTCTGTGTTTAAACAACAACTTCTGGCTCTCATACCCCATTTGGTAACTAACATAGTACTAGTACCTCACTGATGGAATTTTAATATCGCTTGCCATACTACGAGGACTATTTTAGAGATTCCCGTAGAGGGACAAACAACTTACATCTTATTACAAGCCAGGTAATCACATTCCCTTGCTTCCTTCCAGTCAGATTCCCCACACTTTCAGTCTTGGCCTGTGCAGTATAGTTTCAGAAATCTAACTAATGGAATATAGCTCCCCTCACTTCAAGGGTAATTCTGAAACAGCCAGCAGAATACAGCATCATTCTGTTTGTTTTGTTTTTCTAAAATCAATCTGAGGTTTATGCAAGGCTTTCAGAGGGTCACAGAGAAACGTTGACAAAGGAGATCTAGGCTTGGAGAAAGACTGAAAGCCCTGATACAGCCAGGGATACTAGCTAAGCCCCCTCGCTGGACCAGTCGTGATGATGTTACAGTTTCGTGTGTGGTGATCTCTAAGCTGTGTCTAAATACAGGCAGGCCAGGGTGGTTCCCTCCCATCCCCTGCACTTGCATACCCATAGCCCCATGTCCGTCACTGAAAACGGAGTCTGTGATGGCAGCCACAAGACGATCTTTGAGCTCTGGTCCTGGTTCTTCCTGTGTAACTGAAGGCTGGTCATCATTCACCAGTCTCCTCATCTAGAAGATGGGATTGCTGTAAACCCTGACCTTGTAAGGTTATATGAGGACCAAATATTTTATATGAAAGTCAGTGGCAGTAAGCATCCATGACTGTCTCCTCCAGCAAAACCATGAGAAGAGAGTTTTTTGTACACTTCATAATACAGTCTTTACGTGTTTTCTTTCGGAAAGTTAAAATGCTGAAGACTCATAACAAGCTCAGCCTTTCTCTGCTAACTTCTCTAATGGTGCCTAATGCCTTGCCTGTGGGCAACAAGAAAGCACCAACAAGTGGGTTCCCCATTCTACAGGTAGGGACAAAAAAACTGTAGGCAGGAGCAGCAACACCCCGGGAATCTGCCTTGGAATCCCAAGAGGGTGTGAGCATCCTTTCCCTTAACCCTCTGACCAGAGGCTTTCCTTACACTAATGCCCCGTAATCCCACAGAGACTTTCCCAACATCACTGCCCTGTTTTTCTCCTTTGTCCTAAACCAGAAAAGACAAAATACTTAAATATGTGGTACCAATGGAGATGGGTATTCTACTAATCCTTGGCCTTAGGATTACTTGCTTTTTTTTTTTTTTTTTTTTTTAACCTCCATTTTGACCACTCTATTTTTGTGTGTTTCTAGGCCTACAACATGAAGGGATTTTCCGAGTGTCTGGATCACAAGTGGAAGTGAATGACATAAAAAATGCCTTTGAGAGAGGTGAGGTGGGAATAGACAGCCGGAAGAGATGAGACAAATGTGTCGGCCCTTGTGGAGATGGCTCCACCCTTCCCCTAGAGTTCCCAAAGCTTAAAAACCTAAGAGGTTGCCTGTTATGTTGGGGCATGCCCCAGCTTCCTTCTTTCTTAGCCCCGCCCATCCTGCTCATTCCTGTGATGATCTGCCAAAACCCAAGTAGTTACTATGTAGACAGGCAGTTACTGGCCTCATCCAGAACCCTTGGTGGCAGCTAATATCAAGGCTAATGTGCCTGCTCATTGTCTCCCATTTATCATCTTGTGGTCTATTAAGGTAATGGGCAAGCTTTGGCAGTTTCTGTCACTGTAATGGATATATATAGTTTCAATGTAAGGTTGGGGTTGTCATTAAATTTAATTACTTGATATGACAGTTTCCATTGCGATTCTGGGATGACTGTTCTGTCAGTAGGTGTCCTCTGATATGGTGGTAGTCCATGAAGCTGGCCTCCGGCCCCGCTTCCCCTCCATCAGGGGCTCAGTTTCCTCCCGTTCCATGATTCTTGTTAGAGAACAGTTGCTTGTTTCCATTCCCAACCCACAGGAATGTCCGTTGGCCTCATCAGTCCGCCGCATCGTGGCTGTCACGCTGGGTAGAGAGATAATGAGATGCGGATGCAGTGATTTGCCTAACTCACTTATTTTCCTTTTGGGGTGGGGGGCTGCCTATCTTCAGGAGAGGACCCTCTGGCTGGGGACCAGAATGACCATGACATGGACTCCATAGCTGGTGTCCTCAAGCTTTACTTCCGGGGGCTGGAACACCCATTGTTTCCCAAGGACATCTTCCATGACTTGATTGCCTGTGTTAGTAAGTATCATCGTACCCACAAATGGCAGTAAGACATTTGGAAATTTCCATCCATTTGTTTCCTCATGAACTTTTCAGTCAAGTTTTTCTTTACTTATTTCTTCCAGTGAGAGTCACCTCTGTACATTTGCCGTTTTATCCCTGGAGGGGGAAAGAGAATGAGTGAACAGTAATAGTGTCGAATCCAAGTCAAGACTGCTGACTTTTTCCTTTCTAATTTATCTCAGTCATTAATTCCTTCACATCTCTGGTCTATCGTTTTTTAGTAAAACGCTTTTATTTTCATCCATCTTAAAGCTTGCATACAATGTGTGCGCTGTTAATAGGACCAGAGAAAGCTAACCCCTGAGCCTGTTCCCTCCTTATTTTGTATGTACCACGGCTTACCTGCTGCTACATGTATTCACATGTGTCTGTGAACAAGAAAAGCCCCTCTGTGTACTTGAAAGTACCATTGTACCATTTACTATTTTCCCAGAGAAAGGTCTCTTGTTTTCTTTGGAGTTCCCTTTTAGGGCTTGAAAAGTTATTCCTACACATTTAGTTTATTCATGATACTGGAGGATCCTATCACTTGGTTCCATGGAAAGCAATCCATGGAAATTTAAATTAAATCAAGTCATGCAGGAAGCAGATCGTCCTATTTAGGGTTTCTATTGATGCGATTAAAAACAAAACAAAAAATGACCAAAAGCAACTTGAGGAGGAAAGGGTTTATTTCATCTTACACTTCCATCACTAAGAGGAGTCAGGACAGGAACTCAAACAGGGCAGGAACCTGGAGTCCAGAGCTGTGCAGATGCCATAAAGGAATACCACTTACTGGCTTGATCCCTGTGGTTTGCCCAGCTGCTTTCTTATAGAACCTGAGACCACCAGCACCCACAGTGAGCTGGGTGCTCCCACATCAATCAAGAAAACACACGGGCTTACCCATAGGCTAATGTGATGGGGGCCTTTTCTTAATTGAGATCCCCTCTTCCCAAACGACTCTAGCTGGTGTCGAGTTGACATAAAGCTGGCACTATGTAGACCCTATCTGAATGATGGCCCCAGAAGGTGAAGAGAATAAATTCAGAAAAGACTATTCCCAGGCTGGACAAGGGCTCCATGCTTCCTAAATTTTCAGTTTGACCCAGCGTTTGCTCTGAATACTTACTTGTTCCTCTGTCAGTTGTTCTGAGAAAAGCCAGGGCATCTGGGATACCAGCTCTCTTTGTTTGTTGCCCACGTATTTGTGAGAGTCTGATTCTGATAGATGGAAGTTATGTGGATAGTTACACACATGCGTTACTTAGGTCATATCCTCATGTAGTTTCCAAGACTGGACCTAAGTGAAGTCTCTTACCTTGGGCTGGAGTTGCCAAGAAACACTAGAATCCTCAGCCGCCTGGTTCTTCCTACTCTTGCTCCTAATCCAGTATTTGCTGTTTCTTATTCAGATAAGACAGCCAGATCAAGTCCAGTAGGAGGCTGTTGATGACAGAGACCACAGGCAGATGGCCAAATCTGTATTAACCTGACCATAGCACAAAAGTCAGGAATCTTCTCTGGTCTTCTTCACAGATTTTACTACTTATCCGGGATCCTGATCTCTCCTCTCTCTAGTCAGGCTCTGTTCAGATCTACTTTAGATAAGGGAGGTAGAAGCCAGACTTCTCCAGAGGAGGAAGTGGTACCTGTGTGTACTGGGGCCAAGGAAGGACTTACATGTGTGGGGCCCTTCAAGACTGAGCATTCAGTAGTCATGATAGGCTTACGGTCAGCTCTATGTCTGTCACTGTTACATTAGAGGGGGACGCACCAAACTGGTCTATGCCCATGGAGCATACACACAGCCTGAGCCCTGTACCAGTCAGGCTGTGTGGGTCCCCACAGGGTCTCTTGCAGCAGCCTCATCCCACAGAGCATCCACCACCAGGGCTTATGTGGGCTAGCTCTGCTTGCTCTATGGCGGACACTGCTTGTGGAAAGAAATTTCTTACTGTTCCTCTCCAGGATTGCAGTCACACCAGAGGTAACACATGCCTTTCTTCTTTCAGCAATGGACAACCTACAAGAGAGAGCTGTGCATATCCGGAAAGTCCTTCTGGTCCTGCCCAAGCCCACTCTGATTATCATGAGATACCTCTTTGCCTTCCTTAATCAGTAAGTAAGCTTTCACAGTGACAAGCCTGGCTTTGACTACCCAGGACGTTCATGTGGGTCTGTGTCTTATCATCCATCCTAATAGCATCTGCCATACATCAACTACAGTGCTGGGCTGTTAAAATGTGATGTTGAATGGAAAAAGAAAGGCCTTTTATCATTAGATCATGGTCCAAGGAAGTAAACAAACAGTAGTATATACATCAGGTAGAGTAGGTGCTAAGGAGAAGAAAAGAATAAAGATGGGGATAGAGTTAAGAGATCCTAGTGGACAAAGGATGAGAGACGAGCTGGTTTAGAGATGTGCTTGCCAGAGAGGCCTTCTGAGAGAGGCGTAAGCTGTACCCTGAAGGGCACAAAGGGGGCCTATAAGGACATTGGAGACTTGAGGGTCACAGTAATAAATAATCAGTTAGAATCTGGGAAATGACTTAAAAGCCTTTAAAGAGAAAAATGGTGTGGCCTGACGTTTAGGTATTCATTTTCGAATCTGCCAGTTACTTTGTGGAGAAGTTACTGCAGAGGGTCAAAGAGAAGAGAGACCTAGTCCAAGGCCATGGCATGGTCTAGCTGAGATGTTGGTAGACCAGATGACAGAAAGGGTCAGGCTGATGATACACATTGAGCACGGGGTGCGACAGGCATAGCTCACCATGTGTTGTCATCTATCACCATACTGGTTCTAGGTTTCCATGTAGCCAAGAAATAGTTCAATGGATTCCTGAATCCATCAAAACAGGGAAACCAAGATAAGTCAAATGGCCAGATATTTTAGTTTTAACACATACCTTGTGAATATGAAGTTTCATACACAGTTTTTCTTTAAAATGACTACAACTTTAGAGTCCGTTTCACAAGCCTCACTCATCCTGTTTAGACATTCATGATTGGCCTGGCCTGGCCTGGCCTGGCCTTATAGGTATATGGGATTAGTGGCCCCTGCCTAAGACCTCATAGGGAAGTCCACATCATCACCTATCCCAATGCAGAACCACAGAGAATCCTGACTCTAGCCTGCATCTCCCTTAGAGTTGAGTCTGACTGAGTCCTAACTCAGCCCCCCTTGAGATGAACTCCTCATAACTCATTAGTGTGCTCATCCGTAGCCCGGAAACACTGCTTGCTACTCCATTAGTCAGGCCCTTTAGGGCCCAAGTCACTGTTCACATTAACCATGCCTATCCTTAACCCAAGCCTTGTTTGTCCCCCGTGAACTAGGAGCATGACAGAGGCAGCCAGATGGACCAGCTGGTAGAAACAGGGAAGACATAAATTAACCATTGTTTTTCCTGGACTTTCAGAGGAGAGAAACAATAGAGTAAGCATGATGCAGTATGAGAGACAGTGACCATTATTTAAAAAAAAAAAAAAAAAAAAAAAAAAAAAAGGCGTGGAAATGCTACTAATCCCAATTATTAATTTGTTTGTGTGTATATGATTTTAAAAATATTGTTGTGTGTATATAATTTTTAAAATTATGTAGGAAAGGTGAAGCATTTATAATCATGGTGTTTCTAAAAATAGTACCATGCAAGATGAAGTTTGAAAAGTCTTCACGGGAAGGGGACAACTGATAATTGTGCAGCTGCCAACAACTGCATCAGGAGTTGGCAGGTGGTTCCTCACGGAGACTTTATCTGAACCCTCACTTTGGGGATGCACACTTATCCTCACTGAAGTTTGTTCTTGGATTGTAAAAGCTCAAGGAATCAAACTTAAGTATCTATAGGCGGGCACTTAGATGCATTTAAGAGTCTCGCCTGCTGTGAAGATGATGTTGAGTTAGGGCTATGGATCTCATCTGAATGCATAGCCTGGGGAAATTCTGCCTCTAAGCACACAAAACGTGCCTTATTCATACAGTAGGATATTGTTTAGCCATAAAAATGAATGAAATATTGACACTACCAGGTGGATAAACCTTTAAAACACTGTGTTGAGTCAATAAGCCAGACATACACACACACACCCTAAATATTGTAAGGTTCCATTGCATTTGTGTGAAATCTGCAGAACAGGCGAGTCCATAGAAATGGGAAGTAGATTCCTGGTTGCCAGGGACTGAGAAGAGGGTTGGAAAATAACTGTTCAGTGAATACCAGGCTTCCTTCAGGGATGATGAAAATGTTGTGTAACTTAGAGGCAATGGCTACATAACATTGTGAGTATGTTAAATGCCACCAAATTGTCTACTTTTACTTATTATTTTTATTTAGAATACAAAGTGGTGGATTGCATTATGATCATATATATATATATATATATATATATATATATATATATATATATATATATCATTTTACTTTGTTCTTACTTGCCCCCTCCCAGCTGTCCTTGCCAGGCCTCTTCCTCTTTCAAAAAGAACCTACTTCTGCTTTCGTGTTCCAAACATTCCACTACCCTTCCTTGTTTTCTCTTCCCCTCCCTTTAGGCCTTTCCCTAGTCCCTTTTCTGTTCCACATCCTACACACACACACACACACACACACACACACACACACACACACACACACACAGAGGTAACTGAGAATCTGTTGCACACCAGTCATCAAGAAGATCCCTGACAATAAATGCTGGGGAAGATGTTGGGAAAGAGGAACTCTTACAGAGACTGGTAGAAATGTAAACTGGTGCCGCCACTGTGGAAATCAGAATGCAGGTACCACAAATACTAAATAGAACTGCCACATGACTCAGCTAAAACACTCCAGAGCATATTCCTGAAGGATTCTAGGTCAACACACCACAGACACAGAGGCATTCCCGTGTTTACTGCTGCACTATTCATAGTAGCCAAACTATGTACCTAGGCTAGCACACACACAAACATCTATGGCAGGAGTTTGGAGCAGAACCCGTGGAGGAATGGTAGCTGCTGACCTGTTCCCATGTACAGCTGTGTGTCTTTACACAGCCCAGGCTTACCTGCCTATGGTACAGGTCACACTGATGGGAGCAGTTCTTCAGTTGAGGCTCCTTCTCCTCAGACGAGTCAAGTTGACAACCAAGATGAGCGGACACAAAGCCCCTGGCCCTTGTTTGGTTCTGTTTTGATTTGGTTTGGTTTTTAATGGGAATCAGAAGATGTACATAGATTCATGAGACTCCAGCTCTGTACAAAGGTATGTCCTCTTCCAGATCCTTGTCACCGTGGCCTCCTATGAACTGGACAGTCTTTTCATGGGTGGGGGCAATGATACTTCACATCCTTCATCTGTTGTAGAACTTTCTCCCAGGTTTCTTAGGAATAGAGTGCTTCTCTTTAATTATCACACTTCCCAGAAACTCTGGTTTCTTGTTACTAAAATACTATCAGATCACATTAAAGAAACAAGGCTTTACTGAGTTTTCTGTCTCTTAAGATACCAGGACCTGGCTAGCTACATCCTTAGCCTATAGCATCTTGTGTGGGTCATTTCTGCTGAGGTTATCAAAGTAATAATCTCTCCTGTTTCTCTGCAGTTTTAATCTGATGATGAAGCAGACTTATAAAGTCCCCCAATTTTTTTCTAAACCTCTGTTTTCTTTTAACTCTGAGTCCAGAGAAGGATTTTAAAATTAAATCTTTAGTAATTCCTATAAGCTGGATATGGAGGTACAGGACTGTGATACCAGTATTTGGAAAGCTGAGCCAAGAAGACAGTGAGTTTGAGGCCAGACTGGGGTACATAATGAATCCCTGCCTTAAGCAAAAACAAATCATCTTCTGAGAAGCCATCTAGCCACTGAGCAGATACCTTTCCCCACGGGCCTCTACTGCATTTAGTTTTGATACTGTGGAGTAGTGCTTCTCAGCTGCTAATTTCCATAGCATTTGGTCACACCATGCCATGCCATTTCTGATGTCCTACAGTGATTATAGAAGGCTCACAAGGTACGTGTCAGGTTCTCTAGCAGAGGAGAAAGCCATTTGTTAGATGTGGGGCACATTAGATATAAACTTCACCCAATCCAGAATGTCAGTGGTATCCAAAGGCCCTAGTTTCTTTTGAGCATCTGTCAGAATTGGCTACTGAGAAGCTCTTGCTGATAACCATAGGTAGAGGATGTACCCCAAAGTCAGCCTAGCCGCCGGTGCTAGGACAGGCAGTGTCTTAGTCAATGTTTTGACCATGGCAACTCTAATAAAGGAAATCATTTAATTAGAGCTTACAATTTCAGAGGTTTAGTCCATTGTCATCATTGTGGTAGGAAAAGAGGTGGCATGTAGGTAGACGTGGTAAAGGTAGCTAGGAGTTCTACATCTGGATCCACAGGCAACGGGCTGGCTTGGGCCTTTGAAACCCAAAAGCCCATGCCAAGTCACACACTTCCTCCAACAAGGCCACACCTCCTCCAATCCCTCCCAAGAAGTACCACTCCCTGATGACTAAACGTTCAAATATCTGAGCCTGTGGGCCACTCTTACTCAGACCACCACAGGCATGGACCCATGGGGACTCATCGAGCATGGTGTGGTTGAGTGCTTGGGTCCTTGGCCAAGGCTGGGGTGTAACTGGCGCAAATGCTGACTGATAATGGGAAGAATCTCTAAATAAATAAACAGTAATGAATTAGCCTACATCCAAGGGAACTCCAAGCAGGATATAAACAGAATGCATAATTAATTCCTGGATATAATAACACAAGGGGATATTATGAAAATGTTAAACAATTGCATTAGCTGTTCCAAAAAGAATTCACTGTCCTGGTGGAATAAAAAAAAAGTTAATCAGCTGACTATATTTCTAGTAAGTATAGAATTTGGAATAGAAAATGCCCAATAATTTAATTCTTTTGTATGCATGCATAAAAGCATATGATGTACAGTTTCTGCATCCTGTGACTGTCTCTCAGAGCAAGCTGAGGTTCCCATCTGCTTGATAGCTTAGTGAGTTGTCTGTGGAAGCCTTATCCAGTTCTGCAAAGTGTTATATGGTATGTTCTCTAAGCAGAGTGGCTCTGATGCATAAGGTCAAAGGCAAGGGTAAAAATAAGGATCTGATTGGGGAACTGGAGAGAGGATGGGACCGCCAGCAGGTCTTACATCTTTCATCTTTCCTTGGCTCCTGAGTAACCGTCAGCAGCCGCTCTCTTCTCCACACCTGACTATTCAGAAGGCCTCTGATGCCCAGAAAGGCAGGTGGCGGTTTGTGGGCTTAGACTTTCCTTCTGGCAATGTCTCTTGTGTGTGTGTTTTCTGGGCATTCATGTGAGAGCTTTCCAATTTCCCCCATTTCCCTTTTCCTCCAGCTTATCACAGTTCAGTGAAGAGAACATGATGGACCCCTACAACCTTGCCATCTGCTTCGGGCCCTCACTGATGTCCGTGCCAGAGGGCCACGACCAGGTCTCCTGTCAAGCCCACGTGAATGAGCTGATTAAAACCATCATCATCCAACATGAGAACATCTTCCCGAGTCCCAGGGAGCTCGAGGGCCCCATCTACAGCCGAGGAGGAGGCATGGAGGATTACTGGTAGGGGCCAGGGAGGGGAGGAAGGAAGCAGTGCCTGATGGTAACTGGTTTAGGACCCAGATGGGCAAGCAAAACCCAAAGGGAAACAGCCAGGTCCTCCCCTCCACTTAACAAGTTCTGCAGGTGGCAGGCTCTGGCCATTCTCCACCTCAGACCTACCTGCAGAATAGCTGTCACTTCACCACCTCCCATGTTTTTGAGTGTTGTAGGCCTAGGGACCATCCTGAAAGATAATGACAACATAAAGGAACGGAGCTTTTACAAAGTAGCATTTAGACCTGCTGTTCGTCAGGCACCAGTGCCCAAACCTTCTTGTGATGGAAACAGAGCTGGGCCCCAGGGAATCCTTTTCCTAGAAGGAAGAGTCTGTGTGTGAGGCAAAGTCTCCTGACTGTAAGATGGCACACTAGAATGATTTCAGGAATTTGTGACAAGAAAAATGTGTAAATGTATTTGGGGTAGAGTAGTACAGTTCCACCCTCCTGGGAAAGTATGAGATATATAGACACAGTTTTTCATGACCTAGCCTGAGCACAGGGTTCTAAAAGGAACCTCTGGGTACATTTGTGTTAGACTGCCTCTTTTAGATGAATGAATCATTTCAAAAAAAAAAATTTTGAAATACTACTCCCCTTTTACAGATAAATTCCTTGCAACCCAGAGAAGTCATGGCAACTGTTTCAGCCCACCCCAGTAATTGGGAAGTCAACCATGATCACCTGTTGTCTAGGATAAGGCTCCATCCAGTACCCAAACAAATAATGTAATAACTTTATAGTGCCGTTTTTCACTAAATCAAAGGCAACGCCCTTTCTCTTAACCCCGGGTGTCCGTACTTTCTCCTTTCTTTCCTAAATGGTTTTTCAATAGAAGCTGAAGACATACGCCAGCCCAAATCAAATCCCACCTAAATGTAACATCTGGAACCAGTTCTTCCAGCCCTGGTACTGCTAACCACAGTGGAGAGGACAAGGCATATGCCTACTTAATTAGCAGCCGGTTGGTCCACGATTCTCCATGACCCCTTCAGAACCGCTGCCCAAGGGATGAAGAGAATAGCATCTGTGCCTCTGTGAACTTCCTGTGGCAGTGGCATCCTCAGATCCACTCTCTCCTGGACTTCTGACCCTAGGTCCACATCTGAGTAGCACCTTAGGTGGCTGGCTTAGAGACAAAGCTTTCTGTCACTGACAGGTGTTTCATGGTGACTGGGGCTGTTGGCCCATCAGTGAGCTCCAAGGATATATTCTCTTTGCATGAGTAGTTAAGAGCTATGGAATGGTCCTTCGGTTCTTGCCTTCCCTTGTAAAGTTGACCTTCACTTCTTAAATATCAAATCCCGGCAGGTTCTGGACCATTAAGGGGGCATAGTGCTCCCAGCTCCCAGTCCCATGGGAGCTTTCTTCTAGTTTTCTCCCAGGTGTTTTCCTCTGCCTTTACCCCATGTGTTGTGTATGTGATACTTACTGGAATACCACATTTGGAAACACTGCACAGGTAATCAGTGGACATTGGTACCACTGTCCCTGGCCTTGGGGTTCTGACCGGATACGTCCTCAGCTGCAGCCACTAAGAGCACCACCTGTGAGCATTCACTACGTTCCCTTTTAGAGGGGCCCTGTCCACCTCCCTTATATTTCTCTCTCCCCCCTCTCTTTCCTCTCTTCTCTCTTTCCTCTCTCTCTTCTCTCTCCCTCTCTCTCCTCTCCCTCTCTCCTTCTGTCCTCTCTTTCCCTCTCTCCTTCTCTGCCTGTTTCTCTGTCTCCTCTCCCCTCTCTCTCTCTCTCTCTCTGCCTTTTCTCTCCTACTGTTCCTGTCCCCCAGAAGCTAGTATCCCTCTTCTTCTCCCCTCTTTTCCCATTCCCTTTCCCCTAATTTAAAAAAAAAAAAAAAACTTTTTAAAATTACAACATCGCTAAGGCAACCCAAATCCAGGAGAGTGGCCAAGAGACCAGAGCCATCAGGGAGAAGAGGCAGCAGACTGCTCTCCACGGCTGTGGAAAAGTACATTCTGACAACCTTCTAGTCTCCAAACTGGGTTCTGGTTGCCTGGGGCCACTGCTGGGACCTTGGACCCCAGGCGTTGATAGGGCCAGGCATGTTGTCAGGGTTAGAGGTGTAGGAGGAGAGAAATACGGGAATTTAGGACTATGTGGGACCTCAAAGGGTATCATTCTTTTACCATGGTGCAGATTTCAAAGTGGAAAGCCCAGACCAACAGCACCAGCTCCTGTGGGACCAGAATGAAATGCTGACTCTCCAATCCCAGACAGATCTTATGACTCAGAAAAGCTCAGCGTGGGGATGATGTATGATTTCTAGCAAGCCCTCCAGGGCTCCCTGCAGGGGGGAAACGGATGCCCTGATACCTTTGTAGGTGCACAGGAATGAATCTCCACGCTGGGGAAAGGGTTACCTTTGTCCTGTGCATCACCGACAGGTGTCCAGATGTTTTTTAGGCCCAGATACAGTAAGGAATGTACCCACTTTTTTGGTACAAAGAAGAATCCATATTGATGTTCTACCAGACTATTCTCTGGAGCTTAGGAGCCCTCCTAGGACTGGCTTTACCTGATCTCTAAGGATATTCCTTAGAAGGGAAGGCTTGTGTACTGGGCAGGGAGAGTTTCCATGACAGGTTTGCTTGTTGATGCCTGTTGCTAGAGCAGAAACCTTCAGACAGGGTGAGAGGGGTTTTTGTACTCTTCGAGAGCGTCCATCTCCCCCTGAGCTAGACGGTAAAGGAGGAAATACTTCCTTAGGGACTTGTAGCCTTTCTCAGTTATCTGCTTTGCATGATCTAAGAGAAGATCAATTTTTTTAAGAACTTGACTGAGCTTTCATCCTCTGGCCTCCAGTAAAAGCTAATCTGCAACAGATCCCTTTCCCTTTGCTCTGGGTTTCCACTCAGCCCCTACTCACTTCCTACTTTCTCATCCGTGTGCAGCCTACTCGGTCACAGCACCCTAGGGGCATCAAGTGAAAGGAGGTAACGCGTCCTAAGTGCCCTCGCGCCAAAGCCTTCGCTAAATGGCACCCTTGACTCCTCACACACTTGAGACCCGGGAACGAATCCAGGAAGAAAGCTGACCTGAGTGATTGGGCTGTTCTGTGTTTCCCAAAGAGTTTATTTGTAACTCCAAAGACCTTCCCTTCCTCTCGAGGCAGTTTAAATCCTGGGTAGTGACAAGAAGTTTGGGGAGAGGGACCTCCAGAGGTCCTTTATTCTTAGCTGTTGATGGCTGTGTGCTTAGATAGGACAGCAAGCCCGCCGTTGCCGCGATGCCTCTGTTCCAAGGACGCTGTGTCAAAGGGGCGAGGGAAACATTAGGAGTACATACTGATGTCCCGGCTCCTTCTCTGTCGCAGTGACAGCACTCATGGAGAGACTACGTCTGCTGAAGACTGCACCCAGGATGTGGCCACAGAGCATCACACAAGTGATGACGGTATGCTCGGGGCTGTGAGTAAAGCAGGAATGTGTGTGCATGTGTGTGTGCGCTGTGCTATCCAGAGGGCCCTACGGAGAAAAAGGGAGGACATTCTGACCTAAGAGATTAAACCAGAGTTGAATGGCTAGACCTTCTGTATTCCTTGAACTTCCGTGCCCTGCCTTTTAGCATCCTATCTAGCCTGAATCCAGTAGATGTAAGCCTCTAATGCTGCCAGGTTACTGGAAACCAAAGGGAAAGCTCATTTAAAAACATCAAGCCTGGGGAATGGAAATGCTGGGTGCCAAGAACTCCACAGAAGCCAAGGGGAGTGGGAATGAGGACACAAACCACACGCTTGCATGCCTGCCAGCTGGAAAAATTGACCCTTCCCAAGTACAGATTGTGTGCTGAACAGCCTGTGAGTGTGCACCCAGGAGTGGAATGCTCAGCTGTCATTCTCGCACCCCTCTAGAGTGCCCATGATTTATTAGAGTCTGTCCCAGCCAGCACATTTTCCCTGTGTCCAACCATCCCACACCTCCATTTCTGGATCTTGGTCTCTGGAAGTCTCAGCGGCTGACAAGGGGCCTCAGAATTTTATGGGCAGGAGAATGAAATGGCACAGTCTACAGAGATTTGCCTGCCCCCCGCCCCACACCTTGCTAGAACTCCGGCAAGCCGGAGACAGCTTCTGAAGGGGGAGATAGGACTTCTTGTTTAGATCCTGGTGTTGGAAGGATCCGTATGATCTTTATGAGAGAAGTGTGTGTTACTAGAGAATTCAGTTCTTATTCTGTTCGAGGCTTTGTCTCTAGTGAGACAGATGGGGCAGCTGAGAAAGCAGAGTCAACTAATCATGTGACATGCCCGGGGCTGTAGAGAGCGGAGATGGACACTGAGACGGGACATCTTCAACAGGAGCAGACTTTCCACCAGAGCTATATGGGCATGGGCTCTTTTCATTCAGCCTTCCTCCCTGCAGTGGCATTTATGATCTAATGGTTCCATGTCTTGGACAGCCTTCTACTTACTCTCCAGGCTCTCTGGCAGCCTAGAACAGATTAGTGATGACAGCAATGACTAAATGTACATATATCACAGTATGGGCTCTATTCTAAGTTTTTCACAGATTGTAATTGACTCCTCATGAAAACTTCATGAAAAAGAGGACTATTCCTATCATCTCTTTTTATAGATAAGGAAAGAAAAGCTCACACAAATGAAAACACATTGCATTACAAGCCCCTTTTAACTGCTCAGATTATTTTCATATGCATTGCCATATATTTGTTATGAACCGCTGTCTGTGTTTTACATTCTACTGGAACAAATGAATAACACCAATAAATTACTTAAAATATGCTATGATCCAAGTGTTTGATGGCTGATAGATTTGCTGTATGATCAGAAAAGAAGTAATGCTCAAAAATACAGGAGGACGGCCTGGATATAGAGTTGAGCGGTAAGGCAGCCTGGATATAGAGTTGAGCGGTAAGGCACTTGGCTTTGAACACCCATGTATGAAGCCCTGGGCTCAATTCACGGTACTGCCTAAAAGAAATAATACAGAGGGGTGGCGTTGGACAATGGGTGGAAGCAGCACAAAGAGCTGTGACCTCAACACAAGTGGTCAGGGAAGCAACGCTCCATGCCTTAGGCCAGGCAGCAGAGAACATGCGAGGCTGTTAGAGCTTGTTTTTTACACTGAGTTATCCTCCCATCCCTGCAAGTCCAGACTTTTCACCCAGTTTCCTGAATCTGTAGATCCCAGAAGCATGTGTTCTTCTCTGCCTTTCCCAGAATGTGAGCCCATTGAGGCCATCGCCAAGTTTGACTACGTAGGCAGGACAGCCAGGGAGCTGTCTTTCAAGAAGGGAGCATCCCTGCTGCTTTACCAGCGAGCTTCTGATGATTGGTGGGAAGGCCGGCACAATGGGATAGACGGACTTATCCCCCATCAGTACATCGTAGTCCAGGACACGTAAGTGGGGCCCTGGCACCTTTGAGGGTGGTCTCTGCTGCGCTGTGGGAGTGAAACTTCAGTTCTAGAACAGTCAGAGCTCCATGGAGAACACCTCCCTCTGCACCTCTTTCTCTTCTCCCTTTAAATCACCACTTAATCCCTTTGTTTTAGAAATGTGCCAGCCAGCATTTATATTTATGCCTAATGAGCGATAATGTGGACTTTTTAATTTGACCAGGCATGTTTCCTCTCTAAAAAGATCAGGCTGAGAAGACATTTTTGCCTCTCTGTTTTTGTTTTGTTTTGGTTTGGTTTTTAATTTTTGGGTTTGTTTGTTTGTTTGTTTTTGTTTTGTTTTTGGAGTCAGGGTTTCTCTGTGTAGAGCCAGCTGTCCTGGAACTCACTCTGTAGAGCAGGCTGGCCTCAAACTCACAGAGATCCACCTGCCTCTGCCTCCCGAGTGCTGGGATTAAAGGCGTGCGCCACCACTGCCTGACCTTGTCTGTCTTCTCAATGTGCATTTTTGTCTTTTGAGATAGGGATTATTGCTGTGATTAAACACTATGACCAAAGCTACTTGGGAAAGGGGGGATTATTTGGCTTATACTTCCATCACTAAAGAAGTCAAGACAGGAACTCAAACAGGGTTGGAACCTGGAGGCAGGAGGTGATGCAGAGTCTGTGGAGGGGTGCTGCTTACTGGCTTGCTCCTCATGGCTTGCTCAGCATTTTGTATAGAATACAAGACCAACAGCCCAGGGGTAGCACCACCCACAATGAGCTGGGGCCTTACCCATCAGTCACCAGTTTAGAAACTGCCCTCCAGAAAGGATTTTATGGATACATTGTCTTAGTTGAGGTTTCCTCCTTCCAGGTTACTCTAGCTTGTGTCAAGGTGACATTAGACTAGCCAGTGCAGTCTCACTCTGTGACTTAGGCTGCCTTGAGCTCTCTCTATATAACTCATAGCAGCCCTCCTTCCTTCGCCCCCACCCCCAATGCTAAGATTACATGGCTTCTCTTTTTAAACAACTATCTACAGCCCAGTCTGCGGAGCCATCGATAGTACTCTTTGCCTGCGAATGGAAATTGACAAGTTGCTTTTTAGGAGAAAGCTGGCTTAAGAAGCATAGGGCAAGGAGGGGAAAGGGTGTCGGAGGTCAGGGGAAAGCAGAGTGGGCTGTAGAGATCTCATGGGATAGGCTGTTCATGGGTTCCCACCTTTTGAAGCACGGTCTCCTAGGCAGAAAGCAATGAACCTTGTGTCCTGCCCAGACCTGCCTCCCTGACCCCTTACCCTAACTGCCCTCACACACTTCTGTAGGATACAGCATTGTCACTGATTTTAGTCCTCCCCTTACTATTATTTTTTTTTTTTTTTTAATACCCTGAATGAGTCTGCACCCTCCCAGCCTCTCTTGGGCTCCTTCTTCGGGGGAAATCCCCCCTGTATTGACAACGTCGAAGCCCTGGTGGTGATCTGTTCATGGACAGGGCCCTCCCAAAGTTACCGTTGTGACGTCACTATGGGATGGAGAGAAGATGAATTGTGGGGAGGAGGGGGCTTTCTTTGTCATCGGTGGCCAGAGGGGCTAAGAGAGCAGTAGGGAGCCCTCGGAGACCGTGTGTCCACGCCCTGCCTCAACACTGACATCTCCCTCCAGAGCTGCCTGTCCTTACCGGCGGTGCTCAGGACTGTGGATAAACCACAGCCAGGACGTCCACCTCCTTCCCAGGAGGTGGTCCCATCATGGCCACCCCATGGAAGCAGCACTGGGGTCAAAGGCAGATGCCTTGAAGTCAGATGTCCCGTAGCCAGGCTGTCCCGAGGAGCCAAGGATCAAGTCGAACTCAGCGAATTATTTATTTTTATTTACGTGACCCTCAGATTTCTTTGCCTCTGCTCACAAAATTAACCCCGACAATGGTTGCCGCCGCCGCCGCCGCCTCCAAGCTGTGTGGGGTCGTGTGTGTGTGTGTGTGTGTGTGTGTGTGTGTGTGTGTGTGTGTGTGTGTTCAGGCGGGCCACCTTGCTGATTTCACACTGCTCTTTATTTTTTTTTCCCTTCTCCCTGCCTGCCTGTCCCTTCCGCTGCAGCGAAGACGGTGTCGTGGAGAGGTCCAGCCCCAAGTCTGAGATTGAGGTCATGTCTGAGCCACCTGAAGAAAAGGTGACAGCCAGAACAGGGGCCAGCTGTCCCAGTGGGGGTCATGTAGCTGACATTTATCTTGCAAACATCAACAAGTAAGCTGTGCTTTTCATTCTCTGCTCCCCTAAATGACTCGCTCACTCCGCCTCACCCCTGGCCTAACCCCACCCCGCTCCTGTGCTGTGCGCAGGGCTCCCAGCTCCCCAAACCTAACTCTCCCTGTGTTGTCTGCTGCTGCACGGTGGATGGCAGAGCTGAGGCTTACATGGGTCTGAGGGCAGGCCCTAGCCTCCAGCTGTCCATTATCATCCTGTGGTCCACAGTGTCTGTCTGCCCAGATTCCGAGCAGTCCTAGCCAAACCTTCATCAAAGCTTTGGTCACCTTGCGCAGCTTGGTTTTGTGCCATTTCTTGTCAATGCCTTCGCTTTTCCAGTTCCTACTCAAATAGCATTTGATACCTTCTTAGACCCTTGTCTGCCTGAAGATTTCAGAGTGTCATGCGTCTTCCACCAGGTGGCTTACTTAGATGTCACATGTCTAGCCCTAGCCTTGTCCTCCCTGTCCTCCATTCATGGCCATGGAAAAGAGAAGCGCACTGAGCCTAAGGGAAGCTTTGCCCTGAGCGCCTAAGCCACCCTGTGACCCTCCGCTCCCTTTCACAGTAGCAGAGAGCACTTCCAATTTTTTCCTGTTGCTTTAGCACTGTGTACCATCCTTCCCTAGCAGTCCCTTTGCAGATGCCCACTCCCGTCTAGCAGGCTTACTCTCACCCCAGCTGTCATTGTGGCCATTAGCAGTATTCTGAGGTTCTAACTCCATCCACACCTGCTGGCTATCTAGAGGGATTCCTGGTTCGCCCGCCCATGAGCTGCTGCCTCCCCAAGAGGCACTCAGGCTATCGGAGAACTAATCTCATCTCAAGGGGCCAGACACCAAGTCCTGCAGACCTCTTTCTGCCAGACCCAGAACTGTGGCCCAGTGCCAGACGGATGACAAGGCCCGGGGCTCTCCCAGTGAACATGGATTGGAGATGACGTACAGTTTGTATTCCTTCCAACTTGGGAGGGGTGAAATGATTTGCACTTTGAAACCCTGTTAACCATAGCCTCTGGACACTGAGGCTGGAAGGAGAATAAAAGATGCTTATTGTTTTTAAACTACATGAGGTTGCCAGATCTCTTGGCTTTTTTCCAACCAGACAATAGAGGGGGTTGGGCACATGGGTCTTTCTTATCTCTTTCACACTCAGGTTCATCTAGTTTACTCAGTTCGCTTACTCAGTGTAGCCCTAATTTAATTCAGACCAGTAAACAAGTTGAGCATTTCTTACTTCCCTCCAGTCTGCTAGGAGGGCAGGCAAATAAAAAGTAGCTGCCAGCTGATCATTTTTTTTTTTTTTCATTATTTGCAAGTCTGCAATCACAAGTCCATGAGCTTATTAAGCCAGAAACCAAAACTGGGTATTGGAGGGGAAGCTGGATATTTATGTAGGCACTTTTATTTTTGTTTTTTTTTTATGGCGCCGGGGGTAGAATCAACAACTCACATATATGAATGGAGCATTCTACTTCCAAGCTGCAGCTTCATCCCTATTACATTTTAAGACAAAGGAATTACAGAGAACAATGAACATGTGGTAGAAAGTCAGGATTGTCCCTTGAACTCCTTGCTTGGTGGTAGTAAGATTCTTATGATGAATTTCCTGGGGAGAAACCATAACCAAACCATGTCAATCTAATCTACTCAAGTTTTCCCAGGCGCCAGCCAATCAGTACGTGAGGGACAGCCCCAATATGCCTGGCTCCTAGGAGTAAGTCTGCCTTCCTGCCTTCCCCGACTGCCTCCAGAACAATGCTCCCATGAAACTTGAGTTTCCTGATTGCCTTGGAGAACTCTCTCCTCCTCGGCCTCCAAGACTTACCTATTTGGGTAAGCCTTCCTCACACCCTGAGCTCCTTGGGGCTGAAAACAGTGTCCTCATTCTGCATCCCAAAATGGCTTGAGTTGTTGGTACTCGGTGCTAGGCCTGGTTCCTCCTCCAGGCTGAGCTCGAGGTGCTCAGCATCTCTGTCTTCCTTGTCTTTGTGCCCCAGATAGAGCCTGGGGATGACACTACCACCGCCCCCTAAGTCTGCCTTCTCAGCAGTTCTGATCTGTGAGTCAGCCATCCTTGAGTGGAAAAAGGAAATCAGCTGAGTTCTTGGGTGTGGCATTTTGATTTAATTCCACATCCTATGTTAACCATCTGCTTTGTGCCAGAGCTCACAGTCTGGCGAGGCAAAAGACCATATGGGAGGTCACTGAGAAGCGGTCATACGGGAGTGCTGAGGGAGCATGGGAAGGAGGAATCTCTTCGGTCTGTAGTTGGAGGTACTAGTGTCATAGCAAGCTTAACAAAGGAAGGTCTTCTAGACTAAAGAGCATCCTTTTTCTGGTTGTGAATGGCTGCCTTACCTTACAAGGCTAGACTGGCCTAACAGCCACATTCATAGAGAGGCTGTTGGGCCACACCCTACCAGACGGAAGCTGTAGGCAGCGCAAGAGCTGACTTAAGGCATTGGCCATGCTTCGGAGCTGGGCCAGCCCCCACTCTGCAGTCCTAACATTACCATCCCGATCCCCAGCCCAGCCCGCCTTCCTTAGTAGAGTCAAGATCAGAGCTCCACAGCTGCTATCTGAACCAGCAGCTTGATGGCACCTTAGATAAGGTCCTTTAAAGTCTGGTTCCAAAAAGTAAAATTAGTCAGCAGCAGGCTATAACCCGTATGGCTAGGATCCCACAAGGTCACACCTTTTGTGGTGTGAAATGCACCGGCCCAGTGCCGGGTGACGTAGCAGATGTCCTTTCTGCCCTAAGATCAGGTACACAGTGAACCCTCTTGTCTGTGCCAGTGCAGTCGCTTGAAAAATCTCTTCAATGTCTGTGAACAAGAAGTAGCCTCTTGCCAGAGCCCAGATGAGGACGGGCTTGCTGCAGTGTAGTTGACCAAACTGAAATTTGTACACGCTAACCCCTGTTGCCAGCATTTCCAACCCTCCTTGGTGATGGTGAGACTCCCTCGCCTGGGGCTTGGGTTTCTGTTCAGGCAGGCAATGGAGTGGTTCTTTTCATGAATCTTTCTCCCATTAGACACTTTCTTCTTGAACAGGCAATATTTTTTCTGACAGCATCTTGCATGATTAGAACTCAAAGCTCACAACCACCAAGTAAGTATCCATTTCGCCTCTACCCAGGTTGGGGGTTGGAGGGAACAGAGCCGTAGGGAAAACAAGACAAAGTAACCCGGAAGAGATAGGGTGTTCTGTGTGACTTTCTTTAGATGTCCCAGGTGCCAGCCTCCATCCCTCTGTCATAGCCCAGCTCCTTTGGACCCAGGGCTTCCTGATCAGATGCCGTTTCTGTTTGTTGAAGGCAAAGGAAGCGTCCAGAATCTGGGAGCATCAGAAAAACATTTCGGAGTGACAGCCATGGGCTTGGCAGTTCTCTGACTGACTCCTCCTCCCCGGGGGTGGGGGCTAGCTGCCGTCCATCCTCTCAGCCCATCATGAGCCAGAATCTCCCCAAGGAAGGGCCAGATAAGTGTTCCATCAGCGGCCATGGGAGCCTCAACTCTATCAGCCGCCACTCGTCCCTGAAGAACCGGCTGGACAGTCCACAGATCCGGAAGACTGCTACTGCAGGAAGGTCAAAAAGCTTCAATAACCATCGGCCCATGGACCCTGAAGTCATTGCACAGGTAACTGAGGGGGCCTGGACAATAAGTAGTAAGTCTCTATCCATCGGTTCCACTCAGAGCAGCCCCGGCTTATCAACAAAACTTAAAGCCTCTGTACATTCTGCAGAGAGTGCAGCGAGTATACATGTGACCCGCCATCAGCTTACTGAGCCATCTGCCTATCCCTGTCTCCCCAGCAAACCCTGAAGGTAGAGTTAATAGAATTCTGCCTCCTTATAAATATTCTGTTTCCAAAGCTGTTAACTGTTAAAGCCAGCAGCTAAGTATTTTGGTAAAAGTCCATTAGTCCAAGTTTCATGTGTTAAGACACTAAAGGTAGGGTTTGGGGAGATGGCTCAGTAGATAAGAACACTTGCTGTGCCAGCGAGATGAACTGAATTCAAATTTGCAGCACCCACGTAAGAGGCCTATGACCCCGGTGTTGGGTATTAAGGGCAGGCAGAGTCCTAGGACTTGCTAGCCAGCCAGCCAGCCAGTCTCGCTGAAAGAACAGGTTCAGTGAAAGTCTTCCTCAAAGACAGTAAATAGAGAGTGATAGAGTTGGATAACTGGCATCTTCCTCTGCCCATAGAACACAAACATGAAAGATAGATAGATAGATAGATAGATAGATAGATGATAGATAGATAGATAGATAGATAGATATGTAGGCAGACAGACAGACAATAGAAACACAATAGTAGACTTTAGTGAAGCTAAGACTCAAATGTAGTTCAGGTCACATCTGTATATGTCTGTGTCCATCGCTGTCACCCAATCATAACGCTGGTCTCTGATACTTGTAGATAGATAATTAGTCCACCATCTGATTCTGTCTTCAAAACCCCCAAAGTATTCTTGTTGCTTGAAGCTCAGGTCTTAGAAGGCTCCCACCCCAAAGTCCCAGGTCACAATGCAGATGAGCCCCAGATTGCAGGACCTTGCTTTTCATCGGCGCCACATTGATGACTCTGTTTTCCGTGAAATATTAGAAACCCAACTCGACCAATAAACATCCAACTACTGGGGCCACTCCAAGCAGCTCTCTCAGACGCCTCTCCCAGCTATATAATTTTCATTAGAACAGGTAGGAACTAAGGGCTTGTTTTTGTCCTCTTCCTCACCTCAGCTTCTGGGGTGATCAGGAAAGGGTAACAGAGGCTCTGTACGGTCCCCATGGGTTCTGTTGGTGCTATGCTTAAGGAGGTGTACCTGGTGTGCCCACTGTTGAGTCCTGGGCCTATCTATAATGTCTTGCTTCGCTTTACCCTCTATCCTGTTTAAGCTCCTGACAGCAATCTGCCTTGCACCGTGGAAATCCTCCTTGATCCTCTTTTGACCAGCCATTAACCAAGGTCTTAGAAAGCTGGGAACATACTAGCTGTCTTACAGGAAAGAGCCAGGAGATAAGAATTCTGCCTGAGCATTCTAAAAGGTTTGAGAAGCCCACAGGTGTAGCTCAGCAGTGCCAGCTCAGAATGCCTGCCTGTATTGCATAGGCTCCTGGTTTCCAACCCTAGCATTGCAGGACGGGGGGGGGGGGGGGTTGAGGCTAAGAAATGCCACAGTGATGGATGAAAATGAGTCACTGTCATCCATAACAAGCTTCCGGTCACACCATCCGACAGGAAGCCCTAAGTGGGAAGCCTGGGGTCCACTTGAAACTTAGAATGCTTGAAAGTATTCTTGATCCCAAAGAGGAGTCCTGTGGTGGCTTTGGGACACAGCGTTAAACACAAGTTTGCAGGGAACTCTTACTGGACGCTGGCTCGCAAAGGTTCTTTGGTTCTGCCTCGAGTCCCTGGGCTAGGGCTGCCTCTTCTCTCAAGTCTTCAATAGCTACTGACTGGCAGATACTAATTTACCTGTGTGGGCTTTGGCTCCCCCTTTTGGCCACTCTTGGGTTCCCTTTCGTGGTGCTGGGTAGAAGGAAACTGGTTCATGGTGCACGCTTGGGTGGGTTGGGAAGTTAAGTGTTGTCCTGGTAAGTCTTCAAGGACTTGGCTCTTGAACCTTCCTCTCTTGTGGAGGAAGGAATAACCCCCTTAACCATTGGCTTTGAAGTCAAGAAAATAAAGGCCATACTTGATCTCTCCCACTTTGTAAAGTTTGTTCATTGGGTACACTTTCAAAACTACAGAGAAGTACATAATGAATCGCCGCGTACTCATGACCTTTACCTTCCATTTAATTTTATGCCATTTCATCCAGAAATGCTTCAGCACCTGCCACCAAAACCAAGGCCTCAAGCTGAAAATACTCAGCCACTCTTCCTTTTTAATAATATGTTTAGTTACTAATTTAATACATTTATGCAATATATTTTGAGCATGCCATCCACTAACGCCTCTCACTTCACTTTCACTCACAACCTTATGTCTTCCTTTTATTTCTTTTAATATCCCTGGAGTCCAGTGTGTGTGTGTGTGTGTGTGTGTGTGTGTGTGTGTGTGTCGTTTATGGGAAGTCCGATACTTTCCAAATATACATAGGTGTAGAGCCACCCACTGGGCCTTGGTCAGCCTACCAGGAGCCCCATCCCCAAAAGTGAGGGACTTCCTACCTCAGAAACCATCAGCTGGCAGTAGCTTCTCCGATAGGGGCGTGGCCTCAGGGGCCCCTGCCCATTTCCGCTGGAATTTTGACTAGCTTGGTCTTGTGCAGGAAACCACCACTGGTGTGAGTTGTAGTGTGCAACAGCCTTGTCATGTCCAGAAGTTCTAAGTTCCCGATGATGAACGTCTCTCTGTCCCCTTTCCCCACATTCCAGACATTCATGTGTTCAAGGACTTCGGCCAAATAAAATATGGTTTCATGGCTTGGTGTGTCTGGTTGAAATAGGCTCCTTGGGGACGTCTGTCTTGGTTTGACTTACTTCTTCCTTTTTCCTGTTTTGCAGGATATTGAAGCGACCATGAACTCTGCCCTGAATGAGCTTCGAGAGCTAGAACGGCAGAGCAGTGTTAAGCACACCCCCGACGTGGTTCTGGACACCTTGGAGCCTCTCAAGACCTCCCCAGTGGTAGCCCCCACATCTGAGCCCTCCAGCCCCCTGCACACGCAGCTCCTCAAGGACCCTGAGCCTGCCTTCCAGCGCAGTGCCAGTTCTGCTGGGGACATTGCCTGCGCCTTCCGGCCTGTCAAGTCTGTCAAGATGGCTGCTCCAGTCAAACCACCAGCCACACGGCCCAAGCCAACTGTCTTCCCCAAAACAAATGCCACTAGCCCTGGTGTCAATTCGTCAGCTTCCCCGCAGTCCACTGACAAGTCTTGTACTGTCTAAGGGGTATAACGTAATCGCTCTAGACAAGGAGACTGGCCGGTATTAAAATCTTCCTATTTAACTAGCTTGGAGACTTCGGTTGAAAATTAGATTCTAAGTTGTTCTTACAGGAATTAGCCTTCCCGTTATCCAACCCTTGAGAATGAAGCCCTTGTTACAGCTTTCCCCTTCCTGGTCCTTCCTTCCTTCCTTCCTTCCTTCCTTCCTTCCTTCCTTCCTTCCTTCCTTCCTTCCTTCCTTCCACTTATTGCCTCCCTCTGTTGCAATCCAGCCAGCTACAGTACATGCCGTTCTTAGGTTAGCCAGAGACAAGTTTCCCATGATCAGTTCGCTATGGTATCTGTCAAGGCAAGACCTGGGGACCTCGGCCTTTGTCTTTGTCCCTTCGCACCATAGGGGATACCACCTTGACCAGATGGTTGGCTGCAGCCACCTAGGTCTCCGGTGGCATCTTGTTTTGAGTACTAATTTAAAAAATCCCCTATAGCCCAGTGTTCATTGACTGTAAGTAATATCCGTGTGCATGCACGGCCATGCACAGACACACACACACACACAGGTTTTCACGGCCTCTCCTCGTCATAGGCCTCTCTTCGTTGTTGTGACAGTTCACACTGAAGCCACCAGGAATCTCTTGTCATCGCAACTTTGTTCCATTTGGACCAGAGAAACCTGGCCTTAGAGACCTCTCTGTCATAGAAGTTTAGCAGAATGGGTCAGTGCTGGGATCTGATGCGGGGGTGGGGATTGCCGTCTGCCTCTTGCTGTGACTTGGTCACGTCACTGGCATTTGTGTTTGCTCTGTGCCGTTCTGTAGAATACATCCCAGTCTTACCAAGGAGCTTTTAACGTTTCTCTGAACACACAGACTCTTCTTCCCTTCCTTGTTTCATGACCACCATTTTCCATGTAAGATGTTGTCCCATATAAGACGGTTTTATAGCTAGTTCCTTTTAGAGTAAAAAGTCTTAAAGTTTTATTATGTTTATGGCAGGTTTGAAAGGGGGTAGGAAATGGGTCCTTCTTCCTCCCAACCTTGTTTGGCATTTAAAACTTTTAAAATTCACTATTCTGTTTAAAAAAAAAATGAATTGTTCTCTGCTAATCCAAAAAATTGTTCCCAGATCAAAACTATTTCAAGTTTACCTCTTAGCTTAGTTTTGTATAAGACTCTCTGGAGGTGGCCAGGGGCTTGGAAAGCCCTATTCAATTCTAGAGACCCTGCCTTTTGAGACCATGTTTTGTTTACCCAAACAAGGTCAACTGAGGAAACTCTGACCCCTCTCCCCCAATCAAAATTATTTTCCCAAAGCCAGAATCTTGAAAAAGTAAAATATATTGAATGCTTCATATTGGGCCTGCTTCAGATGGAATGCTCTAGCTAGCCCGCAAGCCTGAGGCTCAAACACTCACTCCTCTTCTCTGATTGTGGTTTGAAAGCTATGCTTTTATTTAACCTTATTGTTGTTCTGTAATTCAAGAGAGATGGTGGGTTGCCATTCAGGTTGGAAAATCTGAATGTCCTTAGCTTTGTGCTAGAAGAGAGAGATCCTTTTGACCAGTATGTGAAGTTGGTAGTTGGATCTTGAGAAAGGGACGGATGTTTCTCTCTGTATGAAGGGAATGGGAAGCTTGAAGGAGTCACTAATGGGAAGGGGGACTGGAGAGGCGAATGAGTCAGGTGGCAAGGGACAACCCTCAGGCCTTGGGCTGCCTGATTCTCCTGCTCTTTTTACTGACCTGTCATCTTGACCTGGGCTTGTACTGCTCCTGAGCCAAGGGAGACTTTCAGACCCAAGGATCTGAAATGATCTCCCACCCTTACATTCCTCTTAATCTAAGTGGTAGAAGTTTCCAGCCTGCCCTTTATCCTCTCTCCAGGACACTACCCTCTAAGAAGCTAAAAGCAAAGCTTCTTAAAGAGCATACTGTGGGGCTGTTCTTTAGTTCTTGCCTTCTCTTTCAGTCCTGTACATTATTTGTGTTTGTCATGCCCTTGGTCGCTGTCCATCTGCTGATTTGCAGAATGAGCTGGGCGGTGTACAAGTGGTTCCCTCCTAACCCCAGCTCTGGGAGCCTCGCTGTCTTCCTTCTCTCTGGTGCTTCTGATGCCTGTGAGATGGTCCAACCGGAGGCGAGTCCTCCTTGGCAGAGCTCAGTTCAACTGGAATTGAGGTTGCACACTGTGATTATACACCCAAAGCCAAAAGGAGCCGGCCACCCCAGGCCTTGGGCAACTAGCCTTCCTCAGATAGGCTTGCCCGAAACCAGCATGATGCTTCCAAGAGCCCTGCTCTGCCCCTCGTGGCATGGATCCTTTCCCTGGTGTGGACCCCGTCTTTGGGGAAGAAAGGTGGAGTGCAGCTACCAGCTTCCCAGTTTGCAAAGTAGAGGAATTTGCCACCAGCAGCCTAGAGACTGGAAACGCTGGTCTCTGCCAGCCTCCTCAGGCCATCCTTGTTTGTCCCCAAGGAGATGAGAAATCCCTCCAGCGCCAGGGTGAACGGACCACTGGAAGGGCTGGTGTGCGTGGACTTCGGTTCAGAAGAGAACTTACATCTTCCAGGGAACTGCAATGTTGCGACGTCTGATTTGTATGTCACATTTGTGTAAAATGGTATGTTCTTTAAAATGGTGTTGATAACTGGAATATTGTATATGCTTGAAGATGCTTTGTGTGAACCTAAGACTCACTCAGCCGATGTTGGATTGGGGAAAATCCAAAGCACAACTTCAAAATAAAATGCGTTTTTAGGTTTCACTGCTACAAGTCATCTCCCTTTGCCCCCTCCCTGAGAGTGCTGACCATCTGTGCAGCAGGGTAACAAGGTGACCTTCGAGCTTCTCTTCCCCTCTACGCCACTGGCCCCCTTTAGCCCATGTGTGGAACCTCGGGTTTTGTAGGAAGTCTCCTAGCACACTGTCTACCAGTCTGTGGTCAGAAGAACTTTCCTTAACAGGACCTACTTTTTGTTTTTAATGCAGGCTGCTTCATTTCTTGTTTTTATGATCGGGTTTCCCAGTTGAAAAACGGAAACCTGTAAAGCTGGTTGGAAACTTTGCCAGCTACGACCAGGGAGGGGTATTCCAGATGGTTCCGTATTTTAAGATTTATCTATCATTTTTGCTTAGTGTGTAAGGGTGTTTTGCCTTCGTGTTTGTCTGTGTAACACACACATGCAGCACAACAGAAATGACGAGGGGACATAAGACCCTCTGGAACTGAAGTTACAGGCAGTTGTGAGCCACCACCCTGAGGACCGAGCTCCGGTCCTCTGCAAGAGCAGCCAGCGCTCTTGTCTGCTGAGCCATGGCTCCAACCGCTGCCAATGTCTTTGTCTTTCACAGCCAGATCCTGGAGGCAGCCTGCCCTTGGCTATCCCTGTATCTGGAAGAAGTTCTGATCAACGTGCCTTGTTGCTGGTGAGGATGGGATGGATGCATCATCTCCCTTAGAGATGCCTTGTGTTTTGTAGAAAGTGAGCTTGAGGGTGGAGTTCACAAAAAATTACTCGTGTGCCTGCCATGACGTGTTACCAGAAGCCCAAAGCAATGGGGCCAGACAGTCATGGGTTGAAACCTCCAAAATGTGTTCCCTGGAGGCTTCGCTTCTAAATGAGGAAGTGGGTCTGCAGAATTCATGTGTGTCTGTGAGTATACATTTATATATACTTATGCATATACATGGCTTGCCTGAGACAGGGTCTCACCTTCTAGCCCTGACCATCTTACAGCTGGCCCTGGCCAACTCAGAATCACTAAAGTCAGAGATCTAGCTGTCTCCACCTCCTGAGTGCTAGGATTAAAAGCGTGCACTACTGTGCCCTTGAGAATTTTCTTTTCCTTCTTCGAGACAGGGTTTCTCTGTGTAGTCCTGGCTGTCCTGGATCTTGCTTTGTAGACCAGGCTGGTCTCAAATTCACTTAGATCCACCTGCCTCTGCCTCCCAGATACTGGGACAAAAGGCGTACACTACCAGACCCAGCATCAGAATTATTTTTTAAGATGTTGCCTGATTTTTAAACGAGCACAATTGTCCTTGTCTTAACTAATTGACGGTTCCCTGAGCCAGCTCAGGACTGGGCCCCATTCTGCACATAGCTCCTGCTTTGGGTGAGACTGTTTAACTTCTCACACTGTGAGTTGCTTTTCTACCCCAAGTAAGAACAAGTGTGCATACATACACGTGTACATATTTAATTGTTGAGACTGATAGAAAGCGTGTTTAGATCGTATTCACCCTCCCCCCCGTTGTTCCCAGGTTCATCCCCGCCCCTCCCTACCCACCTAGCTTTGCCCCTCCCATCAAGGTTGTTTGTACTGCCCAAGTATTCTTGGATGTGTGGCCTTCCCCTGGAGCACTGTCTGTCTATCGGGGCTACGCTACGCTTAGAGGAAATTGACCTTCCCTTTCCCAGCTGCTAACAGTTGCCAATAGCCCCTCTGCTAGGATTTGGTCTGGCCTGCATTTGCACAGGTCTTGTGCACTGTGGACATTTGTAATGAATAGATGCCTGATTATCAAAAGCAGCAAAATACCGAGGGAGGTAACAAAGTTGAATAAATTCTACAAAGCCTGGGGCCAACATTTGTTTTTAGGGAGCTTACTATAATACCAGACATCCTTGAGGATAAGTCTGTTTATTGGCATTACCTGTCTTCAGCAGTAACACAGGGTCCTACCCCAGCCCTAGCGTGGACACATTCCATTTTTATCTCGTATGCATCTGGTGTTCAGCTCCTTCTTGCCCTACCAGCCTGTCTCATCTCCCTCTATTAATGATTGAGCATTATTAACAATAAGCATTGTTGCCCCCCAGGGCAAGTCAAAATTGAAACTCTTCTGCCACCCTGTGGTACGGGCTCTCATCCTGGCAGCAGTATGTGAAAAGGGATCTCCCGAACCGCTGAGTTGCTGAGATGGAGCCAGCTCTTAGGCTGTGGGCAAAGCACCAAAGACTTAGAGAATCCCTCCAGCAAAGGTCATGCTGTTGGGGTCCTCTCCCGTATACGCTCTGATGGGACATTGATGGAAGCAGTTGCCCTTCAACTAAATGGAAACCAAAGCAAGAGACCAGGTGAGTATGGAGTTAGGATGACCTCATTTAAATGTTTATAGAGCCCATTGTTCTAGGAAGTTCGGGGAGTGCCAGGATTTCCAAGCACAAGCTGCCACAGCTGACGGGAAGTTTCCTTTGACTCAGAAGCTAACCCTGCTGTTGCATACGGCAAAGAATCAATTAGATCATCAACTGACTTTAATGTGTCCATTCAAGCGCTGTACTGAGCTTGAAAACGGGCGATAGAGCTTGTTTCCTACTCAACACAAGGAAAGCAAAATAAGTGAATGTGAAAATGAAACGACGAGATGCTGGGTTGGACAAGAAAGGCCATTGTGGAGCTGTCTGATGGCATCATTGTGGAGCTGTCTGATGGCATATGCCTGTTGTCCCAGAAAATCATTAGCTGAGGCAGAAGACCACAGCTTGAGGCCGGATCTGGCAACAGAAGACTCCATTTTTTTAGAAGGAGGAGGAGGCCATTGTGGGGTGAAATCCAGCCCAGGAAATTAATATTTCCGCTTAGGCAGGCCATGCTGAGATGACCAAGAGACACACAAGTGAGAAGGTGTGTATGTCGAGTCTGGGGGATGCCCTACCCAAAATCCAGTAGGATGTACTCAAACCGAGATTTCTGGTGTGAAGTGTAGATGGGAAGGGGAAATCTCACAAAGGAGGAGCCAGCAAAAGACAAACAAACAAAGATGGAGTAAGCCCAAGCCCAGCGCCTAGGCGGCAGGAGGGTGCATGGTACAGAAACCAGGAAAAGTAAGTACGCGACAGAGGGAGGGGCCAGCTCTTCAGAGGGCTGTGCTGGGGGCAAGATAAAGCTGGTGTCAAGAAGTGAGCACTGTTGGGCGTGGTGGGGCAGGCTTTAATCCAAGCACTTGAGAAGTAGAAACAGGAAGATTCTGTGAGTTCAAGGCCACCCTGCGCTACCTATCAAATGCCAGGACTATGTAGACGTACCCTCTGTCAAAGGGGAAAAAAGAGGTGGGAAGGGCTGGGAATGGACCTTCTTGGTATATATAGAGGTCCTGTCTCAGAAAGGAGGGAAGGAAGGAAGGAAAGAAGGAAGGAAAACAGAAAACTTTTTTTTTTTTCAGCAGATGGGAAATGAGCTCACTGGAGTAGGCTAGGCAGCAAAGAAGGACCCAGCGGCTCAGAGAATGTGGGCATCCCAAGGAGTTAAATTAAGGACCAGGGTTTGTTCTGAAGATAGAGTGGCGGCATATTTGTTCTGTGGGCAGACCCACAGAGAGACAGGCAGGAGTCTGGAGGGGCAGCTGAGTTGCATAGCCAAGCAGGGGGGTAGAGGGCAGCAGAAGGGACACATGGTCCTGCCTCGGGAGGAAGGGCAGATACTAGGGTAGGCACAGGCAGGTGGTGGCTGTTGCTTCTTTCTGTTCAGCTAAGTTGAAAGCAGGGTCCTAAGCTGACCATGGGTGGAAAGAAACGCATTTCCAGATTAGGAACAATGACAGATAATTGCACAAGAACCAGGCCCCTTGGGGGCCTGGATAGTGCACTCACAGCCCGTTTGCCACTGCTTGGGAAGAGCCATAGTACCAGTTCTGGCTGTAGTGTCTGTCCCTCCTTCACCAAAGTTCCTGGGCAGAGTTGACTTACAAAGGTGTCAACTAGCTATAGGCTCCGAGGTTTTGCCATTGAGCCCTGTAACTAAGTACGGCCAGGCCCTATAAACAAGACCACACACGTACACCACCCTGCCCCGACCCTTTCTTACTTTGAAGGTACTGGAAAGCACTGTGTATATGGGGGAGTTGTAGGGATGCAGCCCTACTCTTGGGTACAGAACCTCAGCCTCAAGGATGCTGAGCAGTACAGTACCGCTACTGAGCTGTAGCGGTGTAAGTACACACCCCCAGCTGCCTGATTTCCTTTTTAAAGACCTCTAGCTCTGTTGCCCTGTTCAGGCTGATCCTGAATTCCTCAGGGTAAACCTCCTGCCTCAGCCTTGCTGGAAACTGCAACCACAGACAAATGCCACCATGCCCAAAATGACACCTATTCCAAACCCACTGGGCACCAAGCATGTCATCTCTTAGCTTTATACCAATCCTATGAGAAAGGTTAAATGACAAGTCCTGTTTAGGAGGTGGCCTTAATGAAGATATAGTAGCCTTTCCACCACACCAGCCTCCATCGGTAGCAGACTTGAATTTTTTCCACCAGAGTTGCCTGCCGAACACACATACACACACACACACACACACACACGCACGCACACGCAGGCAAGCACGCACGCTCTGGTCCTTATGCTGCATTTGAATTGCCACCATTTTTATGATTCCTTGGGCCTGGGAAGATGTGGCAGGACCCCTTATGGACGTCTCTCCAAGCTCCTGACTTCCCATGCAGCCGGGGCACAGGCAGGATGGTCCTATATTTCATCCACACCAGGGCTATTCCCTCCCAGAGTCTACTGGCAAAGTACCATCTATTACCAGCACGGTTTCTTCAGAGCCTCTGCCCCTGCTTTCTGTGATTGAATGAGTTCCCCTTCTCACTAACTCAGAGCACCCAGCAAGCCTGGCAAGCCCTCCCTGCTGCCCCTACGAGGTCCACAAAGCCACTGTTTGCTGAGTGTATGCCCCCTTTCACTCACTACCATGCTGTCCGGCACAGCACCTCTCTGGGATGAGCAGCCTAGGTCTCTCCTTTTCTGTCCTGAGCACACAGTGCCTGTTTCACGGGAGATGCCATACTTGATCCTTGTGTTCGAAGATGTGAAAGTCCCTGGGAAAAAGTGATTAACTCGGCTAGCTAGTGAAAGGAAAATATGAGTGCTAGTTCATGAAGGAAAACCAGCAGCTTTCAGGACAGGCGAGGCGATCCTGTAAACCTCAGTGGGCAAAAGCAGTAAACCCCGGGGCACCTGAGGGGGCGCTCTGATCGTGCAAGTCATTCAGATAACTTTCTAGACCAGAGGTTCTCGATGTGTGGGTCACATGACCCCTTTGGGAGTCATACCAGATATCCTGCCTGTCACAGAGTGACATTACAGTTCATAACAGTAGCAGAATTACAGTTATGAAGTAGCAACGAAATAGTTTTATGGTTGGGGGGGTCTCTACAACATGAGGAACTGTATTAAAGGGTCACAGCGTTAGGGAGGGTGAGACCCATTGATGGAGCAGCCGCATTGAATGGAGTCACCTTGCTAGAGGGTAGGAGGCCTCGAGGGGAGGTCTTGCATCAGCAGTTGAGTGATTTGCTAGAGGAAGTGCATGCTTCCGTACTCTAAGTGATTAGCAAGTGCAATTCCCCCGTGTTCCCGCCAGGTGGACACCTGTAACACACAGGCTGGAGTGTGGGTCCCTCAGGGATGTCCCTCCTGGCCCTGCTGTGTTTAGCCACGGCAGGGCCTCTAGCTGTCATCTCGATCAGGTGAATCTGTCAGCCAACAAGCCCTGGGCCTGTCCTTGCCTCTCCTCCCTGTGGTGGGGTGGGGCTGGCAGAGGAAATCACCAGGTGTGGCCAGGGGAAAGTCCCACCAACATTCTGAGAAACATGGAATTTCCTGGTTTTAACCACTTATCCAGCTGCCCACTCAGAGCTGACCAGAGCATCACGGACCCCCTTCGAGCTTCCCAGGATATTTGGGGTACTGGGTCATGCCTGACAAGGTGGCAAATCATAGGCGAATTACTAAAGATGTATAAGACTTGATGCCATCAAATGTGGTCTGAAAAACACGTGCCAGTCTCCCCGAATTTACCAGATACTACATTCCCTGCTGTCCATGTGACCTAAACCCCAACTTCGGGCTGTGGGCAGGCTTTGCTGTGTGTAAGGTCAGGCAAAACAGGGTCTATGACCTGGGTGTGTGCTTGTCCTTGTAGGCTCTAAGGAAGACAAGTCCTGTCCAGCTTCTGAGAGAGGCCAAACACAGGTCCTGGAACTTTCTAGGCAGTTTTCAACTTGGTTAACTTGTTCAGCCTCTTCAGTTGACCTTGAACAGAGCTGTCAGCACAGCACTCAGTGGTCTGTCACAAAGAACCCAGCCTCCGTCTCTGCTTCTCTGTGACTCAGACGATGGTCCTACCTTACAGCATCCTCCTTCCCTTTCCCTATGTGGGGTGGAGGTGTGTGTGTGTGTGTGTGTGTGTGTGTGTGTGTGTGTGTGTGTGTGTGGCAGCGGCTGAGCTGCCTGTCTCTTTAAGAGAGAGAGAGGAAGGGAGGGAAAGAGGTGGAGAGAGAGAGACAGATGAATCAGGAAGTGTGATCAAACTGAGAGCCTGGGCTCTGCCGGCCTGGGTATCTATCCCACTGCTATGAGAGAGGCAAGAGAGAAACCTCAGACCCAGGGCCCTCACGACTAGCTCTGCCTGTGTGTGGGTGCTGGAGGCCCATGACTGCCGCGATGTTCTAGGCACTGCCCACGATTGACTGAAATCCCTGGGGATGGCACCCAGTCCTACAAGTCTGCATTCCCCAGCAGCTGAGCTGGGAGGTGGGGTGAGTTTGCAGTGGCTGGACAAGGGTGGCGTGGGGGGGGGCGGGATCGGATGGGACAGCTTCAAAGAAACACTCAGCTGAATGTCCCCCGCCCCGTGACTTTCTTGCGGCTGGTGGTATCCTGTACTCCCTCTGTGGAAATAAACACTCTCAGAGGACAGGCAAGGGTCAGGGAGGATTATGGCCCCGGGGAGAAACACCATTGGCCAACAAGGTTCCCCTCTTGGGTTCTCCTTCCCAACATGCTGATGCAAAGCTGGGGCTCAGCTTTGGGTGCCCCTACTTGACCTCTGCTTGGGATCTTTTCCCTGAGACCCAAAATAGCCAGGAGAGACTCTCAGAACATCTGGAAGCAGCTGGAAAACCCCCAGTCCTGCAGGGAAGGTGACGACGGGAAAGGGTTAAAAGGCCGAGGCTGGTGGCCTTTGATGGGGCTGAGAAAGAGACAGTACCAAGGGAGCCTCTCATCCGCCCACCTTCTCTTCCGGTGCAGCTCGGCTCCTGAACTTGGCCCAGACAGAAAGCATAACACACACTCACCAGGGAGAGTCTGCCTGATTCTGGGCCACTCGGAGTGCAAGTGAGTGAGTACATCCATCCGTCACAGAAGAGCCCCAAGAAGGGATGGGAGTGTGTGAGCAGGCGTCGCTGGCAGCTACCGCACATTCTGTGTAGAGAAGGGGCCCGTGGGAGGTGATCCAGACGTGCCGTAGTCCAGATGTGCCGTAGTCCGAGCTTCTAGGTACAGGACCCAGAACCGTGTGGCCCCTCTGGAGTTCTGTCCTGTGCATCTCACTGCCCATCTTTCTGGCCAGCTGTGCTTTGCCCTAACGCCAGGGCTCGGTTGAAGACCAGCCTAGGTAGAGTTATGAAGGTAATACAGTCTGGTGACCCCAGCTCCCAAGGCTAGGACCTTGACCTCCCTTTCAGCACACCCTGCCTGAGCCTCGCTTTGGGTTGACTCCCGCCACAGGGACAAAAGCGGGCAACTCAGTCACTCCCATTGTCTTCCGAAGGTCTCACCAGCCCCTCACCTTTGCACAAGGCAAAACATGAATGTGTCGCCTGCCTGACGCTTGGGTGCGACTGCTGATCTCTTCAAGTGGCTTCTGGCTCGAAAGCCCATGTTCTCCAGAGTCTGCATCATTAATTTAGACTACCAGCTGGAACCTGGCTCACTCAGTCTGTAGAGGGCTGGCCTAGCACGCATGAAAGCTGTGGGTTTGGTCCTGGGACAGCACCTAGTTAACAGGGATTACACAGCTATCATTCAAGCATTTCAGAGGCAGGCACAGAAAGGCGTTCAGGGCCCTCTTCAACACCACTGAAGGTACCCGGTCTGGCTACCCTGTCTTAAAAAAAAATACAGAGTGGGCACATTGAGCCATCTTTGGTTTGAGACCGGGTGAGATGCTGGAGCAGGAAGAGACTCTGCCTAAAGCAACGTTATTTCAAGACATCAAAGGGGGGGTGGCCCTTCTTGTGCCCCCCAGACACCCCAAGAGGCTGGCTCTGGCCCGATGGGCAGTGAGTGTAACTTCTGAGATTACACTTTCTGGAACCAGCTGCTTTAGAGGAACCAAGTTTTTTTTTTTGGAGGGAACAGGATGAGAACAAAGACGGGGAGCAGAGTTGTGGACAGTTTCAGATCTTCCCCAGAGCTCTTGAGCCTGTGTGTGTGATGCTCTCCTCCTCCATCCCCTACTCCTCCCTCTGATCCCTCCCACCCTTCCTCCTTGGCTATCTCTCCTTCTGAAAAGGCGCTGGCCGAGGCCTGACTGCCTGCCGAGCCGCCTTCAGCTCCCAGCAGTAGGAAGTTAGGGAAGGAGAGGTGGCATTGGGGGCTCCGGCTGGTGTTGCAATCCTGGAGATTTGTGCTGGTGTGACTGTCTCTGCCTGACCCTGGCTGACCCAAGGCCCTTCCTCCCCACACTGTGTCTGCTTCCTGGGACAATCCCAGGCCTGGATGCCAGAGCTCTGAGTCCCCAGTTCCTGAAAGGGGTACTAGAGAAAGGTTTGACCCCCTAGATTGGCCTACCTCTGAAGGGTGCTGGAAGGGCAGAGAAAAGCCCCCATGGGTGTAACAGATGCAAGCTTGCGACCCAGTAGGACCTTCCTGCTGCTGGTTGGTTTCTTTGGGAGGAAGTTATCACCATTTTCCCAGGCCCCTTGCCTGTTTCATGACCACAAAGTCTTTTATGGGATGGCCTTGGGAGCGAATGCCGTGCGCCAGTATCTATTACAGGTCAGGCACGGGGCCTCGGGGGCCCCCACATGGTTGCTTGTTTTGTTTTCCCAGGTAGAAGGTGGCCAAGCCTGGGAGATGCAGAGTACAACTAATTACCTATGGCACACTGATGACCTGCTAGGCCAGGGGGCCACTGCCAGTGTGTACAAGGCCCGAAACAAGGTAATAGCAACTCTGGCCCCAGACCCTTCCATGCCCTAGAACTATCCCTCCGTTGGGCGTTAAGAGTCTGTGTAGCTGGACACGGATCCCAGGGCTCTGTTCTGTCTACCCTGATAAGAAAGGGCTCATAGGTCTGGGCTGATGTGTGTGGGATGCTGGGAAAAAATGCCTTGGAATGGCGCCTCTGTCCGAGACATGTTGGGGCTAGAGGACAAGACAGAAGGGGAGGTGACAGCGAGTAGGACCTAGGAATAGCAGGGCTGGGAGGTTGGGCCTGTCTGGCTTTGTCCTGCAGTGGCTGCAAAACTGTGTCACAATGTCTGCGCTCAGGAACTGAAGGCAGGGTAGGATGCCTAGGTAGGTAGTTCTTAACGATGGCGAAATGAGCAATAACAAGTCATCCCCTGTGGGATATCAGGGTGTCACCTCCAAGCGCTGCCCCAGCCCCCTGAGTAGGGGGAAGAGTTGCAGATGTGAGCCCGTCCAACCACCCCCTGCACCCACACCTCCCTCCACCCCTGTCTCCTGGGGCTGGGTTGGGGAACGGGCTGAAGGGAGAAGAAGGTGGCAGCTCCCTGGCAGGGTTGGGGCCAGGGTGGTACCCGTGTTGATCCCCCACCCTATGCCCACACACCAGAAATCTGGGGAAGTGGTCGCTGTAAAGGTCTTCAACTCAGCCAGCTACCGGCGGCCCCCCGAGGTCCAAGTGAGAGAGTTTGAGGTGCTGCGCAAGCTGGATCACCAGAATGTTGTCAAGCTGTTCGCGGTGGAGGAAACGGTGGGTCCTGGGCTTGGTCCGCGAAGGATGCCCTTGATCTTGACCTTTGTGGTCCAGGGGTGGGCAAGTCATGCTCAATGACAGTCCAGAGACACAGGCGTGCGTGCGTGCGTGCGTGTGTGTGTGTGTGTGTGTGTGTGTGTGTGTGTGTGTGCGCGCGCGCGTGTGCATATATGGAGGGGGTGATAAGGAACCCAAGGGTGTGGGATCAGAGACGGTTTCCCGGGAAACGTAGAGGGAGCGAGGTAAGCAAGCTTCGGACAGGGCGGAAGTGGGAAGCACCCTCCTCAGCAAGCGTCCATCTGTCCGTGCACAGGGAGGCAGCCGGCAGAAGGTGATAGTCATGGAGTACTGTTCCAGCGGGAGCCTGCTGAGCGTGCTGGAAGACCCTGAGAACACATTTGGGCTTCCTGAGGACGAGTTCCTGGTGGTACTGCGCTGTGTGGGTGAGCCTTACCCTGTGCCCAGGCCTAGGCCCTCTCCGCCAGCCACCCGCAAAATCCAGGATGGGTGGATACTCTGAAACAGGCATCCCAGTGGGCCTGAGGCAAAGGGGTGGGCCAGAAGGACCCACGTGACCGAGTCAGGTCAAAGCTGTAGGAAAAAATCCAAGTAAGATTGTTTGCCGGTGTCGAAGGTAGTAGCATCACTTACAACAGTCAGCAGGTGAGACAGCCTAACAGGATCAGGTACCTGCGGGCAGTGGTGTATCCCTGTGCAGAGGAGGGGATTCTAAGTCACAAGGCAATGTGCACGGAGCTGAAGGATTGTGCTCAGGGATCAGCTAGCCGCGCAAAGTCCAAAACCACACTTCAGTCAGGGCAGAGCTCCCGGGGGAGTGGAGTTGCTGGGGTGGACGGGAGACTGCTGTGCAGGGCTGGAAGTCAGGGGTGTGGTTTGACCGGTGTGGACTTCACTGGGGAGGAGGAGAAGGCTCTGCAGGTAAGGGTTGGCGATGCTTACACAATCATGTCAGTGTGCTTAAGGACAGTTAAACTGAAGGACCTGGTTGGTTACTCTCCACGCCAGTGAAACTGAGGCAGGCTGATCAGGAATTCCAGGGTAGCCTGGGCCCCGCCGTGAAACATACCCAAAACCAAGGTTTTCAGTGACGAATTCTGGTAGGAATATTCTACCACAAATAAATAATAAGATGGAGAAGGTGTGCCCTGGGCTCTCCACAAAATCCAAGAGAGTCAATGTTAGGATGCCTTTGGGGCCCTTTCCTTTTATTTATTTAATAGATTACTTAATGTGTGTGAATGTTTTGCGTATATGAACGCATGTGTGCCATGTGTGTGCCCGGTACCCTCTGAAGTCAGAAGAGGGTTTTAGATCCCCTGGACCCAGAGTTACAGAAGTTGCGAGCCACAATGTGGATGCTGGGAACTGAACTCGGGTCCTCAGGAAGAGTGGCTCTTACCTGAACACTCTCTCCACCCCCCCCCTTTAAAATTGTAGTAAAAAATTGTTTTTACCTCATGTGTGTGGGTGTTTTGCCCATGTATCTATTACATGTATGACCGGTGGGTGCCTGCAGAGTCCAGAAGAGGGTGTTGGATCTCATGGAACTGGAGCTCTAGCTCTGTGCCGGGAATTGAACCAGGGTCATCTGAAAGATGATCCATCTCTCCAGCCCCTTCTTAGCCCTGTGGGCTTCTCCATTCTCCAGTTTTCCCCGTGCCCCAAGTTCCCTGCGGCAACCCCCTTGTATATTTGGATCCAAGCACAGACCCATCATTAGGACAAACCTCAGACAGTAGACTGCCTGGTCCCTTGCTGAGCCAAGCTGATAGAGCTCTGTCTGTCCCCAGTGGCTGGCATGAACCACCTGCGGGAGAATGGCATTGTCCACCGGGACATCAAGCCTGGTAACATCATGCGTCTGGTGGGGGAGGAGGGACAGAGCATCTACAAGCTGTCGGACTTCGGGGCTGCTCGGAAGCTGGATGATGAGGAGAAGTTTGTCTCTGTCTACGGTACGGAGGAATACCTGGTAAGTGACGTACTGATGGCTCCCTGCTTCGTGCCTCCCTGAGAGTCCCCTAGGATGCCCACACTGTCCCTCCATGGCCACCCTCTGCCTTTCTCCCATAGCACCCTGACATGTATGAGCGGGCCGTGCTTCGCAAACCCCAGCAAAAGGCGTTCGGGGTGACTGTGGATCTCTGGAGTATTGGGGTGACCCTGTACCATGCAGCCACCGGTAGCCTGCCCTTCATCCCCTTTGGTGGGCCCCGGCGCAACAAGGAGATCATGTACGGTGGGCTATGGGGCAGGGAATGAAGGGGACAGGCCCTGGACTTCTTCCAGGCAGACACCTGGCCTTTCCCCCACTGGGTCCTGCTGCGTCTCTTAGCCCAGGCCCCGCCTTGACTCTGTGTTAGTTCAGGTTCCGGAGCCTGGAGGGGTGAAGATGGAGCTGGGTACCCAGGCCCAGGGTCTTCTTAGTGTCTCTCACTGACTGATAGGTGGAGCTCAAAACAGGTGCTGCCAGCATGTAGGGCCCACAACAAAAGAGATGTAGTGTCAAACCACTAAAATGAGGGTCCCTGCAATGCAAGGATCTGCTGAGCTGTTGCTGATGCTGTGGAGGAAGAGTGCCGAGTCTTGGGACAAGTTCTGAAGGTTCTAGCTGGAGGGCAGTTGGGGAAACATCTACTGGACCTGGAGCCAAGAGTTCACTATAAATAAACACTGCAAAAGAAAAGCAGAAGTTTGCACTGGCTGGAGGTGGTGGGCAGTCTAGAGCAGAGGGCTCTGGGGTTGCAGGGCAGCCCATCAGGAGAGCTTGTGGCTACACTGGTAGCAGTTAGTGCTCGGTGGGGGCACAGAGAAGCCGAGCGTGAATGGCCTTGGTGGTCAGCCGGGGTCGAAGTCACACTTTCAGCATATGTTCAGAAATGTGAAATGGTTCTTGTTTGGTTTCCTCGGAGCTGATCGATGGTCAGCTCCCCCTTCCTTCCTCCGAGTTCTTGTAATGAACGGAGGACATCTCAGAATTTCTCTTATTAATGTGTCATCAGGAAGGTTGGTGCTTACACCCTTGGTCTCGGGGCAAGCTGTTTGGAAGCAATATTAGGGTTAGGGACAAGGGGGAATGGGCCGTCAGGGAGGGATAGATTGGGGGAGACGTCAAAAAAAGTGAGAAGAACGTGTTTGACTTGCTCAGCATGACATAGATGTGGAGGTGGCCGGTCTTGGGATAGCCATAGTGACTGTAAGGAGGACTCTGCCTACAGCCAGCAGCTTGACTGGGCAGAGGTGAGCTCCCAGGTAGAGCTGGGATGCCCCAGCTTCACCTTCCAGTCTACCTCACAGCGGCTGCGTGACGTGGACCGTGCTGTGTTCGGAGTTTCCTGATCCTTAATGTTATGGCGGATGAGAGGGAATGTATGACGGATGGGCGGGGGGAGGTGTGGTTCTAGTGGCCTGATTCTGCCTCACTGCAGGTACAGAATCACCACCGAGAAGCCAGCCGGGGCCATTTCAGGGACTCAGAGGCAGGAAAATGGGCCCCTGGAGTGGAGCTACAGCCTCCCCATCACCTGCAGACTGTCCATGTAAGTGAGAGGGGCAGGCTCATGGAATCTAAGCTAGGGACCATTTCTCTCTGTTGAGTGAAGACTATCTGTATCAGCAGAAGTTCCATTTGGACGCTTGGGCCCTGGCTCTGACCGATTTCATGTCTCGTGTGTGTGTGTGTGTGTGTGTGTGTGTGTGTGTGTGTGTGTGTGTGTGTGTGTAGGGGGCTGCAGAACCAGTTGGTACCCATCCTGGCCAACATCCTGGAGGTCGAGCCGGCTAAGTGCTGGGGCTTTGACCAGTTCTTTGCGGAGACCAGCGATATCCTACAGCGAACTGTCATCCACGTCTTCTCCCTGCCCCAGGCGGTCTCGCACCACGTCTACATCCACGCCCACAACACGTGAGTGGGAACAGCAGAGAAAGGGAATAAGGCCACCCCCACCCCCTTCATCCCCCTCTAAATGGTGGTGTGGGTCCAGCGGAGTGTCTCCCAAAACACATTTGGAAAGAAGTACTATTTCCACCAAGTTCAAGTCAAGCAGACTTCGTTCTGTGTTCCACATTCCGTACCCTTCACAGTGCCAGCCTGGCTCATCAGTCTCGGGGTGGGGGGCTCCGTTTCCTGGGTTTAGGACTTACTTTTCATGGAACCCCTTCACTCCCTCAATTCTTGGTCTTTGCTGTTGGAGACAGGATCTTGCTGGGTAAGCCCAGCTGACCTCAAACTCTATCCTGCTGCCTCAGCCTCCCAAGAGCTGGGATTACCAGCATGGGCCGGGAACACCAGGGTCACTGTATGGGATCAGGAGAATTTTGGATTGGACACAAAGGCAGAGGCTAGGCATCGGAACTCCTGGGTCCTCTTCCCATTTTGCATGAACTGTGCCTTTGGCCTCTCCATCTTTGATGAAAAAGCTGCCCCCCCAAACCCTAACCCCCCCAAAGCTGAGCCTTCCCCTTGGTGCTTTCTGACGCCTCCCCGCTCATGTGTCTAGGATTGCCATCTTTTTGGAGGCTGTATATGAGCAGACCAGCGTGCCCCCCAAACACCAGGAGTACCTCTTTGAGGGTCACCCTTGTGTCCTTGAGCCAAGCCTCTCGGCCCAGCACATTGCTCCTACAGCTGCCAGCAGCCCCCTGATCCTGTTCAGCATGGCCAGTGACACACCCAAGGGCCTGACCTTCAGGGACCGTGAGTAGGGACAGTTTGGGCTGGATCTTTTATACCTGAGATACTCCTCTCTGGAACATTTGGGTTTAACTGTTTTCTTAGTAAATGTTTCTCTGGCCCACACAGCAGAAGTGAATTTGAGTCTTAATTCTACACACACCTCTGAATTGCCATGTGGCCTGAGCTGGTGACTAGGCTTTTCCTGGCCTCAGCAGTCTCTCTGATTGGTAGGGATGCTTTGAGTAGCTTGGGCTGCTAGAGAGAAGGCAGGTGGGCCGAGGCCCGGAGCTTTTTTTCCTTTCCTTCTTTTTCTAGAAATAATCCTTTTCGTTTGAATTATGCTTAGTCCTCCTCTGAGGCAAGGGAGGGTGCTTTAACTTTGCAAGAGAATAGAGTCTAGTAACGGGTCTACTGGCTGGAGAGGCAGGGCATTGAGCTTTAAGATGTAGTTCTCAAATGTAACCACAAGATGGCAGCAAAGACCGGAGACTTTGCAGATCCCACTGGATCAAGGTGTAAGTCTAGTAGGCAAGGGAGGGTGCTTTAACTTTGCAAGAGAATAGAGTCTAGTAACGGGTTTACTGGCTGGAGAAGCAGGGCATTGAGCTTTGGGTGTAGTTCTCCAATGTGACCACAAGGTGGCAGAAAAGGCCTGAGACTTCGCAGCCCCACCGGCTCGAGGTGAAGGCCGCTGGGCGGAGTCGGGAAGGTTTAGATCAGCAGTGAGGGGTGACTGTGAGCTGGGAACAAGGAAAGATGGCCTCAGAGTTAACCCAGTCCATGGAAGCAGACCCCTCAGGCAGGATCTTTGTCTGCAGCTGCTCTGGATGTCCCAAAGTTCGTACCCAAGGTGGACCTACAGGCAGATTACAGCACAGCTAAGGTGAGGGGCGGCCCCCAGGAGGCAGCAGGGGGTTTGACGCGGGGCGGGGGGGGGCTGACCTGCCCGTCTGTGTGTTTCAGGGGGTGCTGGGTGCTGGCCACCAGGCTCTGTGGCTGGCGCGGGCCCTGCTGGATGGGCAGGTGCTGATGCTTCGAGGGTTACACTGGGTCCTGTGAGTACTGTGGAGGGCTGGAGGGGGGCATGGCATACCCATCCGCACCTCTTCTGTCCCTCTCTAAGGCCACGTGCCCTGGTCAAGGTGGCTCTGACTAGGGCTGCCCTCACGCAGGGAGGTGATTCGGAGTACGTGCCAGCAGACACTGGAGGTCACGCGGACAGCCCTCCTCTTCCTCAGCAGCAGCCTGGGCAGTGAAAGGTGGGTGATCCACCTGGCCCCTCAGCCCTCCTCTCTGCTCCTCACCCCTGCAATGTATCAGCCTTCCCCCAACCAACATCCACACTCCTTCAGAGCCTGCCTTCCCAATTATTACCCATCCTCGGCTTAGTCCTGCCTCCTTCAGGGAGAAATCCACGTGGGCACTGCCTCTGTGGCCCCGGGGCAGTCCCTTACCTCGGGAAGGGCAGACTCTGACCCGCAAAAGGGTGGTGTCTTCTCCTGCCCCAGGAAGAGCAGCACCCCTCCCCCAGATAGGGCCCTAATTCACCGGGACTTGGGATGAATTGAAACTCTCAGAGGAAGGGCTCGATCCCTGCACACCACCAGTGATGGAAATCTGGACAGTCTCAGCCTTCACATCTTTGCTCGGGTTTCCTTTGGGTCCTCCACTTGTCCTTGCCTTCTGAGGTGGAGAGAGCCGGGAAGGAAGGAGGAAGCTCAGCTAGGGAAGGGTAGTGGAGAGAAAGGGCCAGGGAGGGTCCACTGGGAGGAGGGGGGAGGAGAGTATATGCTAATGTCTGCGAAAGGGGAGTGGTCGCCAGGCCCCACCCCTAACCAAAGGCTGTTTGCGATTGGTACCTGCCAGCAAAGGGAAAATCCGCTTTTTCCAATGGCGTAGCACTGGGCACAACAACCACTGCCAGCAGACTCCATGGCCAAGAATAGTTGGCCAACACAAACTCCATGGTGGTGGTTGGTGTGTGTGTATGTGTGTGTGTGTGTGTGTGTGTGTGTGTGTGTGGTGGGGGGGGTATGACTGTCTTTCACTTTGCTTTAATATTTGTCTTATTGGTTGCTTTTGATTTTTGTTTCTGTATTGTTTGCTTTTTAGAGGGGGAAAAACATAAAATTGAATGGGTAGGGATATAGGGCAGATCTGAGTTGGGAGAGGAGACAAATATGATTAAAATACATCGTATGAAGACAGTTAAAAAAGAGACAAAGTCTTTTTTAAAAAAAAATGCATGCTGGCAGGAGAAAGTAAGTCAGAAAGTGCAGAGACAACTCCTCCCTCCCAGGCCCTCATCCCCACACTGCATCACCTGCATCTTTCAGGCTGTTCTCAGCTGGTGGCGCCTGACATTCAGGTCCACTGGTACCCATCGCGCCTGGAAATTCTCCGTCATAACTGACCTACAGTCTCTTTTTTACAGGGAACCAGTCCAGGACCATGTTTTGTTTCTGGTAGTTTTGATCCTTGAGGTTTTTTTTTTTTTTTTAAGTTCTTTCCCTCCCTTGCTTTCCTGCCACTGACTTATTGGAGGTCATTGTCCCACCCTCAGGCTTGTAGAACTTTCTCAAGTGTCCACAGACTGTTGGCGTCAAGTTGAACATTTTGCGCAAGAGCACGCCACAGACCACGTGGGGTACTGCATTGCCTGTGTGCACGCCACAGGTAGTGGTCACGTGATTCCTCTACCGTGTAAGCGCATTTCTCCTGCAAAAGAACCGGGCCAGCGCTACTTTGTCACGTTGTAAATGTCCACCTGTTGACCATTCTTGGTGGAGTTCAATGTCAGTCACTTCACCGGGGCAACAGGATGCTAATGTCCCAAGTCCTGGACTACTGTGGGCAGGTACCCTCCCATTAATGTGCTAATGGCTCTCAAGAAATACAGTTTCTCCTGGGAAGAACTTCATTCTATTCAGTTGTGGAACTTTCTAGCAAGGAGTTTACTAATAACTAGCTACCTTGCATCGGAGACTTGTACGTTTCCATGAATCTGGAGTTTCAATCGACATCAACTTTTATTCTTTGCAGTGCTCAACAGTGATGTCACAGCCTTGGTGTGGAGGGCCCGTGTCAGTTGGTTCTTCGGCCTCACAGCGAAGCTGTGCCCGGTGTATGGGTTCAGAGCCCTCCACCTCTTCACCTGCCTCCTGGGCCTCATCATAGCCTTTTCCTCATCCCCTCCAGGCTCAGCAATGGGGCTGGGATGCCCGACTTCCAGGAACTAAAGGAGGCCACAGAACTGAGGTCCAGGCTGCAGACTGTGAGTGAGCCAGGGGCAGAGCTTTATAGGATGGGGGGGGCCTGCAGCTTGCCCAGCATAGCCCTGAGTTCAGGGCAGCACAGGAGCCTGTCTTTTGCCCCCACAGTTCTCAGAGGTCCTCTCTAGATGTTCCCACAATGTCACAGAAACCCAAGTGAGCCTGAGCTGCCTGGGCGGAGAGCTTCTTAAGAACCAGAATCTGATCCACGAGGACACCAGGAGGTCTGTGGAATTTCTTTCATCTGGGTGATGAGGGCTGGGGTGGGGGCCTGCAAGTGGTCCCATAGGCTCAAAATCTTTCTCAGAGTCAGCCTGATGGCTCTCTTCTGGGGCAAGGTGGGTGTGTGTGGGGGCGAGGGGGGATCCAGCGAAGAGCCAGGCCCTGCCTGAGACCAGCCTCGGGAGTGAGGCCTGACTGCCAGCTTGAATAGCCAGGAGGGGCCACAGCAGGTACAGCAGCTCTCAGCTTCCTCCCGGTGTGTCCATCCTCACATCAAACACCCGGGCTGCTGATGCCTGTGTCCATGGGAAGGCTCACTCTGTGAGGTTCCTTTCCTAAGTCATAGTCAGTAAATGACAGGTGGGCTTCAGATCAGATCCACCCACCTCCAAAGCGTGCAGCTGACAGGACTCTGGAGCAATGCTTTACATTTTATTTTACTTTGCCTGGGATGTAGCACGGTGGTAGAAGATTTGCCTGGCATGTGCTAGGCTCCAGTCCCACAAGATAGATAGATAGATAGATAGATAGATAGATAGATAGATAGATAGATGATAGATAGATAGATAGATAGATAAGTAGATGATAGATAGATGATAGATAGATACATAGACAGATGATAGACACATAGATAGATAGATGATAGATGATAGATACATAGATAGATAAATAGATGATAGATGGATAGATGATAGATAGATACATAGATAGTTTATGCAGGCTTGCTTAACAACTCTGGGGATGGGCCGGAAAGCCAGGTGGTGCACACCTTTAATCCCAGCACTCGGGACGCAGAGGCAGGTGGGTCTCTGTGAGCTGGAGGCCAGCCTGGTCTACAGGTGAGTTCCAGAACAGCCAGGACCACAGAGAGACCCTATTTCAAACATTTTATTTTATTTTATTATTTTGTGTGTATGGGTGTTGCTGCATACATTTACATCTGTGCGCCACATACGTGCAGCACCAGAAGAGGGCGTCAGATCGCCTGGGACTGGAGCTGTAGATGGTTGTGAACCCGAGGTTGGGTGCTGGGAATCAAACCCAGGTCCTGTAGGGGAGCAAGTGCTCTAAACACTCACCGGTCTTTCCAGATCCTGACTTACAGCTTTTAAAGGATCCTAGTATGGTTTTCACAGACCTAAAATCGCCCGCCCACACTGCTGAGTGCGGAGCTACAGCGGTCCTTGCTCCACTGTGACCACGGCAGACGCGGTCCCCACAGATCTAATGTCCCATGTCCTCAGTTCCAAATTCAAAGAGCTTTGAAAATGGCAGGGTCTTCTTAGCTGCCTCCTCACAGAGCCCAGTCTAACACGAATAAAGCGTGTATACTCTGTCTCACCTATGGTGAAGTTTTCATTTTAATTTTTTCTGAGACACGGTCTTGCTGTGTAACTGTGGCTGGCCTGGAACTCACGGTAGACACTTACAGAGATTCGCCTGCCTCTGCTTCGAGAGCATTTGAGATTAAAGGTGTGTGGCACCATGCCTGGCTCTCACGGTGGATATCACGGGTGCGTTGGATTAGGCGCCCGGCCCACTCAGCTAGTGTGCTCGCAAAACCTCTGAGTGTACCGTGGTGCCTTTCTGGAATCACAAGGCAATTCCGAGTTCACAAACATGAAACCAGGGCCCTAGACGCCTCCAGTCAGTGTCGGCCCCTCAGTGCCTGAGCCCTGGCAACAAGCTCACAAATACCTGTCACCAGAAACTTCTGGGGAGGAATCGGAGCCAAACAGGCCTGAGCGGGAGGAAGTACACCCCGGGTACGGAGAGAAGCAGCCGCCGTATCCAGTGAGAAAAGCAAGGGAAAGAAGTCATAAGGACTTCGAACCCCAGATTGACCGGGCCCCTTGGAAGGCTACCTCCCCTGCCTCCGGGGGAGCATGGGTTCATTATCGATTTAGGTGGGTGGGCGCCGGGGCGGAAGGAATGAGGGACAGAGTCACACACAGAGAGACGGGTCTAGAATAGAGAAGGAGGGCTCCATCCAAGTTATCTAAATACGCTTAAAGACGGCTGGGTTCCAGCCCTCCCAGATCACACCCCACCCTGCTCTGTGGCAGGAAGACAGCTCCCTCCTATCCTACCACTGAGGCTTCCCACTTCCTGCCCACAGTATCCAGAAGATTCGGTGTTGTTTGGACAAGATGCACTTCATCTACAAACAATTCAAGAAATCGAGGATGAAGCCAGGTGAGCTTTGGAGAAAGCCAACTTCTAGGAGGCTCCTCCCCTTCTCCCTCCCACCAGCCAGCTTGGCTGGAGGCTCTCTGAGTGTATCACAGTACCAGGAGCCAGCGTGCAGCAGGCCTCAGGCATGAGAGTCCCTGGTAGGGGAGTCCCTGCCTGCATGTTGCCTGGAGGCTACTGAGAGACATTGTACCCATGTCTACCTGTCGTGGACGCAGGATACAGTGAGCAGGGGGCTGGGCAATGTGGGAAGGGACCTGGGGAGGAGACCCTTACCTTGTCGTTCGTGTGTGTGTGTGTGTGTGTGTGTGTGTGTGTGTGTGTGTGTGTGGTGTATGCATGAGTATGTGTGTGTGTGTTTGTGTGCATGAGAGAGAGAGAGTGTGTGTGTGTATGTATGTGCATGAGAGAGAGAGAGTGTGTGTGTATGTGTGCACGAGTGTGTGTTTGTGTGCATGAGAGAGAGAGAGAGTGTGTGTGTGTGTGTGTGTATGTATGCACACGAACATGAGTATGTGTGTGTACTTGGGAGCTCATCTTCTGCACGCATGTCTCCTGTGTATGCATGTTTACCTGTTGTGGAGGCCAGAAATTCATGCTCGGCTTCTTCTCTTTGCATTTTTCACTTTATATTTTGAGGCAGGGGCTGGTGCTGAACCCATAGCTGCTCACCATCTTGGCTAATGTAGCTAACCAGCTTGCAGTCTGCCTAGCACTAGGGTTCCAGGTGGCCACCGTGCCTGCCAAGCATTCCCATGGGTGCTGAGGATCTTGTTTCCTCACTGACCCATCTCCCCAGCCCCTGCACCAGGCTCTGGACCACCTGAAGGCTGGAGGAAATTCCCCTTACAGTTCCTGGGCTGGGCGGCTTCTTACATTATCTTTCAATGCCCACAAAGACCTCACAGGTTTAGGGATGGGAACCTGTTGTGTGAGTTGGATGAGGGTGGAGCAGGCTTGAACCTGGGGAGAGGTGGAGACGGAGTTAGTTGGGGGGAGCCTGGGAATAAAAGCCTGGTTAGCTAGGGAGCTTACACGCCAGAGCTCAGACCCCACCCTACGCTCCAAACATTCCTATGTCTGCCTCATTGTCTAGTGCTCTTCTGGCCTGAGGATAATCTATAATTCATATAACGTACTGTTAGGAGAGACATAACATGTAGCCACATGTGTAATTTAAGTTCTCTCACAGCCAAATTGAAAAGAAAACACAGGTGAAATTCATTTAATATATTTTATCCAATTCAATATATCCTAATGTCATTTCGGCATATACTCAGTATTAAACAAGCCACTAAAGAGATACTCTATGCTCCTTTTCAAAATCCCATGCGTATTTTATACTCTATAGCTCTGTCTAGAAGACAAGTGTTCGGTAAATGTGGTAAGTCTTAACAAAATTGCAAAGCTGAACTTAGCAAGGAAAAGAAAACATTTCACCCCACTTCCGTTTAATTTTACCTTAATTGAGTACATTCAATTAACAATCCAGTCCTCCGGGCACCGTGGCCAGATGTCAGGTGCTCCTTAGCCGTCTGTGTCCAGTGGTCACCAATGAGGACTTGGGGATCTACAGAACATGGCTTCTCTTCTTTGGAGCCTTCTTCTTCCTTTGGAGTCTGGCTTCAGAGGGTACGGGGAAGGCAAGCCTTCCTGTCCCTGGGGGCAGTGGGACCTGGGGCTCAGCCAAGGTCTTGTACCCAGCTGGCCACTGCTGTGGTTTCAGGGTAGCCAGGAAGGCTGTCTACCTCCATGTCTGGAATTCCGCCACCAAAGCGCTGCCTTGACATTAGGCACGGACCTAAGAACTCCGTTTGTCTCTGAGTTACTTAGTGCTCATAAAACTATGCGCGACCCAGTGCGGTGGTGCACACCTTTGACACCTGCACTCAAAAGGCTGAGACAGGTAGTTTGAAAGCACCCTGGTGTTCATGGTGAGTTTGAGGCCAGCCAGGGCTGCGTAGAGAGACCCTGTCTCAGACACAAACAAAGAAACAAACAACAGTAACTCGCTATGCATCTCAATTTTCCTTATTTTATAGTTTGGGAAACTGAGGCACAGAAAAGGCTTATTAGGGCTCAATTATTCTAGGTTCGGCTTCTTTTAACCAGCCCATTTCACAGCCTCACGAGTTCCCATATTTACCGTTCTTTCGGAGTACTTTATTAAAAATAGGAACAACTTTCCGGCATGATGGAGTGTCGCAGGATGCCATTCTGGAAGGCCGCTTGTCACCCTTCAGGGTGCTCCTGTGACCCCACACAGGCATCCATGTGTGCACATGACAGACACAGAACTACCCTCCAAAGCCAAGTCACGTGAACACAGCTGCCTGCCAGGAGGAGGAAGGGATGTGTTCAAGTGTCTTGGCCTTCACAAGCACAGGTCCAGGAAGGGAACCCTGCTACTGGGGATGGGAAAGTGGAGGGGGCAAACCTGCATCTTGGGGTTACCACTGCTCTGGAGACCCATCCCCCTCAAAGCCCAGCAGGGGGCAGTCTTGGCCTCAATGCGCCAGCTTTCTGGTCTTTAGGTGGTAGCCTAGGTCCAGGCAAGGACACATCTACCCAAAGTTGTTCCTTCTGGAAAAAAAGTTGCTGGGCAGAGAGGGAGAGCTGGAAGGTGGATGGAGCCAACCAGCTGCCAGCTGGAGAGCGTAGAGGCTGCAGGGCCATGGAGGCATCCCGTGAGGACCATTTCACCCAGCATTTTCACCTGCGGCATAAACACACCTACACACATACACACATATACATACACATGCACATACACACACACATACACACGCAACACACATACACTCATACACACACATATACACATGCACACACACATACACACTCACATACACACACATACACACATACACACACACACTCACATACACACATACACACACACACACACACACATATACATGTCTCCTCAGCTCCTTTGCCCTAAGTCAGTCATCCATCCTGTCACTGTAATAATGTTGTCATAGTTACCTTATGTTACCCTTCCTCATCCCCTCCTGGCTCCCCTAGGCCCGAGATCCCATAAAATAGCCCCCACCCTAGGCTGTCTTCATCTTTTTTAATTTGCTTTGTTGACTATTTGAGTGGTGACATCATCCCCGTCTGTTTCCTTCAGGGCTCAGCTACAACGAGGAGCAGATCCACAAGCTGGATAAGTGAGTGGCCTGTTCCCGGGCAGGCAGGTGGGCAGGAGGGCAGAGGTCATGGGATAGAGTGAGACTCCATTCTAGGTGGTTCATGCTGCAGCCCTTTGACCCTCGGCCGTGGCAGGGCAAAGTGGGTAACCATCCAAGTCAGGTTGTATAGGATCAGGGGTCGGGCCCTGCACTGGGGCTTCACACAGTCAATCTTGATGTAACTCACTGACTTTCTTCCCACCACGAACACATTTGTTTTTGGAGGATTTTCTCTTGAATTATTCTCTCGGGCCGACTCCTTCCCACTCACTGCTTTTGAGCTTGGCCTGGGCCTGCCTGACTTCTCATCGACACCGCTTCCTGGACATCTCTGCTCTGGGGGCTGTTTGGGGATTTTCCTCCCCACCCTCCTCCCCAGACCTATACCACCTCTGACTCCTCGCGCACGCATGCGCACACACACACACACACACACGCACACACACACACACACGCACGCACGCACGCACGCACACTCACAAGCTTTCCGTAGCTGTATATCCTTCCTCCCGGGGATCAAGTTGAGAGTATGCATTCACGGACCACCATATCGGCCTCCCCTGCCTCCCTATTGGAACATGTGGCTTTACTGGCCTCTGAGCTTCACCATCTGAGTGTGTGGCCATGCTCTCTTCCTGAGAGGTGTCCCTGCTGCCATCACAGGGGCTGGCGTTTAGAGGTGGGAGGGCTGTGCCTGCGTGCAGAGATGGCTCCTGCTGCTCGTCTCTAGGTTACGGGGGTCTCTGTCCTTCCAGGGTGAATTTTAGCCACTTAGCCAAGAGGCTGCTGCAGGTGCTCCAGGAGGAGTGTGTGCAGAAGTATCAGGTATCGCTGGTCACACATGGCAAGCGGATAAGGTAAGCAGCCCGGGCCCTTCCTCTGAGCTCGTGGAGCCTGGACTGGCTCAGCCCTTCCAGACCCCTGAGGACCCCATCTCTGGGACCTGAGTAGGAAAGGAGTTCGTGAGGAGAGGGAAAGGAATGGACCAGGTGGTCTGCTGGGTGATTTCTTCAAATGTGCTTGTTAGGTTCCACAGTGTTTACACAGCAAATATCACCACCTTTCAGATGAGGGGGCCGGGGCTCCAAGAACTGGCCTCTTCCTAATGTCACACAGCTAATAAGTAGCAGGTCGGGAACTAGAACATGGGTCGAGGTGCCCCTGAAACCTGGGTTTCACTTGCTGTCCCTGTCTGGTGTGGTCCCCTGCTGCATTTCCCTGGGGCCCCTGAGAAGAAAGGACCAATCTCTGTGGCTGTGAGGCCTGTAGCCTTGGCTAGGGCTCTCACCCTCTCATTAGTGTGCAAAGCCTGGGGTGTGATGGGCCTGGCGGGAATTAGATGTTAGTTTAAGGCCGTTCCTGATGATCCTAGTGTGTATGCAGAACTGAGAACCAACTCTTGGTTTAATGGACCTGCGACTCTGTGCGATGGGAAATGTCCCCACGTGCCTGCCCTCTGATTAGAGATTAGAATTCCCGAGTCTCGCCCTTGCTTTGTTATGGAAATGGAAGCATGCACATTCCTCACATAAATGCTCTAGTGTGTGCTAGCCTGGGCTGTCATCTGTCTGTCATGCCTTACCTGGCTCTCTGCTTGCCATACCCACTTGAGGGAGCCACATGGGTGTTGTTACTGATCCCTGCCCTGGCTCTCTTGGGATTCTCTGAGTTCCCAGGAGTAAATGTGTCTATCACAGCGGGTAAGAGGTGAGCGACCCCCAGAAGGACAGAGACATAGCAGGGGAACTCAATGCTTAGGACCCCTGGTGAGCCGGCACCAGCTGGAGAGTTCCAGCAGCTGAGATCCCTGCTCCAATCTCCATTTCTCTTAAGGCAGGTGCAGAAGGCCCAGAACCACCTGCGGCTCATTGGCCGCTCTGTGGCTGCCTGTAACGCAGAAGCCCAGGAAGCCCAAGCCAGCCTGAGCAAGGTGTGGGTGCTTTGGGGGCTGCTGAGGGGAGGGGGCGTTTGGATCACTTCCGCCAGTGGACAGAGTAGCCTTGACCAACTCAGGGATTCCCACGAGGGCTGGAGGTCTCTGCCCTACAGGTATGGCCTAAGATAGGAACATTCCTAGTGATTTCAGATGGAAAACCATGGTAAACAAGGGCTCCGGCTGCTAGGACATCTCCCTTAGCTTCTGTACAGATCCCAAGGCTGCTCTGGGAGGTTGTGTGAGCTCTCCCTGGCCTTCTGAGTCACTTTTCTGCCAAGCAGCTATCCAGCTGGCCACTAGGAATACAGAGTGGGCCCTTCTAGGAGAGAGCTACACGTGGCTCCCGGCTTGTGATGTGGGCAACCTCGGAGACCGGCCAGGAATGGCCTCCATCCCAAATTGTGGCTCAGATTGTGTCATGAGAGGTTTAGGTTAGAGCCAGAGGGGAACTTGGCAGACTGAATCATTCAGTTCAGTACAAATGACGGGAAGTAGGACATTCCCGGGATGGGAGGGAACTACATGTTGAAAATACTGGATAGTTCCAGGAGCTCTGGGGAGACAGTGTGGGGCCAGACGTGTTATCCTCCCTCAGCACATCCCACACACGAGCTGACAGGCCCTTCCTGACCAATGCGTGGTTCCCTGCAGATCTTTGATCGGCTCCTTCTGGACAGAGCAGCAGGAACTCAGATCCCACCACACCCCGTGGTGGCTCCCCATCCCAGCCCTGACCCAAAGGACCTGGTCTTCCAGTGAGTGCTGGGGGGTTGGGGGAAGGAGGGTGCTGAGGTTAACACCACATTGCTTCATCTCAGGCCAAGAGGCTGCTCCATGGCCTCTGCAAATGGGCTCTGGGCCTCACCACCCCTCCTCTTCCTCCTCCTCTTCTCCCTCCTCCTCCTCTTCTCCCTCCTCCCTCCTCCTCCTCCTCTTCTCCCTCCTCCTCTTCTCCCTCCTCCCCCCTCCTCCTCCTCCTCTTCTCCCTCCTCCCTCCTCCTCCTCCTCCTTCTTTGGACAGCATGCAGGAGCTTTGTAACGATATGAAGCTCTTGGCCTTTGATCTCCAAGACAACAACCGCCTCATCGAACGGTGAGCATCTCCCATGTCTGGGGAAGGCTGTGTCCTCCCTGCTGCCGAGGCCTCGGGGGCAGGGTGGGGGCAGAGTCCCTGTGTGCCCCATGCAGGATCCAAGGCACTGGCTGATCCTCTGAACCACCACACTGGAGCGTAAGGCCTCATCCACAAGTGGGGCGTCATCTTGAGGAGGTATCGGCTTTGCTTATAGGCTTTGAAGCTAGCCTCAGTACATCAGAGAGGGGCTTGGGGGCAAGAGGTCAGGTTCTGCACTGAACATGGCCGCTATTCCCAAGGCTTCCTCCCATGCCTAAGGAGCCTCCCAGGTGTCCTCGGAGTGGATGCCGCTATATGTCTCGCCCTGAAACCACAACACAGACATTGTTGCCCAAAGCCTATCTCTCCTGCTCCATGGGCTCCATCCTCCCCACCTGCTCTCAGAGTGCCCAGGCTGCCTAGAGACACTGGCACATCTCTAGATAGCACCCCCTCCTGGATGGGTGGGGACCAGCAGCAGTGCTCAGGCGTAAGAGTCACAACAGGAAATGTGGGTTGGACATGCGCAGCAGCAGGATTGCCACGTGCTCGGATAAGTCGAGAGCGCGTTCACAGAGCAGAAGGCCTGCTCTGCGTCAGTCCCGCTTTTTAAAGCACGTTGTTGTTTGCGTGTTTCTTTATTTTGTATGAGTAGGCCCTGCTGGCCTCAAACTCACAGTGATCTGTCTGCCTGCCTCTGCCTCCCGAGTGCTGGGATTAAAGATATGCACTACTATGCCTAGTTTGTGGTGTGGGGCTTCTGGAACCTCAAAGCCCACCCCCTGTGACACACCTCCTCCAACAAGGCCACACCTCCTAATCTTCAAACAGTTCCAGTCACTGGGACCAAGCATTCAAACATATAAGCTTCTGGGGGCCTTTCTCCTTCTGCCCACCACACCATGCTACTGTGACACTAGGATTGGGGTCAGCAGGTAGGGAAACCAGGGGCAGAGACTGTGGCTTGTCCTTGGAGTTTTGGAGGATTCCTGGATGGGGGAGGCGGTTTTGTTCCAGTTGGAGGAGATTCCATCTCCCGATCCCACAGCTTCCGTCCTCTTTAGCAGGAAGTTCTAATCTTTAGTGCCCACATAAATCTTTCTTGAGTTGATTTATAGTCTATTTATAAATATCTCAGAACTGTGTTGGAGTGAATTTGCACTTCCTCATTCAGACCTGCAGCCAAGAGCCCAGTGAACCAATCTGAATCCCTTTCTGGCCTCCAAAAGCGTCTTTGCATGGGAACAGTGGTGCTTCCTAAAGTGCAGGGCCTGGGGATTGCCCCAGGACGCCTGAGTGAGGCCTGGGACATGGGACAGGTGCCTTTTAAGTTTTCCAGGCGATGGAACCATGCACAGATACAAACCAGCAGGTGGTGTCTGGGGACAAGGGTACTACAGGGGGACATCTGAGGACCTGAGGGCGGCTGAGAGTCCCTGAACATAGATGGCCCTGGGCCACCGTCTGCAGGCTTCTTTGACCCATGCCTCTCCTTACAGGTTACAGAGAGTTCCATCGGCACCAGACGTCTGAGCCCCATGGGGTGGCAGGAGGCGCTTGGAAGCCTTCAGAATCAGTCATACTCTACCCCTGTACCGTGACACCAAATCCAGGGCGAGATCTGGCCCCATCTCATCAGCCTACCTCCATCTTGGCCACTGGCCAGCAAGCTAGCATTACTTTGGCTGCCTGTCGTCTTGGGAAGCAGTTGCGATGGGGTTTCCTAGCCATCCCGGACAGTACCCACAGGAGAACAGGCAGCTGCTGCTGCCTTATCCAGACACCGGGCCTGGGGGTCTGACCTCAGGAGGGCCTGGGGAAGAGCCTGAGCCCTCCCACTACTCTGCCCTTCCATGGACCAGCAGACTCTCAGGGGGCTCCTCTGGGGTGCTGGAGCAGAGAACTAAATCGCCAAGGCTTCCCAGTGAACACTGCCTGCTTCTTTCTGAGTGTTCCCATCCCTGGCCACGGGCAACCCACAAACTGCCCCCTTGTGCTTTGTCTGGAAGAACCTGCGTTTGAGAAGGTGGGTGGTTGAGGCCAACAGCTGTCGCTTTGGGGACCTTCCTTTTGCTTCCCCTTCCTGGGGCTCCCCTTGGTGCTAAGAAACAGCTGGTCAGAATCAACAACAGATAGAGAACCCAGAGTCCTAAGGAGACAGCAGGCCTACACCTTCGGAAATGGAATAAATGGACCACCTTTTCTATTTCCCTGCAGCTACCATGGAAAGCTCCGAGGGCTGGGTCGGTACCTCCCAGGAGAGGAGTTGGGAAATGGAACAGAGAGCTCATTTCCTGGCCCCTGCCTTTCCTTCAGTGGGATCTGACTTTAGGGATGAACTCAGGAAAGATGGCCTCTCCCTTTCCTGCCCTGTCATTTAGGGGCCACACAAGGAGCCTGGACCTGGGGGGGGGGGTTTGGTTTTTCTTTCCTTTCTTTTTACTCTTGTCTAAGGTGCCTACCATCTAAGCACCTGCTATTTCCCCCAACTGTGTAGACACAATCTACAGTGTCTGCAGTGTTTGAGGACCGCCATAGGGCTTTCCTTTACTTAGCCTAGAAGCTAGAGGGGCAGCTGGGTGAAACACTCCAATTTGTGCAAACTGTTTACAGATTCAGTCTTTCTTGTCCAGCTTCCCTTCAGCCAGCAGGGGAAGGGGAGTGGGGTGGATAGGAAGTCCTACTGTGCAACTAGAAGCATGAAGGCAGCACAGTGATTGGCTCCAGATGACCCTGTCTTCACGAAAGCCTCCCCATCCATGGAAGGAGCTCTCCCTCATGACCCAGCAGGGCCAGAAGCTGGGGGAGGCCGAGTCCTAAATGCGATGTCTGTGGGATGAGCCACCCAGGGAGAGAAGCCAGAGCCTAGCTGCTTAGATCAGATCTGTTCCCCACGGATGCTCTCGTGATAGCCCCAGCACCAAGCCACTTCTTGCTTGCTCTCCAGGGGTGAATTAAGGCCAGGTTCTGCTCACCAGCGCCCCCAACAGGGAAGTCCCACAGTGGGTTTTCCCTGGCAGCTCAGAACCCATGTGTTTGGTTGGTGGAGTGCAGCAAAAAGCCAGGGGATCCCTCAGGGCCAGATGCAGATGTGTGGGAGGTACCAGCCCAGAGTCCGATCTGAGCATGCCCACAAGCTGAGGACCAACCTCAAAGGCTTCTTTTTACCATGGCGGCTACTGATGTGGTTTCTAAGTCCATTTCGGTAGTGTTAAGTGACCACAGCCCACGTCCAGAGGCACCTGTAAGAGCCTCAGGTTTGTGGTGACCCCAAACTTCCCCCTTCAGTTCATCGGGTAGGAGGGTAAGAGTGCCAGGCTCTTGCCAGGTGACAAGGACACTCTGGCACTAAGGACTAGGCTCTGAGGAAGTCAGGCATGTGACACAATCCCATTGTCCCTCAGTAGGTGTTGGGATTGGAATGCACAGCTCAGAGGTAGCAGGAGTCAGCCTCCTCACAAGGCAGCGTAGCTAGAGCAGGCTGGGAGCGTGTCACTTGGGAGCGGGTGACCCCACTGTGCAGCCCTCGTGAGCGGGTGAGAGAGGCTTGGAATGTGCCGGAGAGAAGCAGCACAGGCATGCATTTCTTCAAGCAGCACAGGCATGCATTTCTTCATTCCTAAGTAGGAGGCTGAAGTAGGAAGTTTGGAAAGGGAGGAGCCAACCCCAAAGGTCAGGACTGGGCCACAGGCTTTGTTTTAAGGAACCAGACAGGTTTTAAGTCAAGTCCAACTGGTATTAAAGATACCATTCTTAGTGCCAGCGTGGAGGGCAAAGAGCCATGGTAGAAGTAGACTAGAGACTTCCACAAAGTGCACAGTGTTCACTGTACCCCTCCCCAAGCCCCACCTCACTGGCTCTGAGGTCCCTGTGACAGGGATGCTGTGGCCATAGGTCTCAGGTTGAATGTGGGGCTCAGATGCTTGCAGACATCTGGAAAGAGGCCCTATGCCATTTAGATGCATCTGGGCATCCTCTGAGATTGAACTTGCTCACCTTATGATTCTCACAATCCCAGTTCCTCAGGCCAGAGTCCAGGCAGCCGGGGGTGGGAAGAGGGGAGGCTAGAGCTTCCTTCCTTGCCTTGGTGCCTTAGGGCTGTGTAGCAGGTCTTTACATGCCACAGCTTGCCCTTGGAGAAGAGACTGGTACCTGGGCCCCACCCAGCATCTGGATCCAAGGGTGGGGGTGGAAGGGTGTGGCCCAGGAATCTACATTGCTGGTAAGCTTCCTCCAGGAGGCCGGGTTTATGATGACTTGGGAATGGCCCCTGGACTGGACACCTCACCTTGCTCCTCCAGGACAGTTAGATCTAGGAGAGCCAGTCTAAGGCAGGATGGACCTCCTCAATGGCCTGGACACTCTTCTTCAGCATCTGACTAGTGTTTTCACGTGATGGCGCCTCTCTTCAGCATGAATGCCTTAATGGTTGCCGCCCTTGGCTGCTTGGAAAGCCCTTCTGGGCTGCTTCGACAATGTCCTTCCTGTTTTAAAGTTAAGCATTTTGATGTTTTGAGCTGGAGTCTGTACAGCCTGGATCAGACTGAAACCATGTCACCCGGCTGGGATGAGACACCATGAACAACAATTCTTAAAGGAAAGCATTTAATTGGGGGCTGGCTTGCAGTTTCAGAAGGTTAGTCCATTGTCATCATGGCGGGGTGGGGGGGGGTGGCAAGCACAGTTTTGGACTAGTAAGAGGTTTATATCCTGATTCACAGGTCGGGGGTGGGGGGTGGGGCCGTTGGTACGGGCTTTTGAAATCTCCAAGCCCACCCCCAGTGACACACTTCCTCTAACAAAGCCACGCCTCCTCTTACTAGGCCACGCCTCCTGACCCTTCACAGTGAACAGATGAGGGGGGGGCAGGGGGGGCTATTCTCACTCAAACCTCCGTGGTGAGCAACCACGGAGAGGTTAGTGGGAGAGGTTAGGGTGTGTGTTTGGGGGGGGGCAGAAGAGATGGGAGGGAGGGAGGGAGGAAAAGAGGGTGAAGGGAGAAGAGGAGGTGGACGAAGAGGAATGGGAGGGAAGGAGAAGGGGAAAACCCGGAGAGGAGCAGAAATGAGGACCACAGAGACAGAAGGAGGAGACAGTGGTGGGTCGAGGGGGCTAAGGTGGGGTAGGGACAGCCCATGAGGTCACCCAAGTCACTCTGTGCTTATTAATGTGCCCTGACTCCAGGCCGAGGCTCACTGCCATCATACCAGGCCCAGCGGCCGGCCTAACCCGGAATATAAGAGCTTGTGGCTTGCAGCCTCCGCTCTGGCCGAGGGATAAAGGCCGATGACAAATCTGGAATGTCTGAGTTTTTCCAGAGCAGGGGGAAAAAGCATGTGCGTGCACACGAGCCAGACTTATCACAAGCTCGGCAGTGTCGTGGGGTGGAAAAGTTGTGTGTTTGACATGCACATGGAGATGCCGTGACAGCGAGGCCCCGGCCTAATGACAACACTTTTTAGGGGCACACCCTTCTGTCCCTAAGTACTTGCAAGGGCAGAGAAAACTCCCTTTCCAGCACAAGCATTTGGTGACGTGTTTGGTGGAAGGACACAATCCACTGCAAACCCCTGCAAGCTCTGCTCACACACAAAATAAGCAAATCATTTTTTAAAGTCATGCCCGAGAACAGACCTAGTGTTTGTCCAGCCCCCAGCCGTGGCCAGTCGGAAGTGTCTGGACACAGCAAGTTCACTACAGTGCCCAGCACCTTGGGTGATGTACTCAAGCTGTTGGTCCCCTCCTGCCTCCCCCTCACCCCAAAGGTGTTAGGGTAACCCCATCCTCCTTAGTGCCCCAGTTCCCAACCTTCATCTTCACCTCTCCGGGCACAGGGACCATGGCTGAGAAAAACATGCCTTGGGCCCGACATTGGTTGTGAGCCTACAACTGTGCCCTTTCCACGGGACACCAGCACCTCCTACTTCCCTGCATTGAGAGGGGGGTCAGAAACACCAACAAGATCCAAGGGAGGAAGGCAAATCCCAAAGGTCACCTGCAGCTCCCACAAGGATGAGGTGTCAGTGAAAATACAGTTGGAGTGATGGTTGGATGACCTGGGATGACCCTGGGATGCAGGACCTGACCGAGGGAGTTGAGTGATGCCAAAAGGGAGAGGAAACTAGGTAAGGCTTCCGATTAGTCACACTCCACCTATAGTGAGATGAGAGTTTTATTCACTGCCCCTTCCCACACCAGTATCAAGTACAGAGGCCAATATGTGGATTTGAGTGGTCTGGAATCCAGACTAGGACCTCTGGCTGTACCAGTCACATGACCCTGCGCCTGAAAAACAGGAACACTGGCCATTTCACATTTTACAAGAGGCCTTCAGAGATCCATTATTCTCTAGCACCGCGAGGTGTCATCCACTCCCACTGACAGTGGAGTGGATGTGGAGGGTGTGTCCTAAGGGGTCAGGAAGAGGGAGGCTGTGGGCATTTCCTTCAAACGTTGTAGAGGGAGCACACGATTTTGCTCCTCAGTGCTTTGCACCCACTTTCTGTGGTCCATGAGTCATATTAATCAAAATCTCATAAAATATAGACTGATAGTCAGGCTGTGATGGCACATGCTTTTGACCCCAGCATTCAGGAAGTAGAAGCAGGTGGATCTCTGTGAGTTTGAGACCAGCCTGGTCTACAGAGTGAGTTCCAGGACAACCAAGGCTACACAAAGAAAAGCTGTCTTGAAAAACCTGACTATGTATATTCCAGTGTGTGGCTGGATATTTTCTGTCCCACCTGGTCCCCTGGACCGGTTTTTCTCCTGCCCATTGGTCTCTGCATATTAAATAATCACCCAGAGGCTTAATATTTATTATAATTGTTTGGCCAATAGCTCAGACTCATTACTGAATAGCTCTCGCAATTAAATTAACCCATTTCTATTATACTATATTATACCACAAGACTCTCTCTCTGTAAAGTAACTCTGTTTGGATTTCCTAGCTATATTCTCCCTGGCCATTGGTCAAAACAACTTTACTCATCAACCAATAAAACAACACATATTCGAGCATACAGAAGGACATCCCGTATCACCAATGGTCAGACATCATACTAGTAGGGCCTGGGAATGTTTGGACAAATTTGTATTCAGAGTTTGGGGTGAGTGTTCAGGGGCCATTGTGCCCGCTGCCCCCTTAGCCTGGAACACTGTTGTTCCTAGACACAGCTTTTCTCCATTTAGCTAGGCTTATGTGAATCAAGGGAAGGGCCTTTCTTTCCCTTTTTTTTTTTTTTTTTTTTTAAGATTTATTATTTATTATGTATACAATGTTCTGCCTGCATGTACACTTACACACCAGAAGAGGGCACCAGATCTCATCACAGATGGTTGTGAGCCACCATGTGGTTGCTGGGAATTGAACTCAGGCCCTCTGGAAGAACAGCTAGTGTTTGTTCTTAACCTCTGAGCCATCTCTCCAGTCCCAAGGGGAGGGCCTTTCTGTCTAACCTAGTGACTCTCAACCTGTGGGTCACAACCCCCAAAGACCATCAGAAAACACAGATGTTTGCAACTCATAACAATGGCAAAATTACAGTTTTGAAGTAACAACAAAATAATGTTTTGTTTGTCAATGTGTAGGCTTCACTGTCCTGGAACTTACTCATAGACCAGGCTGGCCTTGAATTCAGAATTCAGAGATCCACCTGCCCCTGCCTCCTGAGTGCTTGGATTAAAGGCGTCCATCACCACCACCAGATAACAATGAGAATCATTTTATGGTTTGGAAAACCTGACACTCGCGTTACACCTGTGTGGGTTTATTGTGCGTTTCTCCCACTAGGATGCAAGCTTGATGAATATGTGTGTCTCTCAGGGTCAGACTGTGAGTGCATGGACAGACAGGCACTACGCAGTGAAGCTTGGAGGAGCATGTGGTGGACGACAGTGGTTACTGCTGTGTGTCCCTGTGGATTGCAGTGGTTACCAGTGATGGCTGCCAGCTCTCCTAGTCTCAGTTCACGGTGAGCCTGCACTACTGGCTTCCTGTATAGGGTGGTCGGTGACTTGTGAATGGACGTGACCAAGACTTTTAAATGCCAGTGAAGACCATCAAGGCTCTCTTGATTTCCTCCTGGCACAGGGACTGGCCATATCAGATATGGCTTCTGGGTGACTCTTGTGCAAGTGTCCTGTCGTTCCGCATGGGGCGTGTCGTCTGAGTGGAAAAGACGTCTCTATTGCTTACATGCAGCGAAACATGAGGCTCATTTGTTAGTGCAACATAATTTAACTTGTCCTGACTGGCATAGTTAGTAATCCTTTGTTCAACTGCCAATATCCCCAAAGTTCCTTAAAACCTTCAGAGATTTGGAACAACTTCAAATGCCGTAAAGCCAGATAGAAGCAGCGTAACCCCTTCAGGACACCGGGCCATGCCTGGCTTTCCCTCTTCTTCCCGGCTAGGGGGTTAGGGGTGGGGAGATTGAGATTGGGAGACAGTCTTGGAATAATTCAATGTCTTGGGACCACGCACTGATGGTGCTCAAATTCGCCACAACCCTTCCCCTTGGTCAAAAATGAAAAGCTGCACGTTCTCTCTGTTGGAATGAGTCCCCGCTGGGAAAAGTGATCAGCTCTTCTCCAAGATGATCCGCCAAGGACAAAAACCCTCCCAGTAGATGTTTCCGCAGATGTGGTGAACCTTGCAGCATGGTGGCCAAGGACGGAATAAAAAATGCTGCTGCCCAGGCACCCAAGGCACAGGTGACTGGAACGGGGGGGGGGGGGTGCTTCCCTGAACTAGGGGGAGGGAGGGAGAGAGGGTTGTGGGTGGAGACACCCTTTCAGGTCAGGGTAGGAGGGGACTGGATTGGGAAAGGTTGGGGAGGTGAATCCCACACCTACTGAGGTTGGGGACTGGCTACCACCCTAACCTGACCTCAATGTGTTTTTTTTAAAGATTTATTTATTATGTACACAGTGTTCTGCAGGCCAGAGGAGGGCACCAGACCCCATTACAGATGGTTGTGAACCACCATGTGGTTGCTGGGAATTGAACTCAGGACCTCTGGAAGAGCAGTCAGTGCTCTAAACCTCTGAGCCATCTCTCCAGCCCCCAGGGAGATGAATCTTAAGATGAACTTGATAAAGGTTTGGGTGGGTCCCATGAAGTTATACCATCCCCACTTCCTCTGGCTCCGTACCATTTCCCCACGGCTGGAAGCAGCCAGCTGTAGTCCGCCAAATCAGAGCCCCGAGAAAACATAACCAGAGCGTCTTCTGGGGGAGCCCAATAGCTGGGCGAGTTTGCACACTGGTGGTACCACTTGGAAAATTGCACGCTTGACTGCCTGTCCCAGCTGAGAAGGCTGCACACCCTACCCCCAACCAGCCTCAGTCACTCACAGACAACACTGATGCCCGCCCACAGGAGCCTTCCCAGCCAGGGGATCAAGGTCAGCCCTAAATGGCACTTGGAGGATGTAGGTGTGGAGAGGACAGAGATGATGGTCGCTGGCAATTATTCATAAATAGTGTTCAAATCTGGGCTTCCAATGCTGCATTTGCTACCAGAGTCATGTTATTGCAAACCAAACCATCACCCCAGACTCAAGATGGGTCTCTGTCCTGGATCTCACCCGGAACATAGCACCCCTGAGAGAGACAAGTTTCAAACTTTGTGGAGATGGATGGATGACACAGGGTGGAAACAAGCAAATATCACATGCAGTGCAGGTTTCTACAAGAACCCTGCGAGGCGCTTGCAGGAACACTGGAGAGGAGGAAAGGCAGGTTGTACTTCCCTTTCACACACTCAGGGGAAGTGTCGAGGGGTAACCCTGCTGCACAACCCAAAGATCCCAAAGATCCTGAGGTACGGAACAGAGAAATCCACTTCCTAGAGCAGCAGTTCTGAGTAGACCATCGGAACCCACGCTACATGGGAACCTTCTAGAAAAACAAAAGTTTCATATCCTGGCCCAGACTTAACTGACACAGGAACCTGGGGTGCAGCCGGCAAACTGTGACTTGACAGGCTCTCTGGGGTTGGCTGTGGAGAGGGCAAGGGGCGGGGCGGGTAGTGGAGTGGGGAGCACTGTGTACCACTTATCCCCATCAAAGCTCACCCTACTTCAGTCATTTTTCCACTACCCGGGAACCAGTGATTGGAGTGAGGCCGGGAGACCAGGAACTTGCCCTCTGCTACCCATTAGGAACGGAGGGGACTCTGATTACGGCCACCCGGGGGAAGAGGGGGAGAGGCCTTGGAGCAAGGAAGGCTGGGAATTCCCTGGCCACTGGACTTTTAGGAATTGCCTGAAAATTACCTTCAAGGGGAAAAGCGAAAGTGAGGATTCCCCGTCCAGACACTAGGGGGAGACCCATCTCTGGCCTGGAAAGAACCCCTGAGGATTAAGGTGTAGACGGATTTATGGGCAATTCCAGGTCTGGTTTTAGAATCCCCACCTACTGCATACACACACCATTGCCCCCATACTCCAACCTGAGGATGCTCAGCTCTTGTTATCAAGTAGTTGTGTACAGAGAACCTGTGTATTTTCAGCCATGTATATGGGTCATTGCTATCCAGTATTATTTAATGAATAATACCAAGAAAAAAGTGTGTACGTGTTCAATACAGGTATGGTTCCTATCAGTGATTTGTTGAAACTCAAAATGCAGAATTTTTGGATATGGTGTCAGTGATTTGTTGAAACTCAAAATGCAGAATTTTTGGATATGGTGTATCGAATCTATTCCCAAAGTTGTTAGCTGTTAACTGCTAGATTAATTAAAACAAATCCGTGATTTAAGGGGGAAAGTGTGAGCCCTAAACCAGAACGAGCCGAACTGGAAAGAGCAAGGGCGCCTGCAGCTACAAACAACAGATTGTAGGGGCCCAGGGCCGTTGCTACCTTAGGACAGGGCACAGGTTCAAAACCCAAGAGGCCTACAGGCCGTCCTGTTCTCCCTCCCTTGTGATGGGGCTGTGGACAGACCTGCTAGTCATTTTCAGGATTCAATGCATAAAAGAATACGCCTGCTCGTTTGTTCAAGAATTAGGGCTCTCAAGATGGTGGCGGCAGAACCTTAAGCCAGACAGGAACCTATGACGCCCCCCTTGGTGCTGGTGGCAAGCGGACTTCTCTGCCCTGCTCCCTACCCCGAACCTTCCATACCAGGGATAAAGCAGGCGATTCCGCAGCGATTACACCCGCAGCTAAGGGGTGGTTTAATTCCCTTCCTGCCCATCCATGGGGCACAGAGAGTTCTCACGATCACCCATCACCAAGGATCATCCGTGATCACCAATCACCCTAACCCCAGTCTTGGGGGGGGGGTACGCAGCCTATGTCGCGGGGGTGCGAAGGGGGAGCCAATCTAGCCAGCCTCCCACGGCCAGCGGGGAGCATCCGCGGTGCGCCTTACGGACCCCAGGCTGGGCTGGGGGCGCGGGCCAGCTCCCCCCCACCACCGCCACCACGGGCCGCTCCAGGGTTCCAAAGCCCTCCCCTCCCACCTGCGCCCGGCCCTGCTCAGGTTTGGGAGTGGGCGACGCCCAGAGGGGACCAGGCAGGGTTAGAGGCGGGGACCCCGGAGCCTGGAGAAGCCCCTCTGATCGTCTCTGCCCAGGTCGCGGAGTCGCCCCTGAATCCACGCGGCTCGGGCCCGCAGTCGCGCGTGTCGCCCTTCCGGCCTCTCCGAGGGCTCCGCCCCGCCCCGCCCTCGGGCTGCGGGCCCTTTAAAGCCGCGCGCGGCCGGGGCCGCCCCTTCTGTCCGCCAAGCACCGGAGCCGCGGCTGCCAGCGGCCTGGAGCATGGCGTCCCCGGCCATCGGACAGCGTCCCTACCCGCTGCTCTTAGAGCCCGAGCCGCCGCGGTACCTGCAGAGCCTGGGCGGCACGGAGCCACCGCCGCCCGGCCGGCCCCGCCGCTGCATCCCCGCGGCCCCGGTCCCCGCGTCCGGGGCGTCAGAGCGACGCGGGGGCCGGAGGGCCGCCCGTGGGGACCCCGAGCCCACGCCCCGGGACTGCCGACCCGCTCGCCCTGTCCGGCCCGGTCTGCAGCAGAGACTGCGGCGGCGGCCTGGGTCGCACCGACCCCGCGACGTGCGGAGCATCTTCGAGCAGCCGCAGGATCCCCGCGTCCAAGCCGAGAGAGGCGAGGGGCACCGTTTCGAGGAACTGGCACTGCGGGGCGGCCCGGGCTGGTGTGACCTGTGCGGACGAGAGGTGCTGCGGCAGGCGCTGCGCTGCGCTAGTGAGTGAGGGCAGGGCAGGGCAGGGCAGGGGGTGGGCGGTGCGGGGTGCGCCTGGTGAAGAAGGGCTGTGAGCCTGGGAGAGGAGGCATTGCCTTTTGTGACAGACCCGAACTTTAAGAAGGTAACCTTTGGAGACAGCTGCTGTCCACTGCCTGGTGGCCTTTAGTGGCTGCCAGCTAAGCAGATGTGGTTATGCTGTAAGGTTATGCACCTTCAGATGCTCCCCCTACCCCCCCCCCCCCCCGTCTTCTCTCCATGCATGCATGCAGGCAAGCTTGTAGGTTGGGATTGATGGCTCGCTGCAAGGTCATTCAGTTGTGGTCCACACACCCTCGTCTTCCTTTAGTTGTAAATTTTTAGGATTGGGTAGTGATACTGATAGCGATGTGAGTATTTGACCCTTTCTTATTAGAGTTAATGGGGAAACGGCTTGTTGGTCTCCTCTGGCAAATGCTCAGGCTTTTCCTCCTAGGGGAGCTGTTGGCACGGGTTGCCTAGTTAGGCTTTGAATGGAAACAGGCTGTGAGGTTGGAAGATGCCAAGGTCACCTGCACCTGAGGCCGGTTCTGCTGTCCACACCTGCTGTCCACACCTGGCTCCTCAGCCCCTTATACTTTCCTCGGCTTCGGTGTTTGGCTGAGTCCCGCCTCTTCCTTCTCCTGGGCCCCTGAACTAATCTTCTAGCAGCAAGTTACTAAGCTCCCTGCTTGGACATTCCCAGTTGCCAGCCAGGCTTCTCTCAATCCTGACTGAAACACTGGGCACCAATGCAGAGAGTTTGTGAGCGAGTCTGCATTCTTTCTTTTAGGGCTTACCTTACCTCTCTCCAATGGTGAGACTGTGTGCGTTCCTTTAGCATGTGTCGCTGAGGATGGTCATAGCCATGTGTTTATTATGCAGCTACTTTAAACATGTCAAATGCACAGCATGGTGCCAGCTTCCAGCAGTCATCTGTGAAATGGAGTATGGTAGCTAACAGGTCTTTTGGTGAAGGTCCTTCTTCCCTAGCAGCCTGTGCCTCCCTCAGACTGCATTGCTGGACAGCAGCAGCTAGCCCTACCACAGCCGGTCCCCCAGCTGCTGCCTGGACTGAGAGCAAGGGGAAAGTGGGTGTTGTTTTTCCATATGAGACCTCCCGGATCTGCTGTCTGTTCAGGAGAGAGCTTAGCCCGTAGAGTCCTGTGCCTGTGCTGCGTGTGCAGCTGCTGCCGTCCCTTGTAGATGCTGCTTAACTGCTGAAGAATCTAGTGCATTGCCTTTGGACAAGCTGCCGGTGTTTTCTTCCATGCTCTGGCTGCCTTTGCCCGTCCCACTGACCCTGTACACAGGGAAGGAGACAGTGCCTTCACTGTAATGGGTTTACTTATGCTCAAATTCCAGAAGCTGCATTGTAACGGCGGGGGGGGGGGGGGATATGCTTGCTGTAATTCTTGCTTGCATTTAAACGTTGGGGAACATCCATTCTACACCAAGTTTGCGGTATTCTTCTGGTTAGCAGTGGTGATGTGCTGGCTGGTTTCCGTGTGGGGAAGCAAGCATCCCTCCACGACTAAACGAGCACCCTCTTTAACCACATTGGAATTGTTTCCCTTGCTCAGTCCCTAAATAGTTTCCAGCAGTTGGAAAATGGAGACCACGGACAAGGCCTCAGACCTGCGAATTATTGAGGTCCTTTCACTTTCTTGGGCTCCCATAATCCTGCGTGGCTGGTTTTATACCAGCCAGAGATGTCTGATCACTACAGAGGCAGCAGAACCGGAGTCAAGAAGCCATTGAAAAGATTCTCTGTTGTTTTTTAATATTTAACTATGAGTGTTTGGCTGACCGGGAGCAAGTTGAGAAATGTTTGGTGTGCGGGCAGACTCACAGGCATCTGGTGTCACGCTGAAGTCTAGGTCCCTGAGAGGGTTGGTTTGCTTGATTTTCACTTTGAAAAGCACAGGTCACAAAAGGAACTTCTAAAAGGTAATCCTGGAACCGGGGGAGCTGGCAAAGTAAGCAGGAGGGCCTGAAATTGATCCCCAGAACCACGGGAAGAAAATAAAGGCAGGCTTGGTGGCCTGCACGTGCTTGTAATCTCAACACTGGGCAGGGGGTGGAGACAGGCAGATTTCTGGGCCTTGCCGGCCAGCCAGTGTAACCTACAACACACACACACACACACACTCTTCAAACTGGAACCTTTGAATCCGAACTGCCACTTAATCTCTATGTGCCCCCACACCTCCAAGTTGCATTCATTTGTCTTTAAAAACTGGGGTAATGATCTTATCTACTGCATCGTGTTAATGTGAGGGTTCAATGTATTAATCATATACACATAGCTGATTATAAAAGTGGTTGGCAGGGTGCACAATGGACATCTAATTAGATATAAATGTTACTATTATCTCCTCCCATTTTAAGAGCTTTAATGGCTAGCTGGGGCTTACTACACCTCCTAAGCCTTTGAATACAGTTTTCAAGCTTTGCTTGGTTGTTGAGTTGAAAAGGGGGAAGTGGATAGTACATCTTGGAAGTCCGGGTATGAAATGTCCTTTAGAAATGACATCCCTGCCTAGCATCTCAGATGGAAGTCAGCTGTGATTAAACCACAGTCCCGTGGCTGAGACTCGTGTACCGGCCTGAAGAGTCTCTTTCCGAGTAGCACTTTCAACCAGCAGAGCGGCCATGCCTGGCTTCTGTAAGTGCTGGTTGCAAATGGATGCTTATCTACACTGTTAAGTCTCACCGGGCAGTGTGCCTGTGATTGACATCTTCCTGTTCAGGGGGCTGATGCTGGGTGGGAGCCCAGTTGGCAAATGGGCTTCCAATTAAGGGAAGTGTTAAGAGTATGGCCTTGCCTAGCTTAAGCCTAGTCCCATTTCAAGGTCTGTAGCAGCGCTGGTTAACACTGGATTTGCCAAGAGGAAAAGTTCAGAGCTAATGCTGACTCTCAGGGTTAAGTCTGAGGGCTGGAAGGACTGCATGGTTGATAAAGTACTTGTTGTGCAAGGACGTGAGTTGGGTCCCCCAGCACTCACATAAAAAGCCTGGCCCTACAGTGCTCACTTGGAAGCCATTATGGGGAGAGAGGACAGCTTGCTGGCCAGCCAGTCTAGCTGTATTGATAAACTCCAAGTTCAATGAGAGACCCTGTCTCAAAAAAAAAAAAAAAAAAAAAAAAAAAAAAAGCAGTCATGGAGAGACTCTATGTTGACCTCTGGCTTCCAACAAATGTGTAACCCAGGCACACCCAAAATCAAATTTGTCAGATGGAGAAGGAAATCCAACGGGTTTGGTGTGAATACACACAGAGGACAAGAGCAGAAGTTGAGAGGAGACTGAACCCCAATACTTTGTTTTTGGGTGGGGTGGTGGTTGTTAGGCACTTAGCACCAGCATTCCCAGAGAAGTCGGCAGCAAATAATCTGGGAATTTCTCCAGCTGCCTCCTGCCCTTTCGTGTGTAGAAAGCACATAAAGATGGCCCTCTGCCATTTGTCTCATTTGAGTGGGTGTGTGAACCATCCTGGGCCAGGGAATGGTCTGGCAGTTGGGGAAACCGAGTCTTAATTGTCAGCCAGGGAGGAGAGACTTCCGGTGGAAGCTGCTAACATGTGGGTGCCCCAGGTTGGCTCCTGGAAAGGTCCATGAGTGTAAAGTGATTGAAATGATGGGCTTGAGAAAAGGGTCTCCCGGGCTTAGTCCCCTAACCTCCCCTCCAGTGGTGGACTTTGATTACAATGTGAGAACCTCATGTTTGCTGCCAGCTTCCTAGGGAGGGGCTCTGTGACCTTATTCATGAGAGCTGTGGTACATCCAGGGTGCTTTATGTGATTTCTGTAGTTACTGTTGCAGTATTAATGGCTGGGTTTCACTATCCTCTATGACCTTGGAGCTACTGATTCTATTGGGAGCTCTTTGCAAGAAGACCCTGACTTTGGCCACTGCCCCCATCCCCATCCCGCTGTGACAGACAAAGGTCTCCATAGGAAGCATCTTGGCAAAGGACCCTTTGTTGTGCTGGTGGCCCCTGTGTTTACCCTGGGCACTTGGGGGCTGTTTGTGCTGGAACATGTAGCTGATGGTCTCCCTTGCTTGAACCCATATTTTGTTTGGGAAGCTGAGAAAATTAGGCACCAAAATTGATGTTTTGTTGTTAAGGGTAACAAGGAAATGCCCAGTTTTCTCTCCTGGCTCTAATTAAAGTCTTAGGAAAGGCCTTTTTTGGAGCATGTGCTAAAAGATAGGGAGAGGGCAATGGTTGTACTCTGTACCCTCCAGCCCTGCATCCCTAGTTTTCCTTTTCTACCCTTCCCATTTTCTCAAAAGATGACAGTAAAGGGATTAATGTGGGCCAGTCCCAGCCCCCATCCATCAGGGCGTGAAATTTTATGATTATGGAGTATGGGGGCTTGAATTCCAGGTATAGTCAAAAATGATTAATGCCACTTGTCCGCAGCCTAATTAGACTTGGTAATGAATGTGTGGTGTGTGTGTGTGTGTGTGTGTGTGTGTGTGTGTGTGTGTGTGTGTGTGTGGCGAAGCTGCGAGTTATTAGATGGCAGGGAATTGATGAGGTCTGGGGCTGGGATCTTTTCCCTTTCTCCAAGCTCACGCTTGACTCAGCTAGTGCCAAGCTTGGCAGGAAAGCCCTGAGTGACAAGGAAAACAGACTCAGCCAGCCCAAAGGACTGTGCCTGGCTGGCAGGGTGAGTCCCATCCCAGGGAGTCTGCCCTGGTAAAGCTTGGGCCAGGCCAGCCGAGGTCTGGGAACACACACAGGACAGCTCACCATGCCAGCTCTCGAGAGCCTCATTTTCATGCTTGCTGTCACACTCACCCCAAAATAACCTCACGAGGCTGGAATGTGGGGGTGTTTCTGCCAAGCATTCACCTGCCGGGGGCTTTCTTGGCCAACCTGCTTGCAAGGGCCTCTCAGGTAGAGCTCATTGTGACAGGCCCGCGAGGCTTTGAGGCCATCTTAGCCCTCAGCATGTTTGCCAACCTTGGACCCA